TGTCTTCAAGGCGCGTTACGTTGCACGAGGTTTCAGTCAGCGAGAGGGAGTAGACTTCTTCCAGACCTTCTCCCCCACCCCGAAGATGACCACTCTTCGGGTGCTGCTACACGTTGCCGCTCAGCGTGACTACGAGCTTCACTCTCTTGACTTCAGCACAGCTTTCTTACAGGGCAGCCTGCACGAGGAGATCTGGCTGCGCCGCCCACCTGGCTTCACTGGGTCGTTCCCTTCTGGTACCCAGTGGAGCCTCAGGCGGCCGGTCTACGGTCTCCGCCAGGCGCCACGAGAGTGGCACGACACACTGAGGACTACACTTGCGGCTCTTGGGTTTGCTCCGTCGATTGCTGACCCGTCGCTGTTTCTACGCACCGACACTTCGCTGCCGCCGTTCTACATCCTCGTGTACGTCGACGACTTGGTCTTTGCCACTGCTGACACTGAGGCTCTCGCCCACGTGAAGTCGGAGCTGCAGAAGAGACACACGTGCACAGACCTGGGTGAGCTGACAAGCTATCTTGGCTTGCGGATCACCCGGGACAGAGCACGCCGCACCATCACACTGACTCAGTCACACATGGTGCAGCAGGTCCTTCAGCGCTTCGGCTTCACCTGGTCCTCGGCACAGGCCACTCCTCTGGCTACAGGTCACTCGCTCTCAGCTCCACCTTCGGACGAGTCCGTAGAGCCGAGTGGTCCTTACCCAGAGCTAGTTGGCTGCCTCATGTACCTGATGACCTGCACTCGTCCTGACCTTGCGTACCCTCTTGGCCTTCTGGCTCACTACGTGGCTCCTGGTCGGCACCGAAAGGTGCACATGGATGCTGCTAAGAGGGTACTGCGCTACTTGTGCAGTACATCAGGCATGGGGCTCGTGCTTGGAGGGAGGAGCTCAGTTGTTCTCACTGGGCACTCAGACGCTTCTTGGGTTGACGACCAGGCTACACAGCGGTCGTCACAGGGTTACACCTTCAGCCTTGGCTCTGGTTCAGTTTCGTGGTGTTCTACACGCTCGTCTTCAGTTCTCAGCTCCAGTTGTGAGGCTGAGATCTACGCCACAGCCATGGCTGCACAGGAGTTACGCTGGCTCACCTACCTGCTGACTGACTTGGGAGAGCGGCCTCGTTCTCCTCCAGTGCTGTACGTCGACAACAAGGCTACCATTGCCTTGTGTGAGGAGCACAGACTGGAGCACAGAACGAAGCACATCGCTCTGCGTTACTTTCTGGCTCGAGAGTTGCAGCAGCGTGGTCAGCTTCGTCTGCGTTACGTGGCCACTCGGGCCAACACTGCTAATATATTCACCAAGGCACTTCAGGCTGGTGATCATCAGCGTTTCTGCACTATGCTAGGGCTTGTGCCCACTTTTCCTCACTTGCTGTAGGCCTTTCTTGTACTGTGATCTATATATATATATATATGTATATATATATACCTGCATGCTTGCTTTGCTAGGTAGAGATCACTGTGATGTTTGTGTTACATATATGCCTCTGCATGTGAACTGGCCTTGTGGCCCTTTGCTTGTGCTCAGTGAGTGTGGTGACGTTGTGATCCACCCTGAGCTTGCTTTGCCTTTCTTGACTGGTCTTGTGACCCCTTGCTCTCCCCCACTTTGCCTATGGGGGTGTGTCAAACATATGTTTATATATTATAGTTTAGATAGGCTTTAGTGGGGTACTCACTGTAGGGTACAACCCCTTAGGTTTCACTCTTGTACCAACCTTCTCGATAGTTGATCTCACCCTACTCTAACACCTTTTCCCGCGCCTCTCCTTTCCCGCGCCTCTTCTTTCCCGCGCCTCTCCATTCCCGCGCCTGCTCTTCCCGCGCCTGCTCTTCCCGCGCCAGCTCTTCCCGCGCCTGCTCTTCCCGCGCCTCTCCTCCTCCAGTGCAGCAGTGCGTGCATGCCTGGAGCTCCTCTCACCACTCCTCCTCCCACCCCTCTCATATAGCTTTGTGCAACACCATGCGGGCGTGGGCAGGGTGGCATGGCGTGTGGCATGGTGGCATGGTGTGCAGGTGGGCAGGTGTTGGGGCTGGGCAACTGTCGCAGCATCACGGACTTGGGGGGTGTGCTGCATAGCGGCGGGGTGCAAGGCGGTGCAGGAGGTGTGTGAGTGCGGTGGTGTGAGTGCGGTGATGTGAGTGCGGTGGTGTGAGGGCTTCACCGGCTGCGGCGTGGTCATATGTGCGGCTCTGCTCTCCAACTGCCTGTCAGGCCATCCACTCGCTCCACTTCTGGTTCCTTCAAGCAAGCCTACCCACACGCCTCGCTCCCAACCCACACGCCTCGCCCCCAACCCACTGCCCTCCACCTCCCTCTCCTTGCTCCACGTGTCTCGTTTCAATGCTTGAGAACCGCCTCGCTCACCTTAGGACCTTCCAAAACTGCACGCCTGAACATTCCCAGTTTCCCTCTTCTCCCTCCCTATGCTTGGTCGGTCCCACCCACAGGCGTCGGCTGAGCAGCAGCTGGTTGCTGGCAGCGCGTACAGCTCATGGTACCGTAAGCCACATGTACCATTCCACACTTTCCGCACTTGCCACTTGCACTCTGTCTTCACTCCCCGATCCCACACCGCCTCCACCCTCCGCCCAATGCGGCAAACACAGCCACCTCATGCGCGCCAATGCATGCCACCTCCGCTCCGCACCGATTCTGCTCCGTGCTGCTCTGCTGGCCGTGGGTGGGTGCAGGGAGTAAGCCTTAGGTACTGGTCTTAGGTCTATGTATGAAGGAGGGCGAGGGGGGGCTGAGTGATTGGGGGAGCGGGAAAAGGGGAGTGGGTGGGTGAGTGAGTGAAGGAGGATGAGCGGGCGACCGAGAGGAGTGGGTGAGTGAGTAGCTGCTGCAAGTGGCTGGTGGATCGCTCCAGCTACGTGTTGTTGTCCCTTGCTGCTCTGCTGGCCGTGGCTGGGTGGTGGAGGGGTAGCGACTGGTTGGGTGAGTGAGGGGGAGCGGCGAGTCATCGTGTGTGTCTGGAACAAAATGCATGACCTTCCTGACCTGACCCTATCCCTCTTTCACCCATCTCTCCCTCCCTCCGCCCATTCCTGATGTCTTCCTTGATTGTGGGCGCATGGCGGAATGCCCATTCCTGTTTCCACTCGCCTCAATCGACGCGTTGCTCATGGGACTGTGCGCGTGTGAGGAGGAGCATTGCTGCTGTTTTCAAGACCTCATAGGGGGTTTTAGGCGCTACTCAAATGACCCTCGATGTGAAAACCACATCGTCCCTCCTCGCATCAGGTCACCCAGAACCCATCAGATTCACGTTTCGTCTCTCCTGTGCCTTCCTCCTCCTTCCCTGCTCCCAGATGGACCCATGAGTGACAGGGGCAGCAGCGCACGACACAGCGCAGCTACTATGGCACCATCTGCTGCACCACTTCCCCTCCATCACCCAAGCTCTCTTACCCATACGTGTGTGCATGTGTGTGTGCGTGCATGTGTGTGTGCATGCTTGTGTGCGTGTGCGCATGTGTGGGTGGGTGTGTGCGTGAGTGCTTGCATGCGTGTGTGTGGGGGGGGGTGTGTGTGTCCGTGATTGTGCGCGTCCGTGATTGTGTGCGTGCACATCTTTTGGGGCCTCAGAGGTCTTCCACATATATACGTGCATGCGGCACACCATTAAAAGCTGTTCTTCCATGCAATCACCAACCAACACCTGCAGTATCTCATTCCTTTGAACTTTCGCAAGTGTGTGCTTTGAGGTGCCTCAAAGCAAATACTTCACAGGCTCTTCCCCTCTGTAACCAATGCTCTGTTCATCTCCACACCTTCCCTACTCGCACTCACATTCCCTTCACTCCCCTCCCCGGACCTCCTGTCTCAGCTTCTTAAACCCCCCCTCAGGTGTTTACGCCACCCACCTTCCTGGGCTGGGCAGGGCAGCAGGCGAGGCGAAAGCTGATGCAAAGTGTTGGCGCAACGTTCTTTCCATCAGCCCTTATAATCCGCCCACAAGCAGCACAGTTGAACATCCACCCACCCTCGCTTCAGTGCGTGAAGTTATCGGTGTTGTGGTTCTGTCCATTTCTCTATCTTGCTCAATGTGCATGCATGCATCTGTGCGCAGCACGTTGTGCTACCAGATTTTGGCAAATCAATCAAAGTGCTTTTTGAAATATAAAGCCCACCATCCCTTTGTTGCAGGGTTCGGTTGGCGAACCACTTGCTAGAGAACATTAAGCAACAGTCACGAATGCAAGAAAACAAGATACACACATCTTCAATTCACAGTCATGTGCAACCACCAGTGTGAAAGGAATGGAACTACAGTATGGGTTATGCTTTAACAAAGCAAGAGCATGGATGAAGTAAGGGGAGGTATGTCGGAGGCTACATGCAGCAGCAACCACAGGTTCCAGGCGGCAAAACTTAATCAAACCTCTTAAACTACACTACACATGATTGATTGCAGCTCCTCCCACCCAAGAACCCAACAACAGGCCTGGTCTGGTCTGGAAGTTGTTGACCTGGCCTTTGCTCTAAGACGTCCTGCCCTGCCCGTGCCACCTTGTACCGGTATGACACCCTCGGCTTCATCACCAGCGGCTTCTGCTCCCCTCCCCCCCCCCCCCACACACACATGCAGGCACACACACGGGCACAGGCAGGTACAGGCACAGGCACAGGCACAGGCACAGGCACAGGCACAGAGACATAGGCACACATGCACACAGACGCACAGCAGTGCGTTCAAAGGAAGCTCACGCGTTCCCTCACATCACATGTGTACTTGAGTGAGATAGGCAATTTAAATTACGCATCAGATTGTATGACACGGGAGCTGTGGCAAGAAGCACATGCGCAGAATCAAAGGAAGCGCACTGCATCGCATTCTCCTCTTGTACTGTACATACATCTCACTCGTCCATGCCATACCATGCATGTGCTCACCTGCCCATGCATGTGCTCACCTGCCCATGCATGTGCTCACCTGCCCATGCATGTGCTCACTGCCCATGCATGTGCTCACTGCCCATACATGTGCTCACTGCCCATGCATGTGCTCACCTGCCCATGCACAACGACTGACCTGGCCATGCACCGTGTTGGTGACGCGCATTGTGTGTGTCACGCTGCCGCCGTTGCCGGCCGGCACTACGGCTCCTGATGCCGCCTCCAGCTGCAGCTGCATGAACTGCACACGAGGCACGCACAAGCGTGGGGGGGAGTGGGGGAGTTGGGAGAGAAGGGCACAGCTCACGACACAATGGGACTCAGTGGGCTGACGGGCTGCTAGGCTGGCTCCTTGCCAGCGTGTGCAGAGGCGGGCACTAGTACAGCCACGCATGTACCTTGGCCACATGCACAAACAAACACACAAGCACACACGCACGCACACGCACGCACGCACGCATGCACACACACACACACACACCCACACACACACACACACACGCACACACACACACACACACACACACACACACACACGCACACATGCACGTACGCACGCACACACACGCACAGAGACGCACCTTGGGCACGGTGGCTTGGAAGCCAAAGCCAGAGAGGGGCAGGGCGAGGAGTTGGAGTCGGTGGCGCTGATGGTGGGGCTGCGCCTGGGGGGCTGCTGCCGCCCGCACTCCCCCCGCCGCCCTGCCTGCTGCCGCCACGCCATTGGCTGACGGCTGCCCTGTTGGCGCTGCTGCCCGCGCCGCTGCGTCGGGCGCCAGGTCAGCGCACTTGGAGCGGTACGCCACCTCATCCAGTGCTGGCATCTTGTCTGCCAGCGTGGCTCTGAGGAGGAGGAGGAGGAGGATAGGGAGTGGGAGGAGTTGGGCGTGAGAGAAAGGAGTGTGGTGTGCATGCATGCAGGCAAATGCTGTTGATTGTATGGTGTGTGGTGGGCGCAGCAACGGTGATAGAGGACAAGCATGAAGCAGACCAAAGTGCACTGGACAGAGTGTGTCCAATACGAGGAGGTGCGAGTGCAGGCAGATGAGGGGAAAGGCAGGCAACAACACAAGACAAGGCGACATGCAGCAGAGTCAGGAGGAAGGGGGAGTGGACGGGTGGGGTTTGAAAGAGTGTGGGAAAAAGGGAGGGGATGGATAGATGGGGGCGCAAGGAGGGGTGAAGGAGATATGGGTGGGACAGGGCGCAGGGCTGACTTGATCTTGTGGTGGCGGGCGAGCACGGCGCTGAACTCCACTGAGCGCTGCTGCACCTCCAACACCAGGCTGCGCCCCTGCTGCTCCTCCAACCACTTCATGCGCCTGTCATGGGCACAGGGGGTAAATGCGCAGGGGAGAGACGTGGAGTGGACTGGTAAAGAGGGGGAGTACCAGGGGAAACGGGGCGACTGTGATGTGAAGGTGGGAGAGGGAGGAGTGGAAGGCGTAGGGAGAGACCCAGGGGGAAGAAATAAGTGGTGGAGACAATGGCACAATTGTTGGGCACACAAGAGAGAATTGCTCCGAGGAAAGGAGTTAGAAGGAGGAGAGATGAGCATGAGAGATAGCGGGGTTAGAGGGCCGAGGGGCGCACTGGGAGCAGGAGGGGAAGCGGCAGGAGAGTTTGAGGAGAGCGACGAGGACGTAGGCGTTGAGGGTGGGCGTGGCGTGTGTGTCCTTCATGGTGGCCTGTATCATCTGTACCAGCTCGCCCTCCGCCACTCACCTGCCCCCCGCCCCACCATGCACGCACACACAGGCTGGTCCCAGGGAAGCATGCATGCATGGCAGGCACGGGGTGGTATATGGCGGGTGGGTGAATGGATGGACGGACGGGCGGACATATAGATGGAAAATTGGTGCAAGGGGGGTGCACGAGACATGAGTGGTTGGTGAATGGTGTTCATGTGTGTTGTGCTTCCGGTGAGAGACGGATCATTGCGTTTCAGCTGGAAACTCATAGCGTGGGAGAACTTCAAATGGTGGGGGAACTTGAGAATGCGGGTTCACAAGAAAGAGTGGCCGAGGAAGAAGGTCTGAGGACGATAATGGGTGCACAAGAGCAAAGGCGGACGAGGGAGAGGGGCGGAGGGAGGGCGGGAGGGAGTGAGGAGGGAGGGAGGGAGGGAGGGAGGGAGGGAGGGAGGGAGGGAGGGAGGGAGGGAGGGAGGGAGGGAGGGAGGGAGGGAGGGAGGGAGGGAGGGCGGGAGGGAGGGAGGGAGGGAGGGCGGGAGGGAGGGAGGGCGGGAGGGAGGGAGGGCGGGAGGAGGGAGGGCGGGAGGGAGGGAGGGTGGGAGGGAGGGAGGGAGGGAGGGAGGGAGGGAGGGAGGGAGGGAGGGAGGGAGGGAGGGAGGGAGGGAGGGAGGGAGGGCGGGAGGGCGGGAGGGAGGGAGGGCGGGAGGAGGGAGGGCGGGAGGGAGGGAGAAAGGGAGGGAGGCACCTGGAGGGGCGTGTGTTGGTGCAGCAGGGCGGAGTTGTTGACGAGCATCTCCCCGAACTCGCCCAGACACCACACCGCCACCGCGCCTAGACTCTCCTGCCGCAGGCGCGCTGCTGATGCCCACCACCAGGAGTGCATGACGTCATCCGTCACATACTCCCCCGCCTGGCGCTCACAGGCACGCAGAGCGGGAGAGAGGGAGGCACAGGCATGAATGCAGGCACATCCGTCACCCAAGAGCAGGCCGGAACGGTCACTCAAGGCGCGTGAGTCGCGACACAAGTACGGTGCTTCTCAGTCGAGGAAGGACAAGACAAAAGGTGCACCATGCAAGGAAGGTTCACGTGAAGAACAAAGGGTTGGTTGATGCGAGGGGAGTAGAGGAGGGGAGAGGGGAGGGCGCATACCTCGGTGATGACTCGCAGCATGATCTCCACATGGTACAGCTTGCTGGGCGCGTACCTGCATGCACCATGCCGTGCCGTGCACACACACCCCCCATGCACACACACCCCCCATGCACACACACCCCCCATGCACACACACCCCCCATGCACATACACCCCCCATGCACACCACCCCCCATGCACACCCCCCAACCCCCCCATGCACACCCCCCAACCCCCCCATGCACACGCACACCCCCATGCACCCACACACACATACACACGCACATGCACAGCATGCAGGGCACATTCACCACAGGTTGGTGATTTCAGGTGTCTCAGAAAGGCATGGCAGGACACATGGCGGACAGCACAATCCAAGATGAGGGAAGGCAGGCAGCACATGACACACAAAACGAGAGGTGGAGGGGACGAGGGAGAGGAGGGAGGGAGGAACGGGAATGGGGAGGGGAGGGAGGGAGGGGGTGAGGGGAGGGGCATTGTTGCACAAAGGCGCAGATTTTGAATGTAAGATCGGGCTTGAAGCACATGGCACAGAAAACGGGATGGGGAAGGCGGGCAGCACGTGGCACACAGAACGACAGGGGGGGAGGGGAGAAGAAGGGAGACGAGGAGGGGAGCAGAAGAAGAGGGGAGGGGGTGGGGGGAAGCGCACCGTTGCACGAGGGCGCAGATGTTGGAGGTGAGGTGGGGCTTGAAGTGGGAGTCAGCAGCACGCAGGTAGTCCAAGAGCTCGCGAGTGCGGTGAGCGCCTTGAAATTGCCCTCGTTCACCAGCGCACACACCAGCTCCAACGCCCTCCTCCTCATGGCACTGCCCCAGTCCTGCTCGCGCAGCCACACACATGCGGGCGTAGAAAAGGGTGTGGACAAGGGAGAGAGGGCGGTCAGTGACCTGTGTCAGGCCGTGACAGTCCACAGTACGAACGAGGAATTGACGGCGGGGTTGCATATGTGAGGGAAGTTAAGGGGTGGCGTGGGAGGGGTCAGGAGGGGTGGTGCGGGAGGAGGGCAGGCAGGAAGGGTGGTGCGGGAGGAGGGCAGGCAGGAGGGGCGGCGCTTGCCTTGACGCATTGGATGGACGATGGTGTTGCGATGGCGCTGCACGGCCTGTGTGTCCACCGCCACCACCTTGATCAGCGTGTTCAGCGCCACGCACCCGCCACGCTGCCATGCACGCCTGCACGCCTGCACGCACGTGTGCACACGCACACAACCATGAACAGGCGCTGCTGCTGCTGCTGCTTATATGGCTGCTGCTGCTGCTGCTGCTGCTACTATGGCTGCTGCTGCTGCTACTATGGCTGCTGCTGCTGCTTATATGGCTGCTGCTGCTACTATGACTCCTTCCCCTTCCCACTCCTCCTCCCGCTCCCTCCCGCTTCCCGCCCCCACTCCCCCCCTCTTCTACTCCTCCCGCTCCCTCTGCCGCTGCTCCTCCTCCTCCTGCTCCCGCTCCCCCTCCTGCTCCCGCTCCCCCTCCTGCTCCCCCGTCCCTCCCACCCCACCCTCCCACCCCCCCCACCCACCCTCCCACCCCCCCTCCCCCCACCTGGTGCTAACCTAGTGCTATTGCGGGTGCGGATGCTGCCACACCCCTGGACTGTGCTGCAGCTGCTTCACGAGCGAATGCAGCCGCCTGATCTTGAGCCCGCTTCCATGCATGCGTTAGCTCCAGCAGCTCCTTCGGCAGAAGGGCTGGGATCCCCCAATTCTCCCTTTGGTCTGTCGAGGAGGTCTCTTCGCTTCTGAGTTTGTTCCACCAACGCCTAACTACTGACTTGTTCCCCATTATCACGTCAACCTCCTCCCCCGTTAGAAAGCTTTTCACCTTTTCCTTTAGTGCTTCCACCTTTTGCAAACCCTTCGTATGCAAAACCATGCCGATGGCCGACCATGTAAACGCCACTTCCTGGGTCTTGAACTTGCCCCCGGAGTACGAATTTTTAAGAGGCATGGGGTGCCCCTTTGTACGAGGCTGACGTACGGAAATCTCCGAAAATATCTCATTTTCCCTGATAGTTACCCATGGGAACCTACTTTCCACACTCCCAGCACTTCCCCTTCCTGCCGATTCGTGCTGACGCTGCTGGTTCTCCCCTTCCCTCGCCCCTCCACTACCGTCTCTCCTCTTCCCTCCCTTTGCTGGCTGCTGCTGCTGCTTCCGCCTCCTCTCCTTCACCCTTTCTGCTATCCCTCCCCCCTCACGCTCTTCCCCTTCCTCTGTTGCCGTTGCTGCTACCGCTCCTGCTCTTGTATCTGCTGCAGGTGATGCAGCCGATTCTGCTTCGGCTTCGGCTTCGGATTCTTCAGAGCGGGGAGGGGAGTCAGGAGGAGATTGGAAAGAAGGAAGTACTCCTACTGCTCCTTCCCCCTGCTGCCCACTTCCCGGCCTCCTTCTCCCCTCGTCCTCGTCCTCGTCCTCGTCCTCCTCCTCCTCCTCCTCCTCCTCCTCCTCCTCCTCCTCCTCCTCCTCCTCCTCCTCCTCCTCCTCCTCCTCCTCCTCCTCCTCCTCCTCCTCCTCGTCGTCGTCGTCGTCGTCCTCCTCCAGCAGCACCACCTCCTCCTCCTCCTCCACCTGGAAGGGGAAGGGGTTGTGGAGGGGGAGAAGTTCTTTGGCCAATTTTCAAGCTCCTGTCCACAGCTGTTGCACACCTCGCATCTCCCCCTGTAATCCCTCACGTCCTCCCCACTGCCTTCCTCGCGCCCACCACCACCCCCTCGCCCCTGGCATTAGTTGGCTCACCTCGCCCTGTGGGTGGTGCTGCTCCTCCATCCTCCCCTGCTCACCTAAACCCTAAACCCCCATCCCACCTTCCTTCCCTATCGCCCTCCCCAACCACCTTAACCCAGCCCGGCCCCCCCATCCCCCTCTCCAACCCACCACGTACAGCTTTCCCTCTCCCGCCACCCCCCTTCCTCTCCCTGCTGCCCGACCCCCTATCCTATTCCCCCTCACTGAGCACACCTCTCACCACCTCCCTCGCAGCTCCCGCTCCCATGTCATTACAATCCCCATCCTGCTGCCCTCTGCTCCTCCCATAGCCCCACCTCCCGCCTGCTCCCTGCCGGATGGTCGAGAATGGGCCGGGCTGGGCCTGGGCACGGCGCAGTGTGCGCAGTGAGAGGACGCCCCTCTTTGACCCCCCCTTCTCCCAACCCCCTTCTCCCGCATCCCTTCTCCCCATTCCCCATTCTCCAGTCTCCCCTCTACCACCCCCCAATCTCCCACCGCCGTCTCCACTCTCCCCCGCCCCCCCCCCCCCCCCCCCCCCCCCCCCCCCCACCACTCCCACTAGATTGCTGAGCCCACCTCAGATTGCTGAGCCTCACAGAAAAAAGCAGTCACCTCACACTCGCGGCAGCAGCACCGCCTCCCGTCAGCCTCGCCACCTTCCTCACGTCACGCCCACCCCCACCCCCTCGCCCATGAAACCCCTTGGCTCACCTCGTCCTGCGTGGGGTCGTCAGTCGCATCCATCTCCATTGAAACGCTCCCCTGGCCCCCCCCCACCGCCCTCGCCCCCGCCTCCGCCTGCTGCTCCTGTTGCCCCACTGCCCCACTCTCCTCCGGCTCCTGCTCCTGCTGCAAGGGGAAAGAGGTGAGAGTGGGCTAGGGGGGTGTAAGGATGTGTGCTGTGAGGTGCGGGAGGTGAATAGATACTGGCAGATGAGGCGGATAGTCGTGGAAGGGCGGAGGGGCGTGGGTGTGAAGCAGTACAGGCTCCTACGAATACCTTCAAACAATGTGCCCAAACATCTCACCTGCTGGATGCACACGCACATCCCACCCGAGGCAGTGCCACCTGAGGCAGTGCCACCCGAGGCAGTGCCACCCGAGGCAGTGCCACCCGAGGCAGTGCCACCCGAGGCAGTGCCACCCTAGGCAGTGCCACCCGAGGCAGTGCCACCCGAGGCAGTGCCACCCTAGGCAGTGCCACCCGAGGCAGTGCCACCCGAGGCAGTGCCACCCGAGGCAGTGCCACCCTAGGCAGTGCCACCCGAGGCAGTGCCACCCGAGGCAGTGCCACCCGAGGCAGTGCCACCCTAGGCAGTGCTACCCGAGGCAGTGCCACCCGAGGCAGTGCCACCCGAGGCAGTGCCACCCTAGGCAGTGCCACCCGAGGCAGTGCCACCCGAGGCAGTGCCACCCGAGGCAGTGCCACCCGAGGCAGTGCCACCCGAGGCAGTGCCACCCGAGGCAGTGCCACCCGAGGCAGTGCCACCCGAGGCAGTGCCACCCGAGGCAGTGCCACCCGAGGCAGTGCCACCCGAGGCAGTGCCACCCGAGGCAGTGCCACCTGAGGCACGAACCGGTCACCTAATTGATTCCAACATCCCTTGCGCGTTCAGCCCTCACTTCACATTTCCCCACCCCATTCCCTTCTGCATTTAGCGCTCACTTCATGATTCCCCACCCTGGATGCCCTTCATCAAACCCTTCGCCCGGCAGCTGCAGTCCTCACTCACTCACCTGCTGGATGCACACGCACGTCCTCTCTGCACCCGCGCAGTCACGGCAGAGGCCCCTCTCCCACCAGCTGTCGGGCGCCCTCGCCTGGAGCACACGCACATGCCTCTTCTGTAATCCCTCCCCTCCTACTCGCGCCCTTACTCGCGCGCACGCCCACCCCCTCGCCCGTGTGTCCCCGTGGGCCGTGGCTCACCTGAACATGTGTCGCGGGGTCACGGGCATCAACCTTACTCTCCCTCTCCTCCGCCGCTCTCTGCAGCGCCTCGACCATCCTCTCCCTCTCCTCCGCCGCGCTCTGCAGCGCCTCGACCATCCTCTCCCTCTCCTCCGCCGTGCGTTGCATCCCCTTGATCGTTGCCTCCCGCTCCTTCACTGTGGCTGCAGCTCTTTTACCAACAAGTCCTGCGTCTCCGCCAGCTTAGCAAACTGCAGGAGCACATTAGAAAAATGGCGTACGAATCCTGAAATCAGGGCTCGGGTGCGATAACTTCGCATTCAGGCATCCGGAAGAAAGGGGAAGAGGAAGGCAGGCAGGCAGGTGAGAGGTCAGGTATGTTAGAGGGGTGGTAATGGGGGTAATGTTAGAGGAGGGTAGGTGAGAGGAGGGTAGATGAGAGGGAAGTAGATGAGAGGGAAGTAGTTGAGAGGGGGGCAGATGAAGAAGTAAAGAGGTTTTATGCCACTCACCGCTCCCTTCTCCGCAGCTGCATCTCGCAACTCCTCGACTCGCCGTTGCAGATATTTTTTCTCTTGCCTCAAACTGGTATGTGCAACAACAAGGGTAGGTGAGAGAGAAGCAGGTGAGAAGGGGACGAGTGTGGATGGGTGAGAGGGGGTGGGTGAGAGAGGGGTACGTGAGCAACCATGCCACACCAAACATCATACTTCATTCCCCCCTCCCCGTCTCATCCCCTTCCCCCACCTTCATGCACGTGCAGCATAACGGCCCAGAGTAGCATACTAGCATACCTGATATAACCTGTCACGGGCATACTCAAATGCCACTTCAGCAAGACTGGCCCGCTCCTCATATGCCTCCGCCTCGTTGGCGTAGGCTTGATGCAGAACAATAAGTTTGTTATGCCTATCGCCGCCCACTTCAGAGTATTCTGCCGATGCGAAGGGAACGTAGAAAGAGAGAGAGAGAGAGCTCGTTCCCCATGCCACTCCCTTCCTTATGCCACTCCTCTCCCCATACCACCCCACTCACCCCCCGCTACACCCTTCCACATGCCACTCCTATCCCCTGCCACTTCCCTCTCCATGCCACGCACCTCCTCACGCCACCCCCTACCCTCCCTTTCCCATGCCACTCCCCTCCGCCTGCCACTCCCCTTCCCTGTCACTCCCCTCCCGCCATGCCAGTCCCCTATCCCGCCATTCCCCTCCCCCTGCCACCCCCCACCCTATCCCACGCTCCATCCCTGACACCCCCCCCCCCACAGCCGCCCCTCTCCCCCGCTCCGTAGGCCACCCCCCTCTCCATGCCACCCCCCTCCCCATACTACTCCCCTCCTCTAACCACCCCGCTATCCCTCGCATCCCCTTCCCTTCCCCATGCCACTCCCCTTCCCTGTCACTACCCTCCCCATGACACCCTCTTCACCATGCCACCATGCGACTCCCCTCCCCATGTCATCCACCTTCCCATGCCACCCCGTTCCCCACTCACCTCCCCCTCAGATATACCTTTTCGAGCCTTTATCAACTTGTTTCGGATCTCGGTGACGTCCTTTTCCTGTATTTTTGTCCACTGCTTCTTCATCCATGTACGGAAATCTTCCCAGTCAAGCGCTGTGAATAGGGCAGACACGGAGTGAATGTAAATGCAGAGGGGGAGAATGTAAATGCAGAGGGGAAGGGGCTGCGGGCATGGAGCACCGTGCCAAAGGGAAAGGAGGGAGAGGTGGGGGGGGGGAGGGGGTGGGGGGGGGTGGGGGGGCGGCGGAGGGATGGACGGCCATGGTGGGGGGGGCTGTACGCACGGTACACCATGCCAAAATGACACGAGGGGCTGAGGGCATGGTGAGCAATGAAAATCTGACAGGGGGGCCTGAGGGCATGGTGAGCAATAACAAAATGGCAGGGGGGGTTGCGGGCACGGTGAGTCGTGACAAAATGACAGGGGGGCTATGGGAGGCGGCGCACTCACCACGTGGGTCGCTGGCGCTGCTGGTGCTACTTCTGCTGCCAGCGCTGGAGCTGCTGTTGAAGAAGACGCTGTCCTCGTCTTCATGCCCCTCATGGGCTGAGCGCTCCGCACTAGTGCTGCAGGTGCGGGCCTCCTCCTCATGCCCGTCATGAGATACTACAGCAGCAGTAGCTGTATGTGCAGCTGAATGTTCCCCGCCCCCGCCTCCATCCCCTCCGTGTACGCCTGGTGGGAGGAGAGAGGGGCATGGAGGGACGTACACGAGGTGAATGGCACGGAAAAGGAGGAAAGCACCCTCGCTTTCATAATCCATCTCCACCGTGTATGTCTGAGGGAGGTGAGGGGTATGGGAAGGCGGGCATGGGGGTGAGTGGCGTGGGAAGAATGACAGCACAGTGGGGAACAGCATGAGGGGAGAGAAAGCATCTTCGCCTGCAGATCCTCCGTGCACGCCCTGGTCATTGGGAGGAGGGAGGAGGGAGGAGGAAGGGGCAGACAGAACGGAGGTGAAGGGTGGGAAAACATCTCCGCGTGCAGATCCTCCGTGCACACTTGGTTTGGGAGGGAGGGTCTCAACACTTCAAATGAACGGCAGCAGTGGCACGCTCACTCACCTTGTGGGAGTGACGTGACAAAGCTGAAGCAGCAGCAGCAGTGGCGCTGAGGTATGAGAAAATGACAGGGCCGCTGAGGGAAAGGCGCACTTACCATGTGGGAGTGGGTGTGGGTCTGGCGTTGAGCTGCTGGTTGCAGGGGACTGGCGGTTGGAGCTGTCGGCGTTGCTGGAGCTGCTGACCGCGTTGCCGGTGCTGCTGCTGGCGTCGCCAGTGCTGCTGCTGGCAGGAGTGCCGTGCGTGCCGTGCTCCCCCTCATCCCTAGTGGGAAGAGCGGGGGTACTTCCGCCTCCAGCTCCGCCTTCGCCTCCACACTCTGTGGGGGGTTTGAAGGGGGAGTGGCGAGGTTGAGGGGGCCAGGGTGAGGGACAAGGTGATGTGTGCGGGTAAAGCAAGGCTTTAAGCCGCTCACCCTCATGCTTGACATCAACGGCACTGACAGCCACGACAGGTTGGTTGGCAGCAGTTGGGGAACGGAGAAGTTCCTTCCTACCCACATTCCCCTACCTTGCACTCTCACATTCCCCTACCCTTCACTCTCACATTCCCCAACCCTGCACTCTCACATTCCCCTACTCCGGACTCTCACAGTCCACTACCCTGCACTCTCACATCCCCCTCCCCTTCACTCTCACATGCCCCAACCCTGCACTTTCACATTCCCTTACCCTGCACTCCACATTCCCCTACCCTTCAGCTCATTCCTGCCTTTCCCCATTGATTTTATAACTGTAGCAGCTACAAGAGCAGCCCCCACAGCCATGCGGTGCAGTTTGAGACGACGCAAAATACATCACAGCTGACACTCGCCATCTCACCTTCACCTGATGGCAGCCCCCCCTCGCTCTGCGCGTTCCGCTGAATCATCGTCCCTCCCAGCTCGAGCAGCCGCGGCTCCACCTGCTGTTGAAGTTTATCAAAGGCCGCCTGGATCTGGTTTGTGAAATGAGGACAGGTGGGAGCGGAGGAGGTGAGAGGGAGCAGGGAGAGGGGCAGATAGGGGGTTAAAAATTTAGTGAGCGGAGCAGGTGAGAGGGAGAGCGGAGCAGGTGAGAGGGAGCAGGGGAGAGAGGGGCAGATAGGGGGTTAAAAATGATGTTGTGTGCTTTTCATCAACAAAGGTGCCCCTCCCGTGCAACACACACCCCTCCCGTGCAACACACACCCCTCCCGTGCAACACACACCCCTCCCGTGCAACACACACCCCTCCCGTGCAACACACACCCCTCCCGTGCAACACACACCCCTCCCGTGCAACACACACCCCTCCCCGTGCAACACGCACCCCTCCCGTGCAACACACACCCCTCCCGTGCAACACACACACCTCCCATGCCACACATACCCCTCCCATGCCACACATACCCCTCCCATACCACACATACCCCTCCCATACCACACACACACCTCCCATGCCACACATACCCCTCCCATGCCACACATACCTCCTCGAAATTGATCCGGAGTTCCTCAAAGTCATCCGCAGCAAAGTCCTCGTATACCTTCGGCGGGACGGGGTAGGCTTGAAGTAGAGCATTCAAGTGTTCCTCACCGTCTATTCTTCGGTAGTCCTCCTCTCCCCATGCCACCCCGTTCACCACTCCCCTCCCCTTGAGACATACTTGAAAGAGCCATTAGAAGGTCCTTCAGGCTCTCAACGGTCGACCGACTTTCCATTATTTTATCCCAATGGCCGACAATCCATGAACAAAAATACTCCGAGTCAAACACTGTAAATCGAGCAGACACGGAGGGGTTTTAAAAAACGGATGAAACCATGAAACAGGTATGTCCTTAGAAGCCACGAACGGCCCATAGCTAGAGAAAGGGTCGAAAATATAAATGCAAAAGGGAGGGGGCATGGAGCACCGTGTCAAAGGGAGGGGAGGGGAGGGGGTGCGGGGGGAACGGGGTGTGCGGGGGGGGGAGGGGGGGGGTGTGGCCACGGCTCGCCGTGCCAAAGGGCAGGGGGGGCTGTACGCACGGTGCACGGTGCCAAAGTGACAGATGGGGCTGAGAGAAAGTGAGCCGTGGGAAAACGACAAAGGGGGCTGAGGGCACAGTGAGCTGTGAAGAAATGGCAGGGAGGCTGAGAGCAACTGCGCATTCACCACCTGTGTTGGCACTGCTGGTGCTGCTGCGGTTGGCACTGCAAGTGCTGCTGCGGTTGGCACTACTGCTGAGTTCAAGAAGGAAAGAAGGAAAGCAGGGGAGAAGGAAAGCAGCTCCCCCAGAGTTCAAACGTCTATGCCTTACCATTGTTGGGTTGGGGAGAACCCAAAAGAACAAACAAAAGTGTCCGCCATCCGTTACTGACCAGCAGGTGAGGTCTGATCAGTGGCGTCAGAGTCGCCCTGACTGAGCAGGTGCAGGCTGGACGCGTCCGTCCCGTCCCTCCAACCAATCTCGTTATCTGCGGGAAGGCTGTTCCAGAGGGCGTCGGTGGCGCCCTCCCTCACTGCCTCGTACACCGACTGGAAGAGCTGCGGCAGCACCGCCCTCTCCAACACCTGACAGGTATAAGCGTTCAGGGATGGTGAAGATGAGGAAAACAGGGGTGGTGAGTGTCTCCAGAGGTCGTTGTTTGCGCCCTCCTTCACTGCCTGCGTTTGTGGCAGGTACGTGCATGGCATTTCGCGCGCACGTGGCAGGTGCGTGCATGGCATTTCGCGCGCACGTGGCAGGTGCGTGCATGGCATTTCGCGCGCACGTGGCAGGAGCGTGCATGGCATTTCGCGCGCACGTGGCAGGTGCGTGCATGGCATTTCGCGCGCACGTGGCAGGTGCGTGCATGGCATTTCGCGCGCACGTGGCAGGTGCGTGCATGGCATTTCGCGCGCACGTGGCAGGTGCGTGCATGGCATTTCGCGCGCACGTGGCAGGTGCGTGCATGGCATTTCGCGCGCACGTGGCAGGTGCGTGCATGGCATTTCGCGCGCACATGGCAGGTGCGTGCATGGCATTTCGTGCATACATGGCAGGTGCGTGCATGGCAGTTCGTGCATACATGGCAGGTGCGTGCATGGCAGTTCATGCGTACGTGGCAGGTGCGTGCATGGCAGGTACGTTTCAGTACATACATACACGATTTTGATATGTACGCACCTCTGCCACCTCCTCGTTGCTGGGCCAGATGTCCCTCAAGAACACCTCCTTGCCGTCCTTGTCCGTTCCGATGGTCTCTTGATCAAAGTCAATGACCACCTGAGAAGTGAAAGGATGAACGTGTGAGTGAGTGACAATGTTTGGGAGTGATACAAGATAAATGTCTGGTCTTGGCAAGTAACGTTTATATTAGACATTATGATTACGACCAGAAAGTACAGCAGGCCAGCAAACTGAACACTCACCGTGCCAGCGAGCGCATATGCCACGACGAGGGGTGGCGATGCAAGGTAGTTGGCTCGAATGAGAGGATGCACGTGCCCCTCAGAGGCACGGTTACAAGACTGCACTGTTGCTGCCACCAGACCTGTTGAGGAAGTGGGGGCAAGGGATAAGGGGTGGAGGGAAGAGAGATGGGGAACGGGGATACAGGGTATTTGGCTAGGGTGAAAGGATGAACATGGCCTGGCTCTCAGAGTTGCAACTACCAGACAGCACTGCTGCTGCCACCAGATCTATTATTCGGTCATGGGAGGATGAGGGGAAGAGGAGAGGGGCAACGGAAAGGAGGGATGAGGGGCGGCTTAAGTGAGAGGATGCACACATCCCTCAAAGGTGCGGTTACCAAAACAGCACCGCTGCTGCGACAAGATCTGATCATTTGTGGGGGAGGAGGAGGAAGAGACGGAGGGAATAGGTAAGGATTAGGGAAGTAGGGTTGGCTCGGGTGAGGGGATGAATGCCTCTAAAAATCGCACCGGTGGGTGAGATAGAAACAAAGGGAGAGCAGTAGGAATGGAGATAAGAATATATTGGTTGCGTCAAGACGAAGAACCCTATATTGCCTCTGTTTTTCACCAGATAGACCGAATTTGCTACGGTTACAGGGTATGTAACTGCAACGTACCGTTGCTTGAAATGGCCTCAATGACAGACTCTGAAATCTCTGCCGAGTTCCCAATGCACGTGGTGCAGCCATATCCCACCACGTGGAAGCCCTGACCCTCCAGAGCTGGCAGGAGACCACTGCACACATGGTGAGGAGAGAGGGGCAAATAAGGATGGAGAGGAAGAAGGAAAGAGACAAAATACAAGTCAGACAGCCGCGCCCGTAGCCCACCACGGAAACCTATGCCCTAGAGAGCCGGGAGGACACCACTGCAAAACAACTGCAAAGCAAGGGAGGAAGAACAAGAAACTGAACTATCCATGCCCAGCCCTCCCTCACCTGGCCCCAAGGTACTTGGTGGCGTCGTTGCACCCAGGGAGGGGGCAGGCTCGTCTTCACATACGGATTTCCCTAGAGCCGCCTCCCACTCACCTTCGCCGCCACGACGGCTGCTGCCTGCCAGCATCACTGACGGACTGCACGTGCACCACCACCTCTTCCCCACCTCCACCTTGAGGAGTCTCACGTTACCCTGCATCCCTCACGAAACCCCTTCCTAAAGCGTTCACTAAAATCCTTCAACTGCAGTGCACCTGAGAAAACCCTACCGTATGAGCCGCCCTGAACCCCAAACTCCTCTCACCTGGCCTCAAGGTACTTGGTCACCACGTTGGAGGCAGGGGCGAGGCTCGTCTTGACGTAGGGCTTCACCTGGAGCCCCCTCTCACTCGCCTTCTTCGCCACCAGGGTTGCTGTCAACATTTCCGCCGGGTTGAGCGCGCTGGTGCAGGAGGTGATGGCAGCGATGACCACGGACCCGTGCTTCAGCTGGATTTGCACCCCTTCCTCAAGAGTCACCGGCACACTCTTTCCTTGCTGGTCCAAGAGGATGCCGAAGCCCTGTGGAAGGGAGACCGAGAGAGGGGGATCGGGTGGTAGAGACAAAACAATACAGTGAGCCACTGGCAGGGAGGTTGAGGCATGAGAGAAGAGGTTGGATTGGTTGGTGCGGAGGCGATGGCAGCAATGACAACGGAACCATGCTTCAGTTCGGATTCCAATCTTCCTTTAATATCACCTTCACACTCTTACCCCGCTCGGCCTTGCTGTCGAGGCTATGCAAGCACACCAGTCAGAGTGTACGAGGCAGGGAGCCTTCAAAACATGCTATTATCACACAAAAGCCTTGCCTTTGAACGGACGGTGTTGCTGAGGCATTCATCCCAGCCCGACTTCATGGTCTTGAGTTTGACAAATCTGTGCGGCCTGCAAAGAAGTAAGCAAGGCAGGCAACCGAACAAGACCATTGAGAAGAGGATGAGAGAAGGACGGGAGGAAAGGGAGTTCGGGGGCTGTGGGGAAGGGGAAAACTTGAGAAGGAAAGCAGCTGTAGGAGGAACAGAGATGTAGAGCAACAACGGCATGGGGAATATTATTGCCCATCTGCGACCGGAGAACCATGGCTTACCAGTAGGGTCTGCAGGCGTCGGGCCCAGAGATGCGTGGCCCGCAGACGCAGGGCTCCACAGTCGCAAGGTCCAGCTGGAGGTGGGTGGAATACTTGGGCTTGGCCTCCGCCTCTCCAGCCTGGGGGTGAAACCGACGACAAGGCAAGGATAGAAGGGATCATACGCATGAAATTCAGATGCAGTGCTCTACAATAACAAGGTAAAGCGCAAGAGACGAAAAGTACTTGCACGTGGCACATGCACCCATGTGCATTTAGTCAAATTAAAACACACCACATTCGTTGCCATGTGAAAGCCAATGGCACGGTCTATGAATATGTGGTAGCACACCAGGTAACATCAACTCACCGTGGCGTGATCCATGAAGAGGTGGTTGGCGCGCATGTACGCCTCAACCTGCTCCACCTTCGCCTCATCGCGCCCCGTGGCCCTCAGGTGCTGCAGCGTCACCGAGTCCACCGGGAAGAACCCCATGGTCGCCCCAAACTCCGACAGCAGGTTCGCCACTGTCGCCCGGTCCGCCACTGACAGCTCCCGCATCCCCTCGCCATAAAACTCCACGAATGAATTCAGCATGCTGGGTTTCATGCACGTCATAGCCACATCCGTGGCCGTGGCTCCCGCTCGGAGCCTTCCCGTGAGGTTGACGCCCACGACTTGGGGGAGGTCCATGCGTATGGGCTCCCCGCGCATGGCACCTTTGGCTCTAGACCAGCTCTCGCCCCAGCCGAGGATGCCGAGACCATGGGTCAAGGTGGAGTGGGAGTCGGTGCTGACGACGCTGTCAGGGTAGAGCAGCCCGTCGACCTCCACCACCACCTGCGCCAGGTACTCCTGATTCACCTGCAGTTGGGACATCACAATGAAACAACACAGTTGCCTCAAGAGTCAATGCCGACGACGCTGTCAGGGTATAGCGGCCCCTTGACCTCCAGTATAACGCAAGAACAGTTATCACAAGTCAGTATATCGTGGCGTTTTTCTGTTGCACGGGAGTTGATGGTTGTAATGCGCCCCAAAAGTAGGCCGCAACGCAGAGACCCTCAGGCACTAGCAAAAAACTGACCTGGTGCACGATGCCAGCGCCAGGGGGGACCACAACAATCTGTCTGGTGGCCGTCGAGGTTGAATCAAGGAGAGCGAGCAGCTCAATGTTGCGCTCGATCGCGCGCTCCATGCTGAGGCCCACCGGGTGTTTGATCACCAGATCCACCGGCACCTGTGGGAAGGAGGGGGGGAAGAGGAGGGGGAGGAGAGGAAGGGACGGGGGTAAGGGACAGAACCGGCTCTGAGTCACTTCAGAAAGGCTCAGCACGTTAAACGTTCGGCGTAGTCCTCTGCACCGAGTGGTCAATTACCAAACCTACCGGCAGCTGGGGGAAGGAGGGGAGGGGGAGGAAGGGGGAGGAGAGGACGGAAAGGGGTGGAAGGGACAGAACCGATTTTGAGGCGCATCAGAAGGCTCCGCGCGTTGAGCACACTTGCATCGTCCACGTGCACCAAGTGGTCAATCCACATGCAGCGGGTTGGGGGCGAAAGGGGTCAGCAGATGACATCTGCTCTGAGCAGCAGAAGGACTTTTTGCAGCAGGACATTTGACTCAGAGCAGTATAACCGCGATTCGAACAAGAAAGAAACATGAATTGTACGTGAGTGAATGCATGGAGAACAGCATGAGGCGTGCACAGTTTTAAAATGCACCTGAGGGTCGATGGTAAGAAGATTGCAGCCGGCCTTCCTCAACGCGTCCTGTGTCGCAACGAGGTCCACACCAGCAGGAACGCGAGTGAAGTCCTGATCAATCAATACAAGGACATAATATGTTATTCACATGTATGACATGGTTCACTTATGGAAGGGGGGGCGGGCATGAGAGGTCAGCATGTGGTTAGGCTTGAGAGCACCTCCTGTGGATGCCTGGGGGGTGGGGAGAGAGGGGAGCATAAGCGGGGCAGCGGGAAGCACGGGAAGCAGGGCAGCATGGTGTAAGGAGAGTGGAAAAGTGCCATGCGCTCGCAACCAGCGATGCCGCGTGCCGCATCACGCCCCCCTCCCTTACGCGACGCTACGTCGCTCTTTGCGCCTGATGCGATCCTACGCCGTCACGGCCCCCCTCCCCTTGCGCTAAAGTTCCAGCGCCCCTCCCCCCTTCCTAAGGTCAATTCCGCCTCTCACGGCCCTCCCCTCTCTCCCACGAATGCGCCCACCGTCGGGACGGCCAGCGCGACCGTCGGAACGGCCACGTTGACGGGCGTGACCTAAATCGCGGACGGGCGCCACTGCCACAACGAACGCGGGCGCTCGTCGTGACCGAATCCGCCGCCGCCACTGCATTTCGCCGACGCGGAACAATCCGCCGCCCACGCGACCTGCTTTCGTCGCCTCTTGCCGCAGCTCCTACCACTTTCACCACCACAGCTCATGTCGCGGCCTCACACCCTTGCGACGTACCATCGTCACCGCCGCTCTCAACTCTGCGGTCACGACTACTAGCCGCCGCCAACTCACCCCTCACTCCCACCGCCCCCTCCTTTCCCCGCTCTCCTCCTTAAGCCCTCCAGCCCTCCTCTCCCCCTCGCTTCCGCATCTCCCCTCGCTTCCTCCTCCTCAGGGCACTTCAGCCCTGCTCCCCACTCGCTTCTTCCTCCTCAGGGCACTTCAGCCCTGCTCCCCACTCGCTTCTTCCTCCTTAGGGCACTTCAGCCCTGCTCCACACTCGCTTCTTCCTCCTCAGGGCACTTCAGCCCTGCTCCACACTCGCTTCTTCCTCCTCAGGGCACTTCAGCCCTCCTCCCCACTCGCTTCTTCCTCCTCAGGGCACTTCAGCCCTGCTCCCCACTCGCTTCTTCCTCCTCAGGGCACTTCAGCCCTGCTCCCCACTCGCTTCTTCCTCCTCAGGGCACTTCAGCCCTGCTCCCCACTCGCTTCTTCCTCCTCAGGGCACTTCAGCCCTGCTCCACACTCGCTTCTTCCTCCTCAGGGCACTTCAGCCCTGCTCCCCACTCGCCTCGTTGGGCCTTTCAGCACCCTTCGGCAACCTCACCTGCAGCACCCCTTAGCTTGCTTGCCTCCTCACCTGCAGCACCCCTTAGCTTGCTTGCCTCCTCACCTGCAGCACCCCTTAGCTTGCTTGCCTCCTCACCTGCAGCACCCCTTAGCTTGCTTGCCTCCTCACCTGCAGCACCCCTTAGCTTGCTTGCCTCCTCACCTGCAGCACCCCTTAGCTTGCTTGCCTCCTCACCTGCAGCACCCCTTAGCTTGCTTGCCTCCTCACCTGCAGCACCCCTTAGCTTGCTTGCCTCCTCACCTGCAGCACCCCTTAGCTTGCTTGCCTCCTCACCTGCAGCACCCCTTAGCTTGCTTGCCTCCTCACCTGCAGCACCCCTTAGCTTGCTTGCCTCCTCACCTGCAGCACCCCTTAGCTTGCTTGCCTCCTCACCTGCAGCACCCCTTAGCTTGCTTGCCTCCTCACCTGCAGCACCCCTTAGCTTGCTTGCCTCCTCACCTGCAGCACCCCTTAGCTTGCTTGCCTCCTCACCTGCAGCACCCCTTAGCTTGCTTGCCTCCTCACCTGCAGCACCCCTTAGCTTGCTTGCCTCCTCACCTGCAGCACCCCTTAGCTTGCTTGCCTCCTCACCTGCAGCACCCCTTAGCTTGCTTGCCTCCTCACCTGCAGCAGCCCCCGCTCCCGGCTCGCGTGCGACCTCACCTTACGGAGAAATGTGGCTACGAACCTGCAGGATGACTCGAGCTGGCTTGAAGAGGATCTTCTCTTGGTGCAGGGGATTTTCAGCCCAATTCAGGATCTTCTCCACGTCCTCCTTCGTGACGTGGTCATTGTCGCAGTTGCGAACGGCGGACTCCAGCATGTACTTGACAAGAAATGGCAGTTCATCTGCAAGATAAAAGGTAATTACTTAAAACGAGCTAATGGAAAGATATTCAACTGGAAACTGAAAACAAAGAATCAACGAGGTACCGATGCGAGAATCTTCGAGTTGGGGGAGGCTGTAATATGAGCCAAACGAGCCGCCTTTGGGGTTTGGCAACTCTTTTAGCACGTGCTCGAACAGATTCGTCATGGTTCTGCAGAAAAAAACAAATCAGGAAAGTGTCAATCAGTAAGGAAGGAACGAGCAGGAAGGGATCCAAACGACGCTAATATTATCACGGTTATTCGTCATAATTCTGCGGTGTGTGCTTGCTGCTGGCTAATATTATCTCTCATCATGCAACGGATGATCTAGCAGGAAGCTTCATGAGTTATCTAAGATGGCGCTCACCTGTGGCGCGATGGATCATAGACGGAGCAGCACCGAAATCCACGTGCTGAGCCTCAAGAGTAGTTCCCTGGGTGAGGATGCAAGCGGTCTCTAGTGGAAGTACATCTAAGTGAAAATCTATGGCAAGGTAGTCTCCTAGTGAAATTCACGTAGATCTGGATCTGGACACCAGTGGTGCAACACACCGAATAGCGTCGTGCAGGTAGATCTGAGTCACGATGCGTGATTACTAGTCTCCAAAAGGTTAGTGTGCTGTGGCGTGGCGTGGCAATAGGAGGGGAAATGTGGTGGGTGTTGGAGTGATCTGCCGTGCAAGCTTGCTTGCGTGAAACCGTACAAACTCCAAGAGAGGTCAACATCGTGGCGAATCCAGAGAGCTAATCAAAAGAGCGAAGCGCGCGTTGAGCTGGCGTGCTGCCGCGTTAGCAGACTAATTCCGAGGAAGCTTTGTGGCAGCGTGGTAAAATCGACGGTTCAGTGCTCGATAAAAGTGAGTGGGGTAGCGTGTATAGTTCGGTTGCTCCGTTTCGCCAATGAAAACAGAACTTCACAAAAGTTCACTTTCGAGTTAGTCGAAGCGGTACGGTAATGTTCTGTGCAATCCGAAGCGGTTATTTTGCTTCACCCCCCAAAATTGTGAACTCAGATTTTTTCGTGACTCAACCAACTAGATTTGGATACAATCTGTTCAGTTCGATCCCCACCACTTCTATTTCAGCGTCGTCTCGCGAAGTCACGGACGAGGCGCGGGCGATGGACGGACGGACGAGGCACCTCCCCGCTCGCGCCTCGTCCGTGCTGGCGGAGGTGCGCGCGTCGTTCAAGGCGCCTCAAAAGGCGGCGACGTTGGTTGGAGGCGCGCTCTCCGCCGCCACGGACGAGGCGCGGGCGGGATGCACGCGTGCTGCCTGATTCATCCGCGCGGAGGCGCGCGGGGAGGTGAATGTTCAGCACAAGGAAAGCAAGACAGTTGCGACTGTGATTTTCTGTGCGCGCGGAGGAGCGCGCGGCGCTGCCCTTCGCCGCGACGAACGACGCGCGGTCGAGGTGAGGTGCGCGGACGAGGGGGGTGCGGGAGGAGAGGGCGCTGTGGGGATGGGGGAGGTGGTGGGGGGAGGGCGCAGTGGGGAGAAGGGGAGGTGGGAAGGGGAGGGCGCAGTGGGGAGGGGGGAAGGTCGGGGAGCGGAAGGCGCAGTGTGGACGGAGTACGGTGGGGAGGAGAAGGCGCAGTGGGGAAGGGGGGGAGGTCGCGGCGCTGCCCTTCGCTGCGTCGGACGTGGGTGCATGTTTGCCCTCGCTCCCACACCTTTCCGCTTCCTGCTCACGCACTCTTCTCCCTCCCGCCGACCCCCGTTTTCCGCCATTTTCCCCCCTTCCTGCCCATCACACCCTCTCTGCCCGCCTCTCTCGTGCCCACTTCCCCCCACCCGCCTCCCCCTCTCTATCGGTCCTACCTGCTGAGCACGCCGGTTGCCTCCCCCTCTCTATCGGTCCTACCTACCCTTTTCCCAACCCCTTCTGGCCCTTGCCAGAATGGCTGCAGCACACACAAGAGTCGACGTGCCACGGCGTTTGAGCAACCAGGGCGTGTCCACCCGCCACCTCTCTCCCCACTGCCTGACCCCACTCCCATCCATTACCCCCCCTCCCACTGCCTGGCTACCCGATCCGCCCCTAACCCCCTCCAGGCGGGTAGCAGCAAGCACAAGATGCAGCGTACCGAGGTGCTTGTACAGCAGGGGCTGAACCCCCCAATTGACCTCCAGGCTCTGCTGCTGAGAGGGGAGAGGCAACCGGCGTGCTCAGCCTGCAGGCTCTGCTGCTGCGAAAGCCTGCAGGCTCTGCAGAGAAAGGAAGTGGTAGAGAGGCGGAACTGAGAGAGGAGGCGGAGAGAGGGGGCAATCTGTGGGTGTAGCCTTGCGTGGAAATTGAAGCACAGTGGGCAGCTGCCAGTGATGGCGAGGGCAAACAAGCACAGCAGCTACCCGTGGTGGCGAGGGAGGGCGAAGATATGAGTCCGCGGGGGGCAGCAGTGCTGAATGTGGCGAGGCGGGGGTCGGGAATTCTATCAGTGTCAAAGACGTTCCTCAGGTGAGTGCAGTGTGGGGGAAAGGACAGGTGAGTGCGGTGTGGGGGAAAGGACAGGTGAGTGCGGTGTGGGGGAAAGGACAGGTGAGTGCGGTGTGGGGGAAAGGACAGGTGAGTGCGGTGTGGGGGAAAGGACAGGTGAGTGCGGTGTGGGGGAAAGGACAGGTGAGTGCGGTGTGGAGGAAAGGACAGGTGAGTGCGGTGTGGGGGAAAGGACAGGTGAGTGCGGTGTGGGGGAAAGGACAGGTGAGTGCGGTGTGGGGGAAAGGACAGGTGAGTGCGGTGTGGGGGAAAGGACAGGTGAGTGCGGTGTGGGGGAAAGGACAGGTGAGTGCGGTCTGGGGGAAAGGACAGGTGAGTGCGGTGTGGGGGAAAGGACAGGTGAGTGCGGTGTGGGGGAAAGGACAGGTGAGTGCGGTGTGGGGGAAAGGACAGGTGAGTGCAGTGTGGGGAGGGGCAAGTGGGTGCAGTGTGGGGGACAGGGCAGGTGAGTGTGATGTGGGGCAGCCCTGCCAGCCTTGTGTGCGGCGAGATGGGGTCGGGCAAGACCATGCAAGTGCCACTTTTTGTACATGAGAAGGTAGTGCATACTTTTATATCATTGTCATTCACCTTGGCATGACTGAGGACGGTATGAAATCCTTCCTCTCCCCTCCCCCTCCCTCCCCTCCCCTCCCTCCCCTCCCCTCCCCCCCCAAACCCCCCTTCTTTCCCCCCAATGCAGGTGCCTGAGACGGGGTTAGCATCCGTACTATCCTAGATTTACAATCGGAAGAAATGGTTTTTAGTACCATGTCTGCTCAGGTCACGTTAGTTCCACATACATTGTTAGTAGCAGTGCATCAGCTTTTCTGTGAATAGTGCAATAGCTGACGCGTGAGCAGTGCGACTGCTTTTGCGTCAGCTGTGCAACAGCTGTTGTATGTGTAATCACTTTTTGTATGAGCAATACAACAGCTTGCAGTGTGTGTGAGTGTGCTGTGCAATAACTTCTGGAATGTGTGTAGTGCATCAACAGTGCTATACAGAATAATTCTGCAGTGCAGATTCACAACGACCTAAAATCTTTCCTCATTTGTTACACCTAAGCAGCCTAATGTTTTGCGCACGGTAAACACATTTAAGAATGAACAATGTATTCAGCTGAACACAGTGCCCTTCCTCAGGGAAACTAAGCAGTTACTGCTCCTCTTGTCACCACGACCCCTATTGAGCTGTTCACATCCCCTGCTGCAAGCAACAACCTTCACAGCTGCGAGAGCCGTTGCTAGCGTGCTGTGCCGTCCACCTCCGCAGGCGGGGTGAGGCCCATTTGACTTCGGGCAGCGTCCCACCCTCCATCATCTGAGCACTCACCCACAGGGGCGCTTTGGACGTTGGGTGGCGTCCCACCCAACGCCCTCCACAGCCCCTGCCATCACTCCACCCAATGCCGCCCTGCCGCCCACCGTACTGCCCGCCTGCAGAACACAAGCGAAGCAAAATCAGGAGAAAGTGAGAGAGGCAGAAGAGGGCAGGTACAGAGGGACGGAAAGAGGGAAGCAGGCACGCACCTGGAGGCCCCTTGTGTGACGAGAGGCAACGCGGAGGTGAGGATGGATGTCGTGGTTGAGGGGCGGGCACGGGTGCGGGGCGTCAGCCTGTGTGTGTGGCGGCACGCAGGTGCTGGCAGGCCGTGTGGCCTGCGCTGCTGTGTTGTGCTCTAGCACGTAATGGCGCTTGGGTCGACACACCACATGCACTCGCGCTCACACGCATCGCCCTGTCAGGCACTCTGCCCCGCCACACACGTCGTGAAGCGCTGCCGGGAGGGCACGGGGAAAAGGGAGGGTACGGACGGAGCAGGTGTTAAGAGGGGATGCATGCGGGAGAGGGGAAGAGGGGGACAGGCAGAGGGCGGGTGACGGGACATACAGCATAAAGGGCTTGAGCATTACTCAGTTTTTTCAAGGGTTACAAATTTCAGAAAGTGACCATCGCCCCTTTGCTGCTAGGAGTTTCCCTACTGCTGCCCTCCTCCATGCGCACTGATACGCGAGCGTAAAGCTCGACACAACTAACAAAAAATGTTGGTTCGGGGTAGCAATGTGTTGTTAAGGGGGGGGGGGGGGGGGGGGGGGGGGGGGGGGGGAGGGGAGGGAGGAGGGAGTGTGGTGTTGAAGAGAAGGGAGGGAGGCAGCGGGACGGTGGAAAGGCGACGGCAAGACAGGTGAAAAAAGTGGCGCTCACCGAGGCAGAGAGGAAGCAGCACCACACTGCCCATGTCCACGCCAGTGCCAAGTGGCCTGTGTGGTGTGGACCGTGGCAAGTGCAGTGAGTCAAGGCTCAAGTCCATGGCCTGCGGTGCGTCACTCCACTCCAGCACCAGCTGCTGCAGCATGTGCACTCTCTCCGCCTTTTGCGCCACCCTCGCGTCAAACGACTCTCCACTGCCCCCTGCTCCTCCCTTGGCCCCCCTGCCTCCACGCCTGCCTTGCCCTTGCTGCTGGCATGGCAGCACCACTGGCAGATGCCCTGGGGACGAGGTAGGAGCGGAGCAATACGCTACGACGTAGCAGTAGCACCTGCACCCTAAGGATGCGGGATGGGGAGCGGAGGAGGAGGACATGGAATTCACAAGACAACGTGTCAGTAGACGAAAATATACATACACATGTCTGGAAATCACGGATTGAAAAGTAGCAAGATTGAGAGAATGCATACGAGAGGCAGCATGAGAGAAAGGTAGCAAAAGAGAAAGACAGCATCGACAGCTAACACAAACTAAACATACATTTGGAAACTGGCATAGCTGTGGATGGAATGGGACAAGGTGGGCGTTGCCTGAAGTCAGGTGAGCGCGTTGCCTGACCTGAGCGCGTTGCCTGACCTGAGCGCGTTGCCTGACCTGAGCGCGTTGCCTGACCTGAGCGCGTTGCCTGACCTGAGCGCGTTGCCTGAGGTGGATGGCGTGCATGAGGTGCGCGCGTCGAGCCCCATGTGGGTGAGTGCCGCCCGCCCACCTGGCACAGTCCTCCGTGCCGTCCCCCTGCACCGCCTCCGCCGCGCCTGCACTCCACCGCACCCTCCACTCTCCGCCCCACCGCCAGCAGCCTGCACGGGTGCCAGTGCAGGGTGAGGGGGAACACAAGGTGGTGGGGAGCACACATGGCGATGGGGAGCACAAACGGTGGAGGGGAGCACAAGCGGCGTGGGGGAGAGCATGGGTGTCATGCACAGCGAGCACAAGCAAAGAGTGCTGTCAGTAGAACCACTCTTGAGTCTCTGCAGTGGACCCACTCCTTCCAGTTGTCTGCCTCCACACGCCGTGAGGCGCTGCCGGGAGGGCAGGGCGGAAAGGGAGGGAACATAGGAGCGGTGTTGAAATCCCAGGTGCGCCCTCGTCTCTGCGCCTTCATCCCAGGTGCGCCCTCGTCTCTGCGCCTTCATCCCAGGTGCGCCCTCGTCTCTGCGCCTTCATCCCAGGTGCGCCCTCGTCTCTGCGCCTTCATCCCAGGTGCGCCCTCGTCTCTGCGCCTTCATCCCAGGTGCGCCCTCGTCTCTGCGCCTTCATCCCAGGTGCGCCCTCGTCTCTGCGCCTTCATCCCAGGTGCGCCCTCGTCTCTGCGCCTTCATCCCAGGTGCGCCCTCGTCTCTGCGCCTTCATCCCAGGTGCGCCCTCGTCTCTGCGCCTTCATCCCAGGTGCGCCCTCGTCTCTGCGCCTTCATCCCAGGTGCGCCCTCGTCTCTGCGCCTTCATCCCAGGTGCGCCCTCGTCTCTGCGCCTTCATCCCAGGTGCGCCCTCGTCTCTGCGCCTTCATCCCAGGTGCGCCCTCGTCTCTGCGCCTTCATCCCAGGTGCGCCCTCGTCTCTGCGCCTAAGGTGCGCCCTCCAAGCAGTTGCTGGCACTGGACTGGCATGGGAGGAGGCATGCAGCACAGCCATCACCTGGCGTGGCCGGGCACAGTCAGCCATCTCGTGGCGTGGCCAGCCACAGCCATCACCTAGAGTATCTGTTGAGGGTCTGTGCCCCCAAGTCGTGAGCCCCATTCATGTTGCTCGCTTCTCTGATTTCCTTTCACTGTGATCTTGTTCTTCGCAATTCCTTTGCAGTCCCCCCTGCTAATCAGCATCATGCTGGTTCATGGGCTCGTTGGGCAATTTCAGTCGGTAGGGCAACTTCAGTCGGGCAATTTCAGTCGGGCAATTTCAGTCGGACAACCTCAGTCGGGCAACTTCAGTCAGGCAACTTCAGTCGGTCGGGAAATTTCAGTCGGGCAATTTCAGTCGGTAGGGCAACTTCAGTCGGGCAACTTCAGTCGGTCGGGCAACTTCAGTTGGGCAATTTCAGTCGGTCGGGCAACTTCAGTCGGGCAACTTCAGTCGGGCAATTTCAGTCGGTCGGGCAATTTCAGTCGGGCAATTTTAGTTGGTCGGGCAACTTCAGTCGGGCAATTTCAGTTGGGCGATTTCAGTCGGGCAACTTCAGTCGGGCAACTTCAGTCAGGCAACTTCAGTCGGGCAATGTTAGTCGGACAACCTCAGTCGGGCAACTTCAGTCGGGCAACTTCAGTCGGGCAATTTCAGTCGGTCGGGCAATTTCAGTCGGTAGGGCAACTTCAGTCGGGCAACTTCAGTCGGTCGGGCAACTTCAGTCGGGCATCTTCAGTCAGGCAATTTCAGTCGGGCAATTTCAGTCGGGCAACTTCAGTCGGGCAACTTCAGTCGGGCAACTTCAGCCGGGCAACTTCAGTCGGTCGGGCAACTTCAGTCGGTCGGGCAACTTCAGTCGGTCGGGCAACTTCAGTCGGGCAGCTTCAATCGGTCGGGCAATTTCAGACGGGCAATTTCAGTCGGGAAATTTCAGCCGGTCGGGTAACTTCAGTCGGGCAACTTCGGACTGGCAACTTGAGATTCTCATGCGGGCATGCAAGTGCATGTGTGGGCGTGCAAGTGGGGTCGGTGCTTGTGCAACTGATAGCCTCTCCCACTCATCCCCCTCGCCCCAACCATGCATGGCCATGCGCTTATGCGCTTATGCTCCCGTGCTCTCACACGCACACGCACACGCACACACGCACGCATGTGGCGGGCGCGCAGGTGTCCCAGTATCCTGAATGTGCGCCTGTGGCCCAATTAGAACGGGTGAGGGACGTGGGAGCGAGGGGTGTGGGATTGAGTGGACTGTGGTTGTAAAGGGTGAATGGTGTGGTAGCAAAGGTGAGTGAATGGTGCATCTCACGCAACCATATCTGCTGCCTTCATCCGTGTGACTCAGCCATTTTTCAGCACCACCCGCACCACTTGCACCCAGCCATTCACATGTGTGTGTGCCTACCTTGTGTCTGCCCGCCTCTCTGTGCGTGCAGGTGTCGCAACGAGGCTACGGGGTGCTGCTAGGTGCGTACCCTCCACCTGCCACCCTCCCACCCACCCCACCCCCCTTGCACGTGCGCCGCTTACCCCTCTATGTTTCTCCCCGTGTGTGTGGACCATTTCCCAGCTTCTCAACTCGGCGCGGGTCTCCCTTCCGCGCATCCCCTGCCACGCCCTGCTCACCTCCGCCCACTCACTAGCCGCCGCATCCCCCTCCGCACCGACTGCTGCGCCACTCCGCCAAGCGCAGCGCGCTCGCCCCCGCGGGCGGTGGGCGTGGCGCGCAGCTGGCGAATCCTAACTGGCGCTGATGAAGGCCTCACAGGCCGAAACGCATACGCCTACTTAGTACTTTTACTTTGAGACCTATCAAGTCCTTTTTTCATACCTTTTTCCTAGTCCTACAGAGCAACCCACCATACTTAGCTGAAAGTTTTAACGGCGACCACACGGTTGGCTTGCTGCGGTTCGAATCCTTCCTACTCCACTCCGCCAAGCGCAGCGCGCTCGCCCCCGCGGGCGGCGGGCGTGGCGCGCAGCTGCTGCACGGGGCGCGGGCGAGGCGGATCCGGGGGCGTGGCCGCTGGTAACCGCTGCGGGAGATGGTGCAGTCAGGGCGGGCAGTGGGAGGGTGGGCGCGCGCGGGTGAGTGGCAATGGAGCAAAGAGGCGGGTGATTAGCAGTGGTGCAGTGAGGGTGGGTGAGTGAGGTACCGTTCCCCTTCCTCCCCTCCCCTCCGCCCTTCTTCCCTCTCCCAAACCTCCTCCTCCCTTCCCCTTCCCCCCTTCTTCCTGGAGGAGCCCAGACATGAACCGCTTCAGTACTTTGCTCCCCTTGCTTGCTTTTCTATGCTCTCACTCGCCCGCGTGAAATCATTGCCATGTGGGCCCTATCTGCCCCCTCTTTCTCTTTTCCCAGGGATGCCAAAACCCCCTCTTTTCCCCTCAACCCCTCTTCCTGTCACCCCCTCTGCACGCACGCATCTGGACGGGACGTGAATCGCATCACTGGGCTGGATTCCTCCCCTCTCGCCTCTCCTCACTCGTTCGCGGGCAGAACCAAGTTGGCCGGCCAGCTTCCCTGAGAACTTGGCGCGCACCGGCCTCGTGAGTCTGTGGGTTCACTTGCTGCATGCGTGCGTGTGCTGGTTTAGGCTGACTTGGGTTGACTTGCATGTGTGTGCTCTGCTTCATTTGACTTGACCTGACTTGCACGTGTTTGACTGTGTATACTCCCTGTATTGCTTTTCCCTTTCTTCTCAATGTCCAACACTCCCTCCTCACTCACTCTCCCGTCTACACTCCATCATCTCCCCAAATTCTTACCCTCGATCATCACTTTCTCTCTCCCCACCAGCTTCCTGGGCTATAACCACTTCCAAGGCCCGCCTCCTGATTCCTTCTTGCAGCAAGCTCATCAATCTTCAAGTGCTGTAAGCCACACACTCACCTGCTGTGGGCCACTCTCCCACCCCATGCCGCTGCATGCGCCCACCAGTAATGTTTCTGCTCCTCCCTCATTTCACCGTCCTGCTATCGCCTGCATCTGGCCGCCATCTTCCCTTCCCCATCCCTTGCCCGTCTGTCTATTAAACCCCACACCCTCCTTATTACCCATCCCTTCCCATCCCCCCCTCCCTCATCCGCCTAATATCTCTTCTCCATTCCTCCTCCCGCTCTCCCAACCCCCTTTACCCCCTGTGTTTGACCACCCCCTTCATCCGTCCCTTGGCACCCTCCTTAACCTTCCTTATCCCTCCTTATCCCTCTTTATCCCTCCTTTTCCCTCTTTATCCCTCCTTATATCCTTTTGGCCCCCCCCTCCCTCCCCGTTCTGTGTACCCCCTAAACCTATCCTTCTCCATCCGCCTCCCTCCTCTCCCAGTCCCCTCTACTGCCTGCATGTGACCACCGCCGTCAGCTGTCCCTAACCCCCCACCTTACCGCTCCTTACCCCTCCTTACCCGCCTTATATCCCTCCCCTGTTCATCCCCCTCCCCTGCCCAGTTCCCACTACCGCCTCCCTGTAACGGCTGGCTTCCCTCCCTTGTACGTCGCCCCCTCGCTCCTCTCATTCTCCTCCTCCCCAACAACCATTTCCTCCCCCCCCCCCCACTCCCCCTCCTCCCCTCATCCCCTCCTCCACCCTTCCCCAGCATTGGTGCAGCCGTGGCTGTGGCAGTGCCAAGGGCGAAAGAAGGGGGAAGGCGACGGCACTGCTGCAGCTGCTGGCTCAAGAGAGGGGATGCGAGAGGAGTGAGTTGGAGAGCTTACGACCATTCCGGGTTACCTGATTCACGACGGCGAAGGGTGTGCGTGCGCGGACTTTGCGGGGCTCCAAAGAAAAACTCATTAGAAATTTTAAAACGTCGTGAATCTGAATATCATACCGTATCAATAACACACAACCACCCACCCTTTCATCTGCGGGTTGCTTGCATAAAAGGGCGCGACGTTGTTTCCTCCCTCGTCATTCTGGTCCAAATCGGTTGGATGAGGTCCGCAACAGTGGTCGGGTTGCATGTATATATGCGCAACCATGGCTGGCGCTGTTAGGATAAATGATCTGATTAGTCTAACCTTTCATATCTACCGTAAGTTATTTTTGTCTTCACCTGCGTGGATTTTCTCGCGTTTCGGGTGGTGAAATTCAACTGCTTCCTGACTCTGGCAGCAACCCTACAACATAGCTATACTACTGAAGCGCCACCAATCACCACTCTACCACCTGTGCCACCCGTGCCAATAGCTCACACCATCTCATCCTATGCCAATGGTCACATCACAAGCCCACCACCTATGGCCATGAGCCCACCAGCTTTGCTCACAAGCCCTCAACTATGGTCACAAACCCACCAGCCCTAGTCCCGAGCCAACTGCCCTGGTCCCGAGCCACCTGCCCTTGTCCCGAGCCACCAGCCCTGCCCTGGCCCCGAGCCACTAGCCCTGCCATGGTCACGAGCCACCAGCCCTGCCATGGTCACGAGCCACCAGCCCTGCCATGGTCACGAGCCACCAGCCCTGCCATGGTCACGAGCCACCAGCCCTGCCATGGTCACGAGCCACCAGCCCTGCCATGGTCACGAGCCCCTAGCCGTGGTCACGAGCCCCTAGCCGTGGTCACGAGGCGACGAGCTTCTTGAGCCTCTCAGCGACGGCGGTCATCTCGGGGCGCAGCTCCTCCTCCCCAATGCAGAACTTGGCGATGACGGCGATCTTGAGCGCGCTGTCGCGGTCAAAGCTGCTCTCCAGCGCCGAGTCGATGAGCAGGTCGATCTCGGGCTTCTTCTGGTCCAGCAACGGGAACACCCAGCTGGTGAGCGGCTGCCCCGTGTCTGAGACCGCACGCTTGCCCGTGATCAGCTCCAGCAGAAACACCCCAAAGGCGTACACGTCTGAACTCTGCCGCAGCAGCCCTGGCGGGGAGGGGGGGGGGGGGGGGGGGGGAACAGAGGGAAGAGAAAAGGGTTGTGAGGGGGGAAAGGGAGTAAGTGGGGAAAAGGTGGTGACTAAGAGCTCATGCAGTGCTGGAAACAGGGGCACCTGTGGATAGAATTGCTGGCAGCAATGCCATTTCTGCATCACTGTGTGTCCGTCAGCTACTCACCGCGCAATCTGTGCCCCTAGCACCTGGTTTTGTGCGTGGCACCTGGATTTGCACATGGCACCTGAGCGTGTGAATGGCACCTGAGCGTGTGAATGGCACCTGAGCTTGTGAGTGGCACCTGAGATTGTGCGTGGCATCTGGTTGTGTGCGAGGCATGTGAGAGTGTGCGAGGCATGTGAGAGTGTGCGAGGCATGTGAGAGTGTGCGTGAGGCACATGAGAGAGTGAGGGAGGCAACTTAGAAAGTGCGGGGCACCTGTCTCCATGTAGTCGGGGTCGAGGTATCCCAGGGTGCCCATGACGCGAGTGGACACGTGCGACTTGCCCGCCTCCTGCTCCTTGCACATCCCAAAGTCGCTCAGCTTCGCCGTCCAGTCCTGCCAGCCCCACCGCCAACGCCGCCACCCAGAGGCACGCAGGGAGGAGGGGAGAGGGATGTGGTGAGTGAGGGGTGGCGTGGTCAAGAGCACTCAAAGGCAGGAAGGATGGACAGAAGTTTTTTAGAGTGATGCATGTTATCAAGGGTGATGGCAAGAGGAGGAGACAGCATGCAGCAGGCAGGCGTGAAGTCTCTCCCAAACTCCACGAGAATGTGCAGTGGGGCCTACTGCTCGTCTCCCCATCCCTCCCCCACCCTCCCACCTCCTCTGCACGGTCATGGCACCCGTCCTCCCTTCAGCCACCATCAACCCATCCGCACACCATCATGAAAGGTGATCAGCCTTGCTTGCTCCACGCCCGCCCGCCCGCCCACCACCTTGCCACCTTGACCAAATCTCCCAGCCTCACATCCCACTTCTACAGCATCAACCTCCCCCAATCACATAGCTCCCATGCATACCACTCACCCAGGCGCACATAGCTCCCATGCATACCACTCACCCAGGCGCACATAGCTCCCATGCATACCACTCACCCAGGCGCACATAGCTCCCATGCATACCACTCACCCAGGCGCACATAGCTCCCATGCATACCACTCACCCAGGCGCACATAGCTCCCATGCATACCACTCACCCAGGCGCACCCTTCCCACTAGTGCATTCCTCCCCACCTTCCCCCGCCCATATCCCTCTCCTCTCCCCCCTCCCCACTTGCACTGACCGCATCAAGCAGCACACCAGCGCCTCAACCTTCACCCCAACACCACCCAGCACCTTGCCAGCTTGCCTGAATCTCCCTCCCCACCCCTCCCCTTGCGCTCACCGCATCGAGCAGCACGTTGGAGGGCTTGAAGTCGCGGTGAATGACGTCGTTGCCGTGCAGATACGCCAGCCCGTCTCTACCTTAACCCCCTCCTTCCCCCCCCCCACCCCTTGAACTGACCGCATCAAGCAGCACATTTGAAGGTTTGAAGTCGCGGTGAATGACGTCGTTGGCGTGCAGATACGCCAGCGCCCCCTCACCCCTCTCCTTCCCCCCTCCACCTTCCCCCTCCTTCCCCACCCCTCCCCTTGCGCTCACCGCATCGAGCAGCACATTGGAGGGCTTGAAGTCGCGGTGAATGACGTCGTTGCCGTGCAGATACGCCAGCGCCTCTGCTGACTGCCACGCCACGCTCACCCGCCGCTCCCACGAAAACGGCTCCTGCCCCGCTCGCTTGCCTGCCCGCATGCACGGAGTGGGGGAGAAAGGGGAGGGCGACAGCGCGGAGAGGGGACGGAGGGGTGGGTGTTGGGCGGGGGGGGAGGCGAGTGGGAGAAGGCAGTGTTTGCAAGGATGCGGGGAAGGGATGAGAGAGGACGGGTGGGGGGAGAGTGTGAGGGAGGGTGGGAAGGGGAGGGGGTGTGGGGAGAGGGGAGCGGGAGTGAAAGAGAAGGGTTGGGTGGACAGGGGTTGAATGACGGTGAACGGGAGGACCAGTTACATGGTGAGGCGAGACTGCTGGTTATGGGAGTGCGCGTGTGGAGGGAGGGCCCGGGGGGAAGAGGGGTTGGGTTTTGAGAAATAAAAGCTGGGAGAGAAAGGTATTGGAGGGAAGGAATCAGAAAAGCGGCTTACGGTTGAAGAGGGCGGATTCAACGCTGTCATTGGCGTAGTAGTGGTAGACGAGCAGGCACTCGCCCTTCTCCTTGCAGTACCCCACCAGCTCCACCAGATTCGCATGCCGCAGCCGGTCCAGTATCAGCACCTCCGCCTGTTGCGCCACGGGCACCCAGGTGCGCACGAGGTGGGGAAGGAAGAGGGAAGGGGTGAAGATGGGAAGGGGAGGAGAAGGGGGTGAGATTCGCATGCCGCAGCCGATCCAGTATCAGCACCTCCGCCTGCCCATGCCATCACCACCCACCACCGAGCGCCGCACAATGGGCGGGGAGGGGGGAAGGAGGGGGGAGGGGAGGGGGATGGGGGATGGGGGAGGGGAAGGGAGGGAGGGAGTCGGGAGTGTGGGGGAGGATATCAATGGATGAGAGAGGGAATGGATGGAGGCGTGAGGGAATGGATGGTGCGTTGCTCTGTGATGAAGTGCCACCGTGTGGGGATGGTGTGGGCTGCATAGATAGAGAAACGTTGCTTGAGAGAGAAGCGGAGGCGAGGGGAGGAAGAGAGGCGAGAGACGATACATCCTCGCTCACCCCGCTGGCAACGCAAGGGCAGGGCCGCAGGCAGCAGCAAGCACCCACCACCCATTGCCACGCATCCCCCAAGCCTGCGCATACCACCTAAGCCAGGGTGCACCACCCGTGCGCGCACCCCCCAAACCTGTACACATCCCCCAAACCTGCACACACCCCCCCAAGCCTGTGCGGAACCCCCAAACGTACGCGCACCCCCCAAGTATGCGTGCCAAACAAGAGGGCACGCCCCAGAGTCTGCGCGGACCCCCCAAGCCTGCGCGCACCCCCCAAGCCGCGCGCCCCTCCAAGCCGCACGCACCCCCCAAGCCGCACGCACCCCCCAAGCCGCACGCACCCCCCAAGCCGCACGTACCAGCCACTCGTCGACGCCCTGCTGGCTCTCCGCGCTGAGCCGCTTCACCGCCACGTCGACCGCGCGCCCGTCGAGCTCCGCGCTGCCGCGGTACACCATGCCGAAGGAGCCCTCGCCCAGCACGGGGCACTTGGACGAGAAGCCGTCGCACATGTCGCGCACCTCGCGCAGCTTGAACTTGCGCAGCGGCCGCGCGCCCTCCGTCGCCGTCGACTCGACCGCGTCCGTGACGCGCGCGTCGACGTCCGTCGTGGTTGGCACTTGCGAGTCTGGCGCGGCGCGATGATGGGCGGCACGGTGGGGGATGAAGAAGGGACAGATGGGGATAGGGGTGCGCGGAGGGTGGGACGGGAGATGGCACGGTCAAGCACACGAGGGCGCACGAAACACGGAGTCGCAGCCAGCAGTGAAGCGGAGATCGAGGGACGGAGATGGCAGCCGCATGTGCCTCGCGCGACACCCTTCCCCGGTGCTCGCGTTCTAGCGCTGTTTAGATCGTTCGCGCCGCGGCGTCTTACAGTACCTTGCACTGTAACGGATTTTCCTGTCGGCTTCTGCGAAACTGCGTGGTTGCTCGCCCCCCCCGCGTCGTTCTTGCCGGCCACCTCCACCGACACGGCGCACCCCATCGCGATAACGAACGACTCTATAACCGGTACGACGGCACACCGGCTGCGTACGAGTGAGAACGGCGCAGGCACGGATGGCTAGCGCATGCCGCGCGTTGGGTGCTTCCGTTTCAGAGCTGGCTGATCCGCTAAAAGCTAATGCCTTTAAAGTTAAGTTAATATTATCAATAGCTACGTCGTACCTAGTGGTATAAATAGAACACTAGCTACCTAAGTCGATTGACTAAGCGGTAACAGATGGCAGCAGAGGCGGCATAACCTAACATCGTGCTGCAATGCAGCGATCCGCGGGATTGGGATGGAAGCTGAGTGAGGTGACGCACACGACGAGCATGACGTCATGGCGCACGCACGTCTAAATAACTATCGTCGCTACCCACGGCGCCATAGACGCCTCATTGGACTGTACTGTTGGGCCGCCAAGACGCGGTGAAAGCTGAGAGGTTGGGTTGGGTTGGGTGTTGCTGTGTCTGCTCTGCTGGGCTGGCTGACACCCTCTCATGATATGATGGGCGTGGTGATGGTCTTGCTCGCACTCTCACTCTTCCTCCTCGCACTCAACCGAACCAAACCGCCGCTTAACTGCCAGCCAGACCACCCCCCGCTTTCGCCTGTGCGCGACTGAGAGGAAGCGCGAAAAGCCCCGCTGTGGTCAATGCTGCTGCCTCGCACGGCCAAGCCCGGAGCAGGCGAGACGCAGAACCTTCTGGTCGGTGCTATTCGCGAAATAGACCTCTGCGATACGTGCAATGTAGAACTAGAGCTCGGAACGGCACTGCTTACATCCGTCGTGGCAACCTTAAATGCATGGTATTGCAAAAAATATATGAGCTTTTGCCATGAAACTTCTCCAGAGAAACTTATGTACTATAAATTCCAGAAATTTTATTAGATAATTCTTGATATTTTCATTTTCACGAACGTGTTTCTTATGCAAAGAGCAGCAGGAAAGCACCACATTTGAATTGGGGCTCCTTGCTCTGGCGAAACCTGGTGTAGCAACGCTTCACACAAGTAGAAAGAGTGTTTGTAGCGAGAGCGAATGTGAAAGAGGCTCAACCCAGCATCGCAGATCCCACTGTTGCCCACATCCACGCCAGTCGGCTAGTTACCTCGACTAGGTAGACCGACTCGCACCTCCTCTTCCGGCCGTACGTAATTGCCGTTGTGTTATCTCCATCGCAACACGAAAAGGTTTACAGCGGAGCTCGCGTTTCGACTGAACGGCGAACAAAAGGACACTTCGCACATCCTAGTGGCGCCGCGGAGCGCACCATGGCGCACTGGAGCCCGTACGACAACAATGGCGGGTGAGATCCCGCCGCCTTCCCCCTCCACCATTCGCGCCGGGAAATTCGCGAATTCTCGATCCGTGCTGCGTTTGCACGGTGTAAAGCTGCGAGATCTCTGCGGTAGAAGCGGATGGTCTGTAGAGTTTCCGCCGTTGCGGCCATACGGAAGCCAACTATGCGTTCCGCGTGTGCGAGACGCTATTCTGAGGCGGTGAGAGCGCTCCACGTGCGCTCTAACCTTCCATTCGTCAGCTGCTCTCGCTCTCACCTTCCTGAAAATATAGATTCAAGTTCATGCGAACCGACCTCGTCCAACCTTCATCTTTCCTGTCGCCCCATCAGCCCATCCGTCCCATCCACCAATCCTCGCTTCTCCGTCCGTCCATTCCATCCGGCCATCCATTCGCCCATCCTCCCTTCCTTCCTTTTTCGCCGTCGCCCATCCGTCGAATTCACCCTTTCCCCCGTCTGTCGTCTGCCGTTCCCCGTCCCCCTTCCCCCTCTCCCCTCTCCCTCCCCCGCAGCACGAGCATGGCGGTGGCGGGGAGCGACTTCGCGATAGTGGCGGGCGACACGCGCCTCTCCACGGGCTACAGCATCTACACGCGCTCCGCCTCCAAGATCTTCCGCATGTCAGCCCCGCGCCCCCCCTCCCCGCTCCCCCGCCCCTCGCCCCTATCGCTCTCTCCCCTACCGCTCCTATTGCTCCCCCCTCCCTTTCCGCACTCCCCTTCCTTCTTCATCCCCCGCTCCCCCCGCACTCCCTGCTTGCATGCTCGCCTGCTCGCCTTGTCGCTGATCGATGGAATTCAGGAGGAATCTTGGGGACTCGTTTCTCTCTCCTTCCTTTTCTGCATCTCTCGCCTCTCTGCTTCCCTTCTCGCCCCCCTTGCCTTGGCCCTTCTCCCCCAACCCCTCATGTGCTGCACCTTTCCCCCTCCCTCCCCACCCCGTTTGCCTTACGCCCTCCCCACCCTGTTTGCCTTACGCCCTCCCCACCTCTCTCTCATCCGCCCTCCGCCCCTTACCCCCCCAGCTCGGACCGCTGTGTGCTGGTGAGCTCGGGCTTCCCCCCTCACCCAACCTGCCCTGCTCCTTCCCCTTTCCCCCACTTCCCCTGCACCTCTCCGCACGCCCGTTGCCCCCAGCTCGGACCGGTGTGTGCTGGTGAGCTCGGGCTTCCAGGCGGACCGGCGCATGCTGCAGAAGGTGCTGCACCAGCGGCATGAGGTGCGCAGAGAGTGGGGGGGAGGGGAGACGTGAGAGGCGGGCATGGGGTGGGGCATGGGGGGATGGATGGGCGTGGGGTGGACGGGTTGATGCTGCAGAAGGTGCTGCACTCGCGGCATGAGGTGCGCGGAGGGGGGGCGGCATGGGGGGACGGGCATTTGGGGGCGGGCATGGGGTGGAAAGGTTTATGGTACACGGAAACTGGTGCATGAGGTGCGGGTGATGCAGTGTACGGGAAGACCTAGGAGGAGGGGACAGCCAGGGCCACAATGGGGGAACATGCGGACGGGCAGACGATGCTTGCTGCATGCCGGTGGGGCACTCAGAGTATCTGACATCGAAATTTGAAGTGTGCAAGGGAAACAGCTTTCCCACCTAACTCTGCTCATACCTCCCTTCTTTCCTCTCTCCTCCCCTCCCTTTTCCTCAACCCCCACCCCTCCCCCGTGCCTATCAGGTGTACCAGCAGCAGCACAACGAGGAGATGGGGTGTGAGGCGATGGCACAGCTGCTAGCCAACACGCTCTACTACAAGCGCTTCTTCCCCTACTACACCTTCAATGCGCTCGCCGGGCTGGATGCTAACGGTGAGCTGCTGGCCTGGATGCCAATGGTAGGCTGCTTTGCATGGCACTGGGACCACAGCTGCTAGCCAACACGCTCTACTACAAGCGCTTCTTCCCCTACTACACCTTCAATGCGCTCGCCGGGCTGGATGCCAATGGTGAGCCGCCCAGCCCCATGTGGCACGGGGACAGCGCGTGCTGCCCATGCACCATGCACCATGCACCATGCACCATGCACCATGCACCATGCTCCATGCACCATGCACCATGCACCATGCTCCATGCACCATGCACCATGCACCATGCTCCATGCACCATGCACCATCGCATGCCATGCACGCCATGTCTGCTGCACGCTGCTCTTACCATACTGTTCTTTTGGTGTACTCAAAAGCACTTGCCTCCCCTCCTCAACTCCCCACTGCATGCCCTTGTCACCACCGCCTCCCCCTTGCACGCACCACCAGGAGTGGGGTGTGTGTATGGGTACGATGCGGTGGGGTCACACGAGAGGCTGGGGTATGTGTGTGGTGCACGGCACGGGGCTTGCTGCCCATGCCGCATCATAGCCACTTGACTCCCCTCCTCATCTTCCCACTCCATTCCCCCGGCATCACCCCTCTCCCCTTCGCGCGCGCGCCCACAGGAGTGGGGTGTGTGTATGGGTACGATGCGGTGGGGTCACACGAGCGTCTGGGGTACGTGGTGCATGGCACGGGGCAGCAGCTCGTCGTGCCCGTGCTCGACTCGCAGCTCAAAGCCGCCAACCCCCTCGTGCTGCCGCCCCAGGTGCGCACCGCACCGCACGGCCCTACTGGATCCAATAGTTGAGAATGGTCAATAGTGCTGTTGCCACACGTGCGCACTTCTCGTGCGCGCAGCACAGCTGCAGGGTCGGAAGCCCACTTGTGTGCGCGCTTCCCGTGCTTTGCCTTGCCCTCTGCTCTGATTGTTCGCGTGTGCTCATAACAACATCCCTTTTTCTCTCACCTTTGCCGCGCGCGCTTCACGTGCGGTCTGCCCCGTGGCTGTGCCTGTGCCTGTGTGTGTTGGGCCATGTGCTGTGCGGTGCAGCCACTGGCAACGAAGCTATCACAGGAGGAGGCGGTGGACCTCATCAAGGACACCTTTGCCTCCGCTGCAGAGCGCGACATCTATACCGTGCGTGCCCTCCCCCCTGCCCTTGCCCCTGCACCCCTTAGTCAACCCGCCTGCTGTTTCTCCCTTTAGAATGAAGGTTGATACACTCCCTTTCTCCTCCCTTCCTCCCCCCAACTCATGTGTCAATGATAAATGCATATGGTATGCCATTGCATTGTGCACATCTTCTCCGCCCGCTTTCTGCCGATTGTGCGTGCATGTGTGTGTGGGTGGGACGTGCAGGGCGATGCATTGGAGATTGTGGTGATTGACAAGAATGGAGTGCGGCGGGAGATCATGGACCTGCGCAAGGACTAGTCAGTCCGGCACCACTTCTGCTGCTTGCTGTAGATACACTAGATTCATTAACGTGTATACCATATACGGTAGTCAAAGATGAAGGACAAAACAGATTTTTAATACAAGAGCACGTATTCCTCGGCTCAGTCCCTGTGCCAACGCACCCTGGCTACTCTAGGTTCGTCTGACTCTACTCAGAACGTATGGATGAGCTGAGCACAGATGAACGTTTGAATGCACCTCCATCATCCTCCTCTCCGCTGCAGGCAGCGCAATGCAGCGCGGACGGTCGCCATGCGCGCGTGCGCGCGTCACAGCAGCCCCAGGAGCGCCAGAAGGTTGTTCCCCGCGGGGTCCGCCACGTGCTCCACCACGTTGCGCCACGGCCCGCTCCCCGTCACCACCGCCTGCGCGAAATACCCTGCGCACGCCGCCATCGCCACGCGCCCGTGCTTCAACTCCGCCGTCCGCAGCGCGCGCGTCTCCGCCTTGGAGCGCCCGAGCCGCGCGAAGTTGAAGAACGGCCCGCCGGGATACGCGGGGCGCTTGGAGCCGCCCAGCAGCCGCTCGAGGCCGAAAAACGGCGTCGTCGCGCCGTAGCCGGGCGCTGCCAGGGCGCGCAGCACGGGAGGGACGGACGCACGGCGTGGCATGAGCTCCGGATGAGGATGATCGCACCCAGCGGCCATCGCGGGCGCATCAAACGAGTCTACACTGGCATGGCACGAAAGCACATTGTAGGCTTTACGGCGGAGCTGCAAGCGTGTTTACTCCGCGCGGGTGCGACTCACCGTAGTAGTCCTGCGCGCGCCGGTGCTCCGCGAATGCCAGCAGCGCCGTCTGCGCCACGAAGATCGCGTAGGGGTCAGCCCAGTAGTCGAACGCGCCGAGCGGCGGAACGACGCCCGAGCGGAACCACTCGACGCCCGTGCGCGCGGGGATGACGCCCAGATCGCCCATCATCTCCGGCGCGACCATCCCCAGCGCGCCCAACATGGCCCAGCGCGCGTGCACCACCTCCGCGTACGCCAGCCATCGCGGCGACACGAACGCGCCCGCCCCCTCCGGATCCGACAGGCCGAGCGGATCGAATCCGTAGTCGCCTGGCAGGCTGCGATGGCGCAATGGAGGCGGCTCGTAGGGTCAGACGCACGTGAGGGAAGATATGCACTCAGTCTAACAGTACGCACAGAAAGGAGCAACGCCGATTCCATGCGGGCAAGTGGGGACTGACCTTCCGTCAAGGTAAGTCAACGACTGAGACGAAGCGAACCAGGTTGGCCGATCATCCTGCACGGCCGCTTAGTGAGGACGGGCATTAGGCACCCTGTTTGTAATGCAGCGTAGTTCCTAGTCGTTCTTGCATGCAGCCTTACCTTATTCGAGCTTGCTTTGGCGACTATTCTGGGCCCCCTGCATGCTTGGAGTGGTATCCTGCTCGTTCTAGCACCGAGCTGCACTGGACGGAGTGTCGCTGGCGCGGTTGACAGTGCGCAAATTGACGCCATTATTAGCAGCAAGCTTGTGGGTCAGAATTTTGAAGACGAGGTATGATTGGGCTGACAGACACGCTGGTTCTACCGGAAAATTGTATTATACTTGAATGATAGACGAGCTTGTTGAATTATTAGGTAAATGAACGTTAGATTAGTTTGTTCCGTGGCACTCCATGACATCGGCAGATGTTTGACATTCCTTGGCATATGGGCAGTAATATAATTGACAGTCCTGGAATATGGGCTCCTTGGCATCCAGTTGCCGCAGACCGTACTACGTAATTAATGCACAATTTTGAGTTTGTAATTGAAAAATCTCACATCTTTACATTTATATTGAGAATAAACAGCTTAGTGCAGCTTGAGGTTGGTGAGGATGTTGTTGTTCACGGGGTCGGCCAAGTGGTCGAGCAGGTTCTGGTACGGGCCCACGCCGGTGATCCACGCCTGGAAGAAGAAGCCGAGGGCAGCGAGCATGGCAAGGCGGGAGTTCCTGACCTCCTTGGTCTTGTAGGTGTGCATCTCAGCCTCGGTCTTGCCCAGGCCAGCGAAGTTGAAGACCGGGCCGCCGGGGTAGATGGGGTCGCCGGAGCCGCCGAGCACCTTCTCAAGACCCAGCAGGTACTGCTTGGAGCCATAGCCGGGCTCTGCAATTCAAAAAAAGCAAAAAAAGTGTGAGTACTGGTATACCGTATAATAGACAGGGGGGGTACGTGGTAAAGTGTACAAGAGAAGACAGTTGGTCCGTGGTAAGAGGGAGCTTACTGTAGTAGTCCTGAGCTCTTCTGTGCTCGGCGAAGCCGATGAGGACGATCTCGAGGACGAACAGAGCATAGGGATCGGCCCAGTACTCGTAGCCGCCAAGAGGAGGGATCACACCGGACTGGAACCACACAATCTTGGGGCCAATGCCGTAGCTGCCGAGGATCTCGGGAGCGATCATGCCGGCAACACCGAGCATAGCCCAGCGGCCGTTGATCAGCTCGCCATAGGTGAGCCACTTGGGGTCGATGAAGTTGCCTGCACCCTCAGGGTCGGACAGGCCAAGGGGGTCGAAGCCGAAGTCGCCGGGGAGGGTCCCATCGAGGTAGCTCAGGGACTGGGGGGAGGCGAAGTAGGTCTGGCGAGTGGGCTGCAAAAAACATGCGGGGAATGCGAGGGTAACAATGTCAGCTATACGATCGTTAACTATGGAGGAACAAGAAGAGCAGGCGTTGTGGCTCGTAAACTCTGAGCTAATGTGAACAACTTTTCACCTTCTCAAGGCTTGCACGAGCAACGAGCCTCTGGCCGCGCACAGCAGTGACGGCAGGGACAGCGGAGCGCAGAGCCTTGCCGGCGACAAGGCGTTGGCGGGTAGCCTCGAGGGCAACCGGCGCGGAGGCGAGGGCACGGGTAGCAACGGCGGCCATGGCGTCAGAATCCGAGAATGTGGATTCTAGGGTCAGACACAGACAGCACTGCAGAAGGTCGGAGGAGAAAGGGATATCCTGGAGGGCTGATGGGAGCAGCGAGGTGGAAGGGGAAACGGGGAGTGGCGGGAGGAGATTGGGGGGGTCACCAGCAGCGAGCCAGTGCTGGATAACGTCGATTCGCCCAGCCAATGGGAGGAGTCGATGGAATGCGAAAACCAATTACTCGCCACACGTAGGATTCGTTTGAGACCACTCGGGCAACCTGCTTGGCATTGACACAATCGCGTGTTGGGAAAACTCATGCTCAGGATTGCAGCGCACGAAACAGTTACCGAGCGAAAGTTTTGACGAAACTCCCGAGATGAGATACTGATGTTTGCTGTTGATTAAAAATCGTACACCAACACCAAACCCTAAAAATAAATGGTATGATCCATGATGCCAGTATAAACATGCACATTATCTTCAATATATGAACGTGTCACACAACAGAATATGAACCACATTGACTATTGTTTCTCAAATGACTCCCCAATATCGTCAACATCCAATTGTGACAGTATATGATTCGTGCAAATGATCCTAGGGTTCACATCACATCATTGGAGAAGTGACATATGGTTTAGTAGTAGTATTGATTCACATTGATGCATTTCATAGGCACCGTGGAGCGCATAAGCTTCATACACTGCATATGATTGTACACTGCATGTCTCATTAGCAGTGTGTGCAGGCAACAACTCAACCTGCCTGGCAGGGTAGCATGTGAGGAGGTTCTCTCTACACCAAGGTTATGTTGGAAACAATCAGTCTTAAGCGCCTCTGTCGTGTCGAAACACCAAGACACAAGCGAAGCAAAGCATATCGAGGCACCAGCGAGTCAACCCTCGGAGGTTGAAGTAACTGCTGGAGGTTACGCGAAAGTCAAAAGTCAGCGACCTTTGACCTAACAAGTACAGCGCGACAGCAAGGACACACAACTGACTCACTACAGAGCAGTTGCCCGAGTCGTCACTGTATCGAACCGCAACAGCAACAGTAAAACAGTTATAACCGTATCCTTTCATATCCCTTGTACTCTTATATAATCTTGTATCTCTTTGTTTTAATCAATCTACTTTGCCCTCACATACTAGCGCAAGGTGGTTCACAATACTTCATTAAACGCTTCCGCTATTACATCAGTCCTAATCAGAGTTCATCCCTGCAAAGATCCTAAAGGCTTTTCTCAGCCCAACATGGTATGAGAGCAGTCAGGGAGAATTCAACCTCTACTAAATTACCGACAACATCAACAGGCATGGCTACACAAAAGGAAAGGAGCCCCTCCAACGGCTCCCAGGGTACTACTCCTACTCCACCTCCTGCCTCTGGCCTACAGACAGAGGAGGGCACGGCAACAAGACCCAGGGCAACATCCACCGAGACTCCTGCGAATCAACCTGCAGACTTCGACCAGAGCATGATGGAGAAATTCTTCTCCTTCATGTCTTTCTATGAGCAACGTCAGCAATCGGCACCTGCGCAGTCACACAACAGCAACAACAACGGAGCAACTCCCATGAGTCTCGACGGCTCATCATACGCACGAGGAAATCAACAGCAGCAGCCTACCTTTGCTCCGTACGAGCGCGGGTCCATCAGCTTTATGCCACACCCGCAGCCTTCACCTGGACAAGAAAGGTCACTGGACGCATTACAAGTTCAGTCGCAGTTCGCGCACGTTCTGAAAATGCAGACGTCAAAACCTTTCGATGGAAAGGATTTCTTCACCTGGTCGTTTGAATTCGAGTTAATGATGGAAGGCGCGCAGATACTTGGCTTCTTCGACGGGTCCCTGCCATACCCAACAAACGGCACACAGTATGAGAAGCAGCAGTACACCTATCAGTCGATGATGGCGTACACGATTCTACTGAGAAACATCACCCCGACTCAACAGCAGAATATACGGTCTTACCGGGGTTACGGCAACTCCGCGGAGCTCGCGTACAACCACTTGAAGAGCCTGTATCAAGCAACAGACAGCGTAAATCAAAGTCGGTTAATGGCGCAACTGACAACGGTCAAAATGAAACCAGGCGAGAAAGGAATGGCGTATATCAGCCGATGTCGCGAGTTGCGCGACAAGCTTCTTCGATGCGGGGGATCGATTTCTGAAGACGCCTTCGTGACAGTCATCATTGGCGGCCTCGGTCCTCAATGGCGCGCCACAAAGGCCATTTTCCGAGCCCACGGAAGAATCTCCGAAGTAGCACTCTGCGCCGAAATCCATGCCGAGCAGCAAGACATGGACCTGCAAGAAGAACGACACAAGAAGAAGACATCAGCACCGGAATTTGCATTCCACACTCAGCGACGCTACAACAACTACAAACAACAACAACCGAAGCCCGTACCTCCATTCTGCCACATCTGCAAGATGTCAGGGCACCCGCGCACGCACTGCCCGAATCGACAACAGTCAACTACACCGCAACGGCAGCTTCGACCCTCAAGCAGCCAAGTGGCATCGACGCAGGCGAACCCCACGAGCCAGTCGCAATCGTCAACAACACCACCTGCACAAGGAGCAAGGAACATCGTCAGCTGCATGGCAAAATTGACCGATTCCTGCATCACCGAGTCACCGCCACACTACTCACCGGAAGAACAACTCGACAACACCACACCTCGCCGGGAGTCACTTCAACCGAATCCAACGTACGCAGCCATCGCCCAGAGCGAGCCATCCGGGAAAGACACCTGGTTCTTGGACAGTTGCTGCGGACAACACATGTGCTCCTCAGGACGCTTCGTGCAGCAGGAATACCAACTCCAACACGAAGTAGTCATCACCGTCGCCAACAACCAGAACCTGCGCACACGACGACAAGGAGTGGTTCAACTTCAGTCACGAGAAACAAACGTGATACTACAGATGTCAAAAGTTCTGATAGCAGAAGGACTTGGATATAACTTACTCAGCGTCAGCCAGCTGATGGCGAAGGGCATCCATCTCGAAGCAGACAGCACCACTCAAGAATTCAAGTTGTACCACGGGAGAGGAGGCCTTTACATCGGAAAGGCGGTCCTGAAAAATAATGTCTTCGTTCTTGATTTTGTTCCAGATCTCGGCACAGCAGACAGCGACGGCATCGTCACCTTTACTTCCTGGACCCACCCTCCAGATCTTGATCCAGACTTCAGCCCTGGCGGCTTCTGGTATTCTCACACCATCCCTGAGGCAGAAAGAACAAGGGCATTAGCAACAATACAACAATCGGCAGCAGCAGAGACAACATCGGCAGCAGCAGAGACAACATCGGCAGCAGCAGAGACAACATCGGCAGCAGCAGAGACAACATTGACAGCAGCAGAGACAACATCGGCAGCAGCAGAAACCACATCAGCAGCAGCAGAAACATCAACGGTAGTAGCAGGAACGTCAACACCAATCGTTGGTCCTTCAACAGCACCGCTCCTCGTCGACGACACACCACCAACGCCCGCGCAACAACTACACCCAGCATCACGAGAAGTTCATCGAAGCGCCAACTTCACCGCCAGCTTCTACTCCAACTCCGACCTGTACCGACGATCACCCGGACATCGCGCCGACGAAAGCACCTGGCACGCAAGGATGGGACACCCAAGCAACACAGTATTAAACAATACGATAAGAGCAGGAGTACTCGACAAGGACTCACTACTACTGACCGATGGAAGAGAACTTCAACGAGTACGTGGAACGTGCTTCACCTGCCCTGAAGCTGACTTACCGCATCGACCGTTCGCGTCTCACCATACCCCAAGCGCACCAGCGTACACACCACTCGAGAAGGTGTACAGTGACATCCTGTACAACCGCGAGCCGGGACAGAACGCGTACAATTACACTATCACGTTCATCGACGCCGCGACACGTTACGTCTGGCACTTGAATCTTCCAAGCAAGGATATGGCGTTCGAAGCGTTCGTCGCCTGGCTCCCTGTAGCGGAAAGAGAATCGGGCGTCAAGCTAAAGAATTTTTAGTCAGACGGAGGAGGAGAATACACCTCACAGAGGTTCAAGCAATACTTGGCTGAAAGGGGAATCAAGCGGCTCATCTCCCTTCCCTACGCCCATCAACAGCAAGGTGTAGCAGAGAGGATGAACAGGACTCTCCAGAACACCATGCGGAAACTGCTACGTGGCATGCGGCTACCTAACCACCAGTGGCCCGAAGCAATGGACCACGCCGTCATGCTGCACAACTTGCTCTCGTCATCATCGCTCCCGAACAACGCATCACCGCACCTGCTGTGGACAGGAAAACTGGGCAGCACAAAAATGTTAAGGGTCTTCGGCTGCATGGTACAGTACCGGCCCCCATCTGCACGAGCCGGCCGATTCTCTCAACGCGCACAGTGGGGACTACACCTGGGCATCGAAAAGCATTACAACGCATGGAAGATTTTCGACGTCGAGACAAAAGAAACAGTGGTAGCACGTGATGTCATTTTCTACGAAAGACTCACACTGCCGACGTACCTTGCCAACCTGGACGAAAACCGAGACCTCACAGGTGGCTTTCGTGGAGACCGAGCCTTCGCTTCGGCAGAAGACGAAGCTGACTGGGACGAGCAGAACGTGGAAGGAGCCTTGGAAGAAGCCGGACCCCTCCCCTACTGCTCCGTTGACGTGCCAATGGACGACGAAAACCCACGCGAAAGCATCAACGCCGAAACATACTACCACTTCGCTGACAACGGTTACGTTACACCTGCACAAGTCAACACTGACGAAGCAGAACGTGTAGGACCCAACTTCGTACCTGATCCAGAAGCGGGAGACGAAGCAGTTTATCCCGCGGACATGTCACTCCCCCGCTACACACAGAGTGGACTCTGTCAAAACATATGCATAATTGTATCTAGGCTATATTGGGGCTAGCCTTAGGGGGTACACAAATAGTCTCGACACTCTAGTCTTGTACCCCAATCTTCACCTAATCATCACTTTTCTCGTTCCCTAGCTAGTGATTCTAACATGGTATTAAGAGCACAATGCTCCTTAGGACCGATTTTTTAAAAAGGGCCCACCACTACTATTTCGATCTACTGCCCGAGTCGCGCCCCTAGGAGAAATGCGAAATTCGAAACCGTGCTCTAGGCGAGACGGTTCCCTAGACGCGATTTTTTTCCCCTCCTAGTCACGTGCGACCCCCCCCTGAACGCGTAGGCCCGTCGCGAAGCCCGTACAGCCCACGTAGGCCCGTCGCGAAGCCCGTACAGCCCGCGTAGGCCCGTCGCGAAGCCTGTACAGCCCGCGTAGACCCGTCGCGAAGCCCGTACAGCCCGCGCCAGGCCGTCGCGCAGCCCGTACAGCCCGCGCCAGGCCGTCGCGCAGCCCGTACAGCTCACGTCAGGCTCGCACCCAGCGCATAAAGCCCGCGCCAGGCCCGCACGCAGCCCTTACAGCCCGCGACTGGCCCGCACGCGGCCCGTGTTACTGTTACTCACTGCTGCTGCTACTGAAGCTAGTGCTGCTACAACTAGTGCTACTGCTGCCACTGCTACTACGGCACTTGCTACAGCTACTCTTGTCTGAAACTACTCCAGCTACAGCTAGTGCTACTGCTGCAGCTCCTACTACTACACTTGCTACAGCTAGTGCTACTGCTGCAGCTCCTACTACTACACTTGCTACAGCTAGTGCTACTGCTGCAGCTCCTACTACTACACTTGCTACAGCTAGTGCTACGGCTGCAGCTCCTACTACTACACTTGCTACAGCTAGTGCTACTGCTGCAGCTCCTACTCCAGTGCTTACTGCAGCTGCTCCCGACTGAAGCTACTGCTGCTACAGCCCCTGAAGCAGCCGCCCCTGGTGCAGCCGCCCCTGGACCCTCGAGCAGCCGCCCCTGGAACCAGAGCAGCCGCCCCTGGCCCCTGAAGCAGCCGCCCCTGGTGCAGCCGCCCCTGGACCCAGAGCAGCCGCTTTGCACGCCCTCGCGTGCCCCTAGCGTACCGGCCCCGCCCCACTAGCCCGCCCTTGCTGGCCTCGTGCGACCAGGCCCCGCCCTAGCTAGCTCGCCACCTCGTGCCCCGTGCGGACCGCCCCACTCTGCCCTGCACGCCCTCACGTGCCCCACCTCGAGTAGCCGCTGCCTAGCCGAGCCGAGCCGCCCCACCGAACCGCGTCACCCGGCCCGAGCCGCGCCGCCCTACCGAGCCGCGCCCCTGATTCTGTCACTGCTACTGTCGCTACTGCTGTTTCTGCTACTACTACTGCGACTGCTCCTACTGTCACTATGGCTAGCCCTCCTGTGCTAGCTTTCGATGCTGAGGGCCGCCCAGTGAAGTTTGACACCTGGCTCGATGACCTGCACCTATTCCTACAACTCACTGCCAAGGAAGACATCTCACTGTACGATCACGCCTTAGGCCATGCCACTGCCCCTGCTGCTACTGCTGACAGCACTGCCCGCTCACAGTGGCAGACTCGTGACGCCCACGCTCGCTTTGCTATTCGCAACTCCCTGCCGATAGATGAGCGCGAGCACTTTGGCCAGCACAAGACTGCACAGGCACTGTACACCGCTGTCGTTGCCCGCTACTCCTCACCTGCCTCTGCCGCGCTAGGCCGTCTCTCACTCCCCTACCTGTTCCCCGACCTGGCCTCTTTCCACACAGTCGCTGACCTCATCACGCACCTCCGTACTAGTGAGGCCCGCTTCCGTGCCGCTATGCCCGATGAGTTTCTTGCCACGAACCCCCCCCCGCTCTGGCTCACTCTCTACCACCTAGTCACCCGCCTCCCTGACACTCTGCGTGCAGTCAGGGATCACTTCCTATCTCGCTGCCCCACTGAGCTCACCATTGCCCTCCTCGAGAAGGAACTACTTGCAGCTGAGGCTAGCATAGTCGCTTTCGGTGCCTCTCGTGGCGACCCCCGCACCCCTTTCTTTGAGGGGTGTTCCCCTTCCCCCCTTCTTCCCTCTGTAGCCTCTGCTTCTGCTGCCGACCTCCTTGGTGCTGAGAAGGTCGGGACTGCGTCCACTTCGAGCTGGCGCCGCAGCGGCAAGGGCAAAGGGGGCAAGGGAGGCGGAGGTGACGGCGGGGGAGGCGGTGGTGGGGGCGGTGGAGGCGGTGGGGGTGGTGGTGGGGCTGGAGGGACTAGTGGCAGCGGTGGGGGTGGTGGCGGCAGCGGCGGGGGAGGTGGCAGGGGCGGGGGCGGTGGTGGGGGCGGCGGTGGTCGTGGCGGCGGCAGGGGAGGGGGTGGTCGAGGAGGTGGCGGCGGCGGTGGTGGTCGTGGAGGCGCTGGCAGTGGCCAGAGCCAGCAGCGCACTCCGTCGCCCCAGGAGCTCCGTAAGTGGTACTCTCAGCACGGGGGGGGGGGTGGCCTTAGCTGCACGTACGTCATCCGCACTGGTGACCGCACTGGTCAGACGTGTGGGAGGGCGCACACCACGCAGCGCTGCTTCTCTCGCCTCGACGACGCTTGGCGTACTCAGTTCCCTGATGCCACTGAGCTGCCCCGCTGGGCTGATCTGATGAAAAAGAACATTGATATCTATGCTCTAGACTTTGATGCTATTCTCACTGCCATGTATGTGATGTCTACTAGTGGAGAGGGTGCTCAGTACCTGCGTGTTCCGCCCGACCCGGGCATTCGGACCAGTGAGGCTACCGCTCTAGGTGCTGGTGAGGCTGCTGCTCTAGGTACTAGTGAGTCTGCGCCCCCTGGTACTGAGTCGACTGAGGCACTACACACCTTCACACTGGACTCAGGTGCTTCTCGCTGTTTCTTTCGTGACCGCACTGCCCTTGAGCCGCTTGCTCGGCCAGTTGCTGTCTCCCTCGCTGACCCCTCTGGGGGTCCGGTCATTGCGACCTCCTCCACTGTCCTTCCTTGTCCTGCGGTCCCGTCGGGCACACTGTCAGGTCTCCACCTCCCCTCGTTCTCTACGAACTTGGTGGCGGGTTGTGCGCTCCAGGACGGGGGTGTTCACCAGTTCACCCCTGCCTACGAGCGCGTGACACACTGCACGTGTGCTCGGACGGGCCGTCACCTGGCTACCTTCACTCGGCAGCCGGGGTCGGACCTGTACACACTGACCACTGAATCCCCTCAGGTAGCTGCGTCTGCGTCTGCGTCAGGTCAGCTGTCGGCCCCCTGCTCGTGTCGCTCTCTGGCGCACGAGACCGTCCTCTGGCACCACCGACTTGGTCACCCGTCTGTGCAGCGCCTTCGTGCCATGCATAAACGGTACCTTGTCTCTGGTCTTCCCAGGGTTCTCCCTCCCCTCCCACCCTCGCCTGCTCCTCCCTGTCTTCCCTGTGTCGAGGGGCGGCAGCGCGCCGCTCCTCACTCCTCCTCGTTTCCTCCGACGACTGCTCCCTTGCAGACGCTCCACATGGACGTGTGGGGCCCAGCCCGCGTCCGTGGTCAGGGTCAGGAAAGGTACTTCCTGATAGTTGTTGAAGACTACTCGCGCTACACCACGGTCTTCCCCTTGCGCACCAAGGGTGAGGTCCCTGATGTTTTGATCCCTTGGATCCGCGCTTCTCGTCTCCAGCTCAGCGAGCGTTTCCACTCGGACTTTCCTGTCCTGCGCTTGCACTCTGACAGAGGTGGTGAGTTCTCCTCCGACCTCTTGGCAACCTACTGTGCGGAGCACGGCATCCGCCAGTCGTTCACGCTTCCGGCCTCTCCACAGCAGAATGGGGTTGCTGAGCGCCGCATTGGCTTGGTCATGGAGGTCGCTCATACCTCCTTGATCCATGCGGCTGCCCCCCACTTTCTGTGGCCGTTTGCGGTCCGATACGCTGCGCATCAGCTCAACCTCTGGCCCCGTGTCTCCTTGCCGGAGACTTCCCCGACACTGCGTTGGACGGGAGAGGTTGGCGATGCGTCGCGTTTTCGGGTCTGGGGATCTCGAGCCTTTGTTCGCGATACGTCCGCGGACAAGCTCTCCTCCCGCGCTGTTCCTTGTGTCTTCCTTGGCTTTGTCCCGGACGCGTCTGGTTGGCAGTTTTACCACGCCACCTCGCGCCGTGTCCTGCCCTCTCAGGACGTCACTTTTGACGAGTCCGTGCCCTACTACCGCCTCTTCCCCTACCGCACTGCCCCGCTCCCCCCCCCGCCTCTCTTCCTCGCCCCAGGTGCTGCTATGGTAGACCCCCTCCCCCCTCAGGGTGCCGCTCCCTCAGGTGTGTCCCAGGTAGACCCGGTTGAGCCTGTCGAGGTAGCTGTCGACTCTCGTCCTGCTAGGGGTGCTGAGCCTGAGCGTGCGGAGCCTGGGGGTGCGGAGCCTGGGGTTGCGGAGTCTGGGGGTGCTGCGTCTGGGGGTGCTGAGTCTGGGGGTGCTGAGTCTGGAGGTGCTGAGCCTGGGAGTACTACACCTGGAGGAGCTCTCTCCTCACAGCAGCTGCGTGAGTGGTACTTACAGTACTGCAGCCTCAAGAGAGGTGCCTCTGGAGCTAGGAGTGCTGCTGGAGCTGGTGCTAGTGCTTCCCCTCCTAGGCGGGAGCTGCCCTCTCCCCAGCGGCTCCGAGAGTGGTACGTGCGGCGCTGCAGTCTCCGGAGTGGCGCTCCTAGTGTCGCGGACCCTGGTGCTGGAGGTGCTACTGCTGCTGGCGGTGCTGCTGGTGCTCCTGGAGGTGCTGCTGGTGCTGGTGCTACTGACGCTGCTGGAGGTACTGCTGGTACTGGTGGTACTGCTGGTGCTGCTGGAGCTGCTAGAGGTACTCCTACTACTGGAGGTGCTGCTGGTGCTGAGGACCCGGGCGTTGGAGCTGCTGCTGGTGCTGAGGACCCGGGTGTTGGAGCTGCTGCTGGTGCTGCGGACCCGGGTGTTGGAGCTGCTACTGGTGCTGCGGACCCTGGAGTTGGAGCTGCTGCTGGTGCTGCCGACCCTGGAGTTGGAGCTGCTGCTGGAGCTGAGGACCCTGGAGTTGGAGCTGCTGCTGGTGCTGCGGACCCGGGAGCTGGTGCTGCTGGTGTAGCTAGAGACCCTGGAGCTGAGGGTACTGGTGGTGCCTCTGCTGGTTCTGGAGGCGCTGCGCGGCCGCGACCGTACTTCGTTCCGCTCCTTCAGCAGGTTCTTGGTCAGCCGCCTCCCCCTAGTCCTGCTCCCTCAGAGTGTCCTCCGCCTGTCCAGTCGCAGTCACAGTTACCGCCTGCCTCGCCACTCCCTGGTCCTTCTCCTTACACTGGTCCGACTGGAGGTCTTACAGAGCGTCGTGAGCCTGAGTCTCGTCCTGCGTCGCCAGAGTCTCGTCGTGCGTCACCTGTTCGTGCTGCTCACACTGGTCGTCGTGTTCCGCGTCAGCGTCCTCCTGCTGTCCCAGGCACTCACCAGATGGCACTTCGTCCTTCCACTGCTCCTCAGCGTGTCCCTCTGCCGTCTCCTCCTGCGTCTTCTCTTCCTGCTCTTGCTGACCCGGAGTCTAACTCCCTTCGTGCTGCCAGTCCTACTGTCACGCGTCTCCTCGCCACAGTTGTCACTGACCCTTCCTTTGAGTCCTCTGCTGCGTCTGCTCTAGTCGCTGAGTTAGTTGACTTTGCTGCCGCTTGTCGTCTAGACTACGCCGCTAGCCTTGTCGCTGAGTCTGAGTCTGTCTGTCCTTCGTCCGTCGGGGGTGAGTGTGCTCTTGGCACGGACGTCCTTGAGGACAGGCAGGAGGAGTTTGAGTGCTTTGCCGCTACGTTACCTCATCTCGTGTCCATGCTGGTTGCCCCTGAGGGAGACCCGGATGCTCCAGACATCCCGACCCCGCGCTCTTACGCTGAGGCGATCGCGGGTGAGTACTCCTCTCAGTGGCAGACAGCCATGGACGCAGAGATGGCTTCTTGGAAGTCCACAGGCACCTACGTCGACGAGGTTCCCCCACCTGAACATCGTCAGTGGCATGTGGATTTTCAGGGTGAAGCGGCCGCCGGGTTCTCCGCCTGTCTTCAAGGCGCGTTACGTTGCACGAGGCTTCAGTCAGCGAGAGGGAGTTGACTTCTTCCAGACCTTCTCCCCGACCCCAAAGATGACCACTCTTCGGGTTCTGCTGCACGTCGCCGCTCAGCGTGACTACGAGCTCCACTCTCTTGACTTCAGCACAGCTTTCTTGCAGGGCAGCCTGCACGAGGAGATCTGGCTGCGCCGCCCACCTGGCTTCACTGGGTCGTTCCCTCCTGGTACCCAGTGGAGCCTCCGACGGCCAGTCTACGGTCTCCGCCAGGCGCCGCGTGAGTGGCACGACACACTGAGGACTACACTTGCGGCTCTTGGGTTCGCTCCTTCTACTGCTGACCCGTCGCTGTTTCTACGCACCGACACTTCACTGCCGCCGTTCTACATCCTCGTGTACGTCGACGACTTGGTCTTTGCCACTGCTGACACTACGGCACTCGCCCATGTGAAGTCGGAGCTGCAGAAGAGACACACGTGCACAGACCTGGGTGAACTGACAAGCTATCTTGGCTTGCGGATCACCCGGGACAGAGCACGGCGCACCATCACCTTGACTCAGTCACACATGGTGCAGCAGGTCCTTCAGCGCTTCCGCTTCACGTACTCCTCGCCTCAGGCCACTCCTCTGCCTACCGGTCACTCGCTCTCAGCTCTGCCTTCGGATGAGTCCGTAGAGCCGAGTGGCCCGTATCCAGAGCTTGTGGGCTGCCTCATGTACCTGATGACCTGCACTCGACCTGACCTTGCATACCCTCTTAGCATCCTTGCACGCTATGTCGCTCCTGGTCGTCACCGGAAGGAGCACATGGATGCCGCTAAGAGGGTGTTGCGTTACTTGTGCAGTACGTCGGGCATGGGGCTAGTGCTTGGAGGACGAGACCGAGTTGTACTCACTGGGCACTCAGACGCTTCTTGGGCTGACGACCAGGCTACTCAGCGGTCGTCTCAGGGTTACACCTTCAGCCTTGGCTCTGGTTCTGTTTCTTGGCGTTCTACACGCTCGTCTTCCGTTCTCAGCTCCAGTTGTGAGGCTGAGATCTACGCCACAGCCATGGCTGCACAGGAGTTACGCTGGCTCACCTACCTGCTGACCGACTTGGGAGAGCGGCCTCGTTCTCCTCCAGTGCTGTACGTCGATAACAAGGCTACCATTGCCTTGTGTGAGGAGCACAAACTGGAGCACAGAACGAAGCATATCGCTCTACGGTACTTCCTTGCTCGAGAGCTGCAGCAGCGTGGTCAGCTTCGTCTGCGTTACGTGGCCACTCGGGCCAACACTGCTGATGTGTTCACCAAGGCGCTTCAGCCTTGTGACCATCAGCGCTTCTGTACTGTTCTAGGCCTTGTGCCTACTGTGCCTCACTTGCTTACTTCTTGACTCTGTTTGTACTGTGATCTCTATATATATACCTGCATACTTACACTTGCTAGGTTGTGCTCACTGTACCCCTTGCTATATTATTAAACTGCATGTGAACTGGTCGTGTGACCACTTGCTTGTGCTCGGAATTTGTGTGGTTTCCTCGAGATCCACCCTGAGCTTGCTTTGCCCTTCCTGACTGGTCTTGTGACCACTACTTGCTCTGGCTATCCCCCATTTCGCCTATGGGGGTGTGTCAAAACATATGCATAATTGTATCTAGGCTATATTGGGGCTAGCCTTAGGGGGTACACAAATAGTCTCGACACTCTAGTCTTGTACCCCAATCTTCACCTAATCATCACTTTTATCGTTCCCTAGCTAGTGATTCTAACAGACTCCAGATACTCGGGCTCGTCACCGCAGTCCACGGCACGGCCATTCCTAAGGAGCCTGCCACAGTTCAGCAGGCTCTGGGGGGGGAGCATAAAGAAAAATGGCGCGAAGCCATGGACAGGGAATTAAAGGCACTAGAGGAGCGCAACACTTGGAAAGTCGTTCCCATCAGTGTGGCGCGGAACAAAACGATTCTCACCGGAAAGTGGGTTTTCCGAGTGAAAACAAAAGCAGACGGTACCATCGACAAATTCAAAGCACGCTGGGTCGTACGTGGCTTCGACCAAGAACATGGACGCGACTTCACCGAGACATTCGCTCCGGCCAGCCGACATACCTCACTGCGAATTCTCCTCGCGATCGCCGCCATGAAGAAGAAGAAGTTGCGACAAATCGACGTCGCAAACGCATTTCTCTACGCACCTGTCGACGCAGAAATCTTCGTCGAGTTACCGCACGGCTCCAATGGAGAGCCGAATCAAGTCTGTCAGCTGCTGAAGTCGCTCTACGGCATCAAGCAAGCTCCTCGGCTATGGCAACAATACCTGCACGCTCGCCTCATTCGCATCGGCTTCAAACAACTACCGCATGATCAGGGGATGTACCGGCTCACGAAGAACACTGACTACATCCTGTTAATCGTCTACGTAGACGATCTACTTTACATCGGCTCGACCGACGGCATCACAACCTGGTTCGAAGGGGAGCTGCAGAAAGACCTCACGCTCACGGTCTCAACTACCGTCACACAGTATCTCGGTCTCAACATCCGAGAAGAGGTAGACGCGATCTACCTCAGTGCCGCGAAATACGCCGACACCATCGCCAAGCGCTTCGCACTCACACCGACCGCCATCTCCACACTGTACCGCTACACGACAGGAAACAACAAGGGAAGTTCCGCTCTACTTAAGCCCGCCGGCATACGCGACTACCAAAGGAAACTGGGCTGCCTCCTTTTCGCAGCTGTCACCTGCCGCCCGGATCTATCGTATTCTGCAAGTCAGCTCGCCACCTACCTCAAGAAGCCTGAAGCAGAACATCTAGCGGAGCTCGACCGTGCTCTTCACTACCTCGTCAGCACCCTGACGATCGGCCTAACTTACTACAAGAACGCAACTACACCGCCCAAGTTAATCGGCTACGTTGACGCCGATCACGCTGGCGACTCCGACAACAGGCGTTCTCGCACCGGCTACATCTACCGCCTCGAACCTATCGGACCTATCTCTTGGCAGTCGAGCAAGCAGGAATTAATCGCCCTCTCGTCAGCTGAAGCAGAATATATCGCACTCTGTTCAGCCACCAAGGAAGGACTTTACCTTCGCGAACTGCTGGAAGAAGCGAAACTGGCTCAGTTACCCAGCTTCACCCTGTTTTGCGACAACCAGTCGGCAATTCGCATCGCCAACAAGAACGGCTTCGCGAACAGGACGAAACATATCGCCCTGCGATATTTCTTCGTAAAGGACGAGATCGAGAAAGGAAGGCTCGAGCTGTCATACTGCCCCACGTCCGAAATGGCAGCTGACTACTTGACCAAGAAGCTCGGAAAGCAGAAGTTCGAGTACTGCATGCTGCTGACTGGACAAAGCCACGTCACCAGCAGCGACACTCCAGAAGCGAAGGGGAGTGTTGGAAACAATCAGTCTTAAGCGCCTCTGTCGTGTCGAAACACCAAGACACAAGCGAAGCAAAGCATATCGAGGCACCAGCGAGTCAACCCTCGGAGGTTGAAGTAACTGCTGGAGGTTACGCGAAAGTCAAAGGTCAGCGACCTTTGACCTGACAAGTACAGCGCGACAGCAAGGACACACAACTGACTCACTACAGAGCAGTTGCCCGAGTCGTCACTGTATCGAACCGCAACAGCAACAGTAAAACAGTTATAACCGTATCCTTTCATATTCCTTGTACTCTTATATAATCTTGTATCTCTTTGTTTTAATCAATCTACTTTGCCCTCACATACTACCGTCATCACCCGGATATAAGACAGTGTTGAATAGTAGACAGGGGTTGTCTACTATACGGGTGTCTCTTATAAACAGGCTAGCCTCATTATAAGACACCTATTTGTGTGTATGAGATAAGACATATATGTCTTATAATCGAAACTTCAATAAATTATAGCGAAAGTTGAAGTACCGCGTACCTTTTTACCCTTGCGAAGCGCGAATTCTTCCACGCGCTGACCCAGGACCTACCAAATTTGCCCCTGCAGGTGTTCTCCATAACGTGACGTCTCGGGCAGAGGTTATCGAAGTGGCACCTTCGCAACATCCACACGCATTATGAGAAACTCTTTTTAAAGAAGTACGGAAAATATTTCTAAGTAGTTTAAAAAGTTTCCATTTATAAGACTTATAAGACACCCTAAACCATCCCGTTTACAAGATAACTCAAGCATTTTTGCCCGTGTACGAGATAAGACATATATGTCTTATATCCGGGCGATGACGGTAGTGCAAGGTGGTTCACAATACTTCATTAAACGCTTCCGCTATTACATCAGTCCCAATCAGAGTTCATCCCTGCAAAGATCCTAAGGGCTTTTCTCAGCCCAACAAGTTAAAGCCGTGGCCCAACTATCAACTTCAACTTCAAAGTATTATAGCTTGGAAGAGGTTGACCCAGGCAGTTCAGAGCCGAGAAGTTTGTCCTCTTCTGGTTTTCCAGTTTTTTCGTCCAATAGAATTCAAGTTACTCACATGCCATTTTTGTCCCCCTACTGTTCCTAAGAAGTTGCACCCCGCCTTTAAGCTTACCTAGCACACAATCCGCAGCAACCCTGGGCTCATTGTTTGGTGCAAATGATCCCATGGATTTCTGTCTCCAAGACAAGTGATCCAACGAACATAACATCCACTATCATTAAGCAACCGCATCGATTTACATTACCAATGCACGAAGTAGCAGCAAGGTAATATAGCACCATCACCCACCTCACCACAACATATGGTAGTTAAACTGTACAAGAAACAAGTGGGAGTCCAATGTACAAGGCCATGCTCATGGCAGCATATTGCCACAAACCCGACCCGAGCCACTGCTGGCCCCGACTAGCCCAGCCTAGCCTCCATCCCATCCACTCGACTCACATCCCATCCCATCCCTGCGTCGCACACTGCATCACAGAGCACCAGCCAGTGAAGGCAACAAGCAGCACACCATGGAAGACCAGCGTCTATTTTCAGCAGACATGGCAGGGAGGTGGCCTGGTCAGCCAAAGACCACGGCTCAGGAAGCAGTCGGGCAGGCAAGGAGCGGGCCTGAGCAGGGAGGGAGAGGCAATCAGCAGAAGAACATGCCCTTCCTGGGAACAGGCATGACCACCGGCAGCGGCACCACAGGCGGCGCCCCCCCCACTCGAGACGACCCACTGGAGCTCCCCGTGCCGCCCGACCCCGCCACCTCGCCGCCCCCTGCCGCCCGCCCGGCCGCCGACCCACTCTCGGACCCGCTCCCCCGCATGCTGCCCGAGATGCCCTCCAGGTAGAGGCGCGCGCGCGTGGCCGCCAGGTCAGCATAGTAGGCGGGCGGCACGAGGGAGACGGAGCGCGTGCAGCGCGCGTAGGTGTAGCAGAGGGAGTAGCAGAGCGCCTGCATGCTGTCGGCTGTGAAGCCGTTCTCGTCCCACAACACCCGGTAGTGCGTTGGACGGGAGGTGCCCTGGGGAGATGGGGGAGGGAGGGTGATGAGGGGTGGGGGATTGGGAAAAAGCAGGGGAGGAGAGATGAGAGGGAAAACAGAGGCAGAGAGGGGAACCAGGAGTTCTGAGTGCAGAGCGCCTGCATGCTGTCTGCTGTGATGTGAAGCCGTTCTCGTCCCACAGCACCCGGTAGTGCGTCGGACGAGAGGTGCCCTGGGGGAAGGGGAGGGCAAAGTAGCGGGCAGTGGTAGGAAGATGGTTGATTGAAACTTTATTCGACGGAAAGGCAAGCGAGGGGGCAGAGCGAGTAACAGAGCGCCTGTATGCTATCGGCCGTGAAGCTGTTCTCGTCCCACAGCACCCTGTAGTGCGTCGGACGCGACGTGCCCTGGGGTGAGGGGAGGAGGAGGGTGAGAAGGGGGGGTGGGATTGGGAAAAGGCAGGGGAGGAGAGATAAGAGGGAAAAGAGAGGCGGAGAGGGGGCAGAGGGATTCAGAGTGCTGAGGCCTGCATGCTGTTGGCCGTGAAGCTGTTCTCATCCCACAGCACCCGGTAGTGCGTCGGGCGCGATGTGCCCTGGGTGGGGAGGTACAGAATGAGGATGCGGAAGAAGGGGGTTGAGAAAAGGGTGATTAATGGCTCGCTTTGGCAAAGGTGGAGCGGCTGACAAGTGGAGAGAAAGTCGATACCAGTGGCACGCAAGAGAAGGGGGGGGGGGACGGGGTGTGAGGAGGGCAAGAGGGCAGAGGCAGAGGTACCAACCTGGATGGAGGCGTGGGAGTTGAGGAAGAAGTCAAACTCCCTGGGGTGGCAGATGACCGAGTCCACCACCGTGCCCGGCATCACATTGCCGTTATTGTCGCGGTTGTTGTCCGCGGGGAACAGCCGCGTGTGGTGCCGCTTCTGCACCACCACGTAGGTGATGCGCGGACTGTAGCTGCCTGTGGGGTCCATGGCCCGACACGCTGCTTTTACTGCCTCCAGCTCGTACGCCAGCACCTGGAGAGGGATAGGAGGAGGGGCAAAGGGGTAGGGGGAGAGAACGGTTAGGTGTGGTGATGCAGGCAGGACGTGTGTCGCTCGCACCGCCTCCAGCTCGTATGCCAGCACCTGGAGAGGGGTGGAGAGGGGTGGGGTGCGGTGCAACAGGAGGCTCATGTGCCGCTTCTGCACGACCACGTAGGTGATGCGCGGGCTGTAGCTGCCTGAGGGGTCCATGGCCCGGCATGCTGCCCTCACCGCCTCCAGCTCATAGGCCAGCACCTGGAGTTGAAAGTAGAAGGCGGGGAGATGAAATCGGGGAGAGAGGTAAAAGCGTGGTGATGTGGACAGTTCATGTGTCACATGCATCCATCGCTGGTATCTGGATCACAGGGGGCTCACGCACACACACACCGAGTCAACTCAAGACAAATGTAAAGAGACTATCAGACAGCACCGCACTGCACCGCACTGCACGCGCACCTGGTAGAACTGCCCCTCGCTGACGCCATCTCGGAAGAAGATGATGCGTTCGGGCTTGCGCTTGGCGGTCTGATAGAACTCCATCAGCAGATCCCGCACCAGCCCGCCCGCCTGCATGCTGCCGTCCGCCCCCTGCCTCTCCTCGTGCAGCCCCTCTATCATCTCCTGCCGGTGCGCCTGCGTGCGCAGCAGGCACCCATACCGGTTCGCACACGGCCAGTCCTGGGGGGGTTGAGCGAGAGAGAGGCGGGGAAAGGGGTTGAGTGGAGCGTATGAGTGGGCTTAAACGTCCCCCCCCCGCCGCTCCTCGTGCAGCCCCTCGATCATCTCCTGCCGGTGCGCCTGCGTGCGCAGCAGATACCCGTACCGGTTCGCACACGGCCAGTCCTGAGGAGACAGGGGGAGGGCGGGAGAGGGAGAGGAGGGGGTGAGAAACAGGAGTGGGGAGGGAGGTGCTGGGTGGAACCGATTAATAGCGCCTTCTCAGTCAATTCAGAAGGCCCCTCCCCCGTCCCTTTCCCTCCCCCCTCCTTTTCCCTTCCCCCTCACTTTCCCTCCCCCACCCCCTTCCCCCCCAACCCACCCGAGACGCCACGACAGCAGCGATGGAGGGCGACGAGTCATCCCCCGGGCTGGGGTGCGTGACGTCAGCGCCAAAAACAATGGTGGGGCGCTCGGCCACCATGGGCAGGCGGCCGATGCTCTCCGACTGCAGCAGCACGTTGCGTCCCCCTAGCTTCACGTTGATCTTCAGCACCAGGTTTGCCAGGTACTGTGACTGGCACCTGGGAGGGGGTGAGGTGTGAGAGGGTGGTGATGCAGAGGGGTGGAGTCGACTTGAAACACTGCGGCAGCACGTTGCGGCCGCCCAGCTTCACGTTGATCTTGAGCACTAAAATCGGCAGGTACTGTGACTGGCACCTGGGGGGTGAAGGGGTGAAAGAGGCGAAACAGGGGAAGCGGGGGAAAGGGTGGAGAGAGAGGGTGGTGAGGGGTGGGAGGATGGGGACTGTAGCAGCACGTTGCGGCTGCCCACCTTCACGTTGATCTTCAATACCTGGTTGGCCAGGTACTGTGACTGGCACCTGAAAGGGAAGCGGGGAGGGGGAAATGGTGCGTGGTGATATTAGGGGGGTGGAGGCCACACAACACAAGAGCTGCTGACTCCTTTGTGGGCATGTTGAGAGACTCGTTAAGAGCCTTGCCTTGCCACTGTGTCAAGAGAGCATTCCTCTGGTGGTTCACATCACATGTATCAGTCAGAGCCTCCCTCCTTCCAAGCAACGCACACTCACTTGTGAGCATGGCTCGCAAGGCAGCATTGAGTGACGGACGGCGTTGAGGTGCGTGTCAGCGATGGGCTTGACCTGACCTCGTTGTAGAACGTGCCATGCCGCCACCACCAACTCCCCTGTCCCACTTGTGCGCATGGCTCACAAGGCACACTCACTCACTTCTGAGCGTGGTTGACGAGGCAGCACTGGGTGACAACATTCAACTGAGTCTCAGAAATCAGCTTGATCTCGTTGTACAACGTGCCTCGCCATGCCACCACCACTCTCGCTGACTCACTCTGGTGCCTGAGTGGTTAGGCACATGCACTTTTGTGCGTGCATGGTTCACACAGCACACTCATTCACTTCTGAGCATGGTTCACAAGGCAGCATTGCGTGACAACATTCAGCTGAGTCTCAGCGATCAGCTTGATCTCATTGTAGAGCGCGCCCCGCCAGGACATGCCATGCTGCCCCATGCCATGCAACCACCATTTCCCCTGACTCACTTGTGCGCGTGCGTGGTCAGGCACACTGACTCACTTCTGAGCATGGTTGACGAGGCAGCACTGCGTGACAACGTTCAGCTGCGTCTCAACGATCAGCTTGATCTCGTTGTAGAACGTGCCTCGGCCCGCCATGCCATGCCACCACCACTCTCGCTGACTCACTCTGGTGCCTGAGTGGTTAGGCACATGCAGTTGTGGGCGCGTGCAGGAAGCACTCACTTCTGGGCGTGGTTCACGAGGCAGCACTGGGTGACCACATTCAGCTGCGTCTCAGCGATCAGCTTTATCTCGTTGTAGAACGTGCCTCTGCCCGGCAGAATCACCACCGCCAGCTGCAGCCACTGCCCGGGCGGCACCGCTCGGCTGCTAGCGTCCGCCAGCTGGCGCATGACCGCCTCCACTGACTCCACTCGGCCGGTCAGGGGTGGCACGACTGGGCGCGGCTCCATCTGATGGGGGGGGGGAGGGAAGGGGGAAGTGGAGGGGGGAGAAGAGAGACGGCGGGAGAGGGCTCCTGAGGCAACTCAAAAGGCACCACAAGGTGGGGCTTTATCTGATGGGGAGAATGGGGAAGGGGGAAAGGGTAAGCGAGGGCTTTTGCGCTGACACTATTGAAACCATAATACAATCACACCAGGTCTTGTTGACTTGCATCTACCCGTTGACCCACAAAACCCCCCCCGACTCCCACGTTGACTCTCGTTGACTCTTGTGGACTCACATGCACGCCCAGCTCAGCGCAGCGCTGCACGAGGGCATTGACCATGCTGCACGTGCGCAAGACCATACTGGCACTCCCATTGACTGCATTGACTCCTATTGACTCACATGCACGCCCAGCTCAGCACATCGCTGCGTGAGGGCTTGGCCGAAGCGCTGCACGCCCATGGCGTCAAGATAGGGCGCGAAGTTGATGATGGTCCAGTGCGTGATGCGCGCTCCGTCTATCAGCCTCTGCCCGCCCATCATGTTCCACGCTCCAAAGCGCGGCACCACCTGCGCAGGGAGAAGAAGGGTGGGGAGGGAGAGTGACAGGGGAGAGAGGGGAAGTGAGTGGGGAAAAAGCAAGACAGGGAGAGGGAGTTGTGGGGAGAGGGAGAGAGGGTGAGGGAGGAAAGGAAAGGAAAGGAAAGGAAAGGAGATAGAAACTGTGGATTACAATGCGAAAGATAATCATGTCAACACATCTTCCCCCCCCCATTCCCCTTCACTCTCTACCCCTCATCTTCCCCCCCCCCCCTTCCCCTGCCTTTTCTCTGTCTCTGCACGCAAAGGGATACGTGACAGGCAACCCATGAAAGCCCCCCCCATACCCCTGCCTGTCAGTGCACGCGCGTCCTTCTTATCGCGGTACACGAGACAGGGCGGGTCCAGCAGGCGGCCCTTCACTTACCCCACCCCACCCCACCCATACCCCCACCCACCCCCCATACGCCCCCCCCCCCTGAGAGAGCACGCACGTCCTTCTTATCCTTGTACACGAGGCGGGGTGGTTCCAGCAGGCGGCCCTGCACTTACCCCACCCGTTCCCCCAACACATACCCCCCACTACCCCCATACTCCCCCCCCTTTCCCCTGAGCCCACGCACGTCCTTCTTGTCCTTGTACACGAGGCGGGGCGGGTCCAGCAGGCGGCCCTGCAGGCGCGTCATCTGGGGATGCACCAGCATGCCGAACTCACGCGCGTACGGGTCACTGCATGTGGGGGGTGGGAGAGTGGGCGGGGAAGGTTGAGGGAATGCGAAGCAGGGAGGGAGGAGGGTGACAATGGCGGATCATCTCGGGATGCCGCGGCACGCCAACGGAGCGGAGGGGCAGAGAGGGAGGATGGGAAGGAGGAGAGGAGAAGACAAAACCAAGGACGAGAGGGAAGATGATGGTGGGTGGGTGTGAGTGGCTGCACCCGCACTCCCCCATGAAGAACGACGCCCCACCCCACTTGCAGCACTCACTTGGGGTAGTCGTTGCGGGTCACCATGCTGCCGATCTCCCCCGCGCGTACATCCGGCCTTGTACATGTGAAGCGCAGCAGCGAGCTGACCTGCTCCTCGTTCAGCTTCGGCCCGTACCGCTGCCCGCCGATGATGTGGCACACCTCCATTGGCAGATAGCTCTTGCCCCCGCCGCCCGCCATGACGCACGGCAGGTTGGGGTGGCGGATGGTGTAGCCGTAGGCGGAGCGGAAGTAGGCCACGAGAGACGTCTCGCCCTGCCCTTCTATGGTGAAAGTGAGGGCGTGTGCCGGCTCGCGAGTTAGGCCTTGAATGCGGTAGCTGCATGGGGGAATATGGGTGGGGGGAGAAGTGGAAGGGAACGGGAAGAGAGGGGCGGCACTGAACTGAAATGCATGGGGCAATAAAAGTGTATGGGGCATGGCAGGGCAGCGCAGGGCAGGTTGGGGTGGCGGATGGTGTAGCCGTAGGCAGAACGGAAGTAGGCCACCAGAGACGTCTCCCCCTGCCCCTCGATGGTGAAGGTGAGGGCGTGTGCCGGCTCGCGCGTGAGGCCCTGGATGCGGTACCTGCATGGGGAAAGGGAGGAGGGCTGGGTGGATGGGCAGAGCGGCGGACGAGCGGAGGGACGGAGGGGCAGTAACGAGACAGGGAGAGGAAGCCGGGATGGGGGAAAACAGCTTTCCGGGCGGGTGAGGAACGGGCCAGGGAGTAGGAGAGGCACTGACCGGCGGGGCGTGTCGCGGTGGGTCACCCCCACTTTGATCCCATGCAGCGCACGCTTCAGCTTCACTCTCTCCCCATCGCTCAGCGACGCGTTCGGTGCAAACCCGCCTCCTCCTCCCCCTCCCGGCCCCCGGCCACCCCTCCCCCCGAACCCACCCCTCCCCCCACCTCTCCCGCCGCCTCCCCCGCCGCCACCACGCCCCAGAAAGTCGGCGGCAAAGGTGAGGAGCGGCATGTCGTGGTGGAAAGCGGTGGCAGCCATGTCGACGTTGAGCGCCAGGCCCTGCTGGGAGAAGCGCACCGACTGGAAGAAGCCGCGGTAGGCCGTCACCCCGCCGCCCAGGGCTGTGCTGCCCAGCGAGGCGGAGTAGAGCGAGCGACCCACGGGAGTGAGGCTGGTGAGCAGTCGCTCCCTCAGTGCCACGTCGAGTGCCTGGGGGTGGGTGGGAGGGGGAGAGGAGGAAGGGAGGTGATGGATGGAGAGAAAGGGGCAAGGCCGGCCCAAGAGGTGATGAGGACAGGGACAGGGTCAAGGGGGAAAAGAATTGATGCGAATTGGCAGCAGCAGCAGCATCAGAGCAGCAACGCACTTGGGGGATGTCGGCCTGGCGCCCTTGCAGGAACGAGGCCATGGACGACATGGGGTACTGCTGAGCTAGCTTCACCGTCACCTTCACCCTCACCCTCACCATCACCATCACGTAGTCGACTAAAAACACACCTGCAGCAGCACTTGCGGAATGTCGGCCTGCCGCCCCTGCAGAAAGGAAGCCATGGATGACATGGGGTACTGCTGAGCTAGCTTCACCGTCACCTTCACCGCCCGCTCCCTCCGCTCCCCCCCTCCGCGCCCGCCCCTCCCGCCCCCGCGCCCAGCACCACTGCTACTACCTCCCCTCCCCCCGCCTCCTCCGCCGCCTCTCCCGCCCCCTGCCCCTTCGTCTTTATCGGGCAGCACCACACGAAACTCCTGGCTGTCAAACGGCAGCGGGCGGGCAGTGAAGATGTTCTTCATGCCGTCGAAGACGGGGCGCACGGGGGCGCTGGGGGCGCCGCCAGGGGCGGGGGAGACGAGCTGCGCGCTGTAGGTCTCCGCCAGCTGGCGGATGGCTGCGCGCATGACGCCCTTGGAGGCGAGCGCGGGGGAGAAGTCCACGTCGTAGTGGTATATTACCAGGTCCTGGGGGGGGGAGGGAGCGGAAGGGAGGGACGGGAGGGGAAGGAAGGGGAACGCGTGGGGCAGTGGGTTCCTGAGCGCATCAATTGACGCCCTTGGAGGCCAAGGCGGGGGAGAATTCGACGTCGTAATGATAGATGACCAGGTGCTGAGGAGGGGAAGTGAGGGGAGGGAGGGGAGGGGACGGGAAGCAAGGGAAGGTGCGTGCGGAAGAGTGGATTCCGTGGTGCGCATGACGCCCTTGGAGGCCAGGGCGGGGGAGAATTCCACATCGTATCGTAGTGGTAGACCACCAAGTCCTGGCGGGGAGAGGCTGGACCTGCAGCGAGCGTTTTGCAGTTAACAACGTTGAAATCGGAAGGGGCGTGTGGCCATATGGGCAGAACCAGGGCGGAAATTCGAGCAAAGGATGCGAGGGGGAGGGAAAGAGAGGAGAGAAAGACGGGACGGGACGCATGCAGGGAAGGAGGCGAGGTGGGGCGCGAAGAACGCCGGTCAAGCACAACTCGCACCCCCTCATTACATCCCCATTACCTACACGCTCTCTCCCACTCCCCGCCCCTCCCCCCTCGCGCCCCTTCTTGCCCCCGCCCCCCCGCGCGCGCGCGCACCTGGAAGTCGATTATGAAGTGGTTCGCCAGAAGCGTCACGGGCCGCCCCTCTCCTCCTCCCCCCTTCCCCACCCCCCCCCCCTTTCCCCCCGCCCCATCCCCGCGCGTGCGCGCACCTGGAAGTCGATTTTGAAGTGGTTCGCCAGCAGCATCACGGGCCGCCCCAGCTTGCCGAAATCGGGCCGCGCCGCCGCCACCAGCGCCCTGCTCGAAACGCCCGCGGGGCCCGCCATCGTCACCGCCACGCCCGCCGCTGCTGCCGGCAGAGCACCCGCTACGGGGGCGGGCACAGCCTGTACAGGGGCAGGCGCAAACGCAGCAGGTGCCGGCGCGCGCGGAGCAGCAGCGGGCATAGGCGCGGGAGTAGGGGCAGCGGGAGCGGGGGTAGGAGCGGGGGCACGCGCGGGTGCGGGGGCGGGGGCGCGCGCAGGTGCGAGGGCGGGGAAATCCGCGGGTGGCGCGGACACGCCCATCTGCGCCATGCCTGCGGTGATGCCCCCAACTCCCCCCGCTCCTTGCGCCTGCTCTCCGCGTCCTCCCCGCCCGCGCCCCCCGCGTCCGCGCCCTCCGCCTGCGCCAGGGGCTCCCGCTCCCCCTGGTGCTCCTGCGGGAACGGGCCCACCTCTTCCCCCTGGCGGCGCGCCCCTCCCCCCTCCGGGTGCGCCCCTCCCCCCCCGACCTCCTCCTGCGGGAGACGGCGCGCCTCTGCCCGCCGCGGGCGGCTGAGACGTTGCTGCTGACGACGGCGGTGCTGCGCTGCACGCAGGGAGGGAGGTGAGTGACAAGGGCGGACGAGACCGGAGAGACGGAAGCATGATGACATGTTTCTTATTACCCATCTCCTAGAATCTACCCAAACGAGCAAGACATAGCGAGTCACGACAACAACGGCGAACGAGATTTCTTGCTAAACAACAAGTAAGAATTAGAGTAAAGATGGCGAGCTGGAAAGGGCGAGGAGGAAGCCTAAAAGGCGCTGCGAGCGAGCAGTTTACCTGGGCGCGCCAGCTGGCCCTTCACCGCCACCTCCGCCTGCGCCTCCGCCTCGTTTCCCCTTCTTAGGACCCATGAACGCGAGTAAAGGACTGCTTCAACGATTAGGAAACGTAGATAACGAAATATTGCTCTGCTTCTGCAAGAAAGATGAGGAAATGAGGGCGAGAATGGCAAGTGCTGCTGAACGCGTACACCTCACTTGCCTCTGACAAGGACGGTCGCCTAAAATGTCTGTCAGCCAAAGAATCTCCCCGCCCGCCGCACGCACAAACATCGCATGTGCATACATGCTAGGCGAAAGCAGGGTGTACGATCGCTATGAAACAACCCCGATATAAGCTTGTGAATATATACAAAACATATAAAAAATACACGGGCTTTGACACAAAGAAAACTCAACTATGTGTTGAAAAAAGAAACAGTAACTAGTTTAGACCATTATGTCATGTCACGCCATGTCATTATTCTTTATCGTTATATCTGTATAGTATATGTAACTGGTCTTGTGTCACTGTAATCAGGTGAGTAATGATAGGACTCTCAGTCGCCAGGAGTGACTGTGCTGCCTTTCGCCATTATAACAGGTGTCGACGAATTGTGGTTGGTCCTTTGCACGTCGGCCGAATGTCACACCGCTCGTACCGAATGCTTCGTCTCCTATTGGCTGACCTATTCGCGCTGTGACAATGACGAATAGAGTCGTAGTCAGGGCGCAGGTGAAGAGCCAGCCAGGTTTGCCAACACAACACCGAAATCGCGTACAGTTCGCACTGTCGCAAGTTGCAAGTGCGACCGTCCCCGCTTCCACTCTACGACTCCGTGCGATTTCTGTCGAGTCGTTCACCCTGGCTTCCGCGACAAGTTCACAGGTGATCACTGTTCAGACACAGTAAGCGAATCGCAGCAGTCGCCCGCAGCTTGCTTGTGTGCAAATCGCCCCTCCCCTACCGCGTACCGCCAGCAGCAGTACCCTTCGTTCGGTCCTACCTGCGAGAAACCGAAACCACATTGACTCGATGCGCGGTCGCCCGCCAATCACACGGCAAATCCCCCTCTTCCTCAAACCTGATTCTCGTCGCCCAGCCAGCCCCAACCCCACCAGCTTCTCCCCTCTTGCACCCCTCACACATACCATGTTGCACCGCTCAGCAAACCCCTCTTTGCAAACTTACCGTCTACGCTTTCCTCTCCCTGCCTCCCACCCTCCCCACCGCCATAGCCAAATGATTGATTCCATAGTTTCCTTCCCTCACGCCACTGTGCTCCTGAATGTGTTGGTCTGACGGACGGTTGCTTTCTAGGCCTTGTCATCTGTGGTGCAACTGGCTCCAATGTCTACTGTCTTCCGCATTCATAAAATCGAGTATCCTTGCGCAGGTGCATCGTGCAATCATAGTCTAGCTCTGTCTCTCGCCGTTGTCGTAGCGTCCGAAGAAGCAGCATGGTTCGGTAGTGGATAGAATACGCTTCAAGCTCTTGCGTTTCCTACAAGTTCTGAGTGTGCACCACCGTCGTGACGCCATAGGACCGTAGCGTAGACTATAAGTGCGTGCGAGTCGCGCACATATTACCCAGCTCGGCTTCGCGGACTCACACGAGGCGCCGCGATGCTGATTATAGACAACCAGCCAGTTCCGCGCAATCTCGCGGTACGTGCGCTTGACCCATACGGGAGCGCGTCGAAGAAACTGAGATGGGTCGACACCTAAACCTGCTTCCGCTCTTTCTCTTGTATCTCGCTCTCGCCGCTCCAGTCCCACGCCTGTCCGTCGCTGCGCGCGCTTTATTCCGGCCTCGTCGCGTTCCGCTGCACGGCTCGTCCCGTTCGTTCCGTCGTGATCGTTGCAGCAATCGTCCATGGCTCACCTCGTCTGCATCACTTCTCCCGTGTCCCTCGTCTCCTCCCTTCTCCAATACCACTCAATCCCCTCCATTTTCCCCCTCCCACTTCCTACCCCTTCCCTTCTCCCCCCCTCGCCCCCCTTTTTTCTCCCCTCCCTCCTCTTCCCCCTCCTCCCCTTCTCCCCCCTTTGCCCCCTCCCACTCACCCCGCCCTCCGCCGTGCGCCATTTCCGCACCGCGCAGGGCACGGCGCTGCTCCGTTACCTCCTCACGCATCCGAGCCTCGTCGCTGGCTCGGATGAGTTCTTTCGCCGAACCGGCCGCTCAGGCTCGGAAGCCGGTCCTGTCCCTGGTCCATTCCGTGCTAAGCACGATGAAGGAGAGAATTTTGCGCGGCCCGGATGCGGTAGCGACGATCGTTTGTCCGACAGTCATGCTGCCGGCCAGCCGGCAACACAGTCAACCCTCAGCACCCCACCGGCAACTCTTCCCTCCCCCGCCACTCCTTCCGCGCATCTTGGCGCAAACCCTGGGGGATCACGCTCCCCCAGCTTGGCTGCCGCGCGTGCAGCGGAAAAGCTGAGATGCGCGGAGGCGCAGGGAGGCGCAGGGGAGGGGGAAGTGGGGAACCTGCGGAACGCAGGTGGCCGTGACGGCGCCGCGTGTAACGGCGGCGTTAACGGTAGCGGGATCTCGGTGTGCCGAGGGCGGGAGGGCGGAGGGGGCGAGTGGATGCGCCGGCAGCGGGACCTGCTGGGCGGCGCGGGGAGCCGCTCTCTCGGCGCGCCACGTGGCGAGGAATCTACTGCTGACACGTGTGATGCTGGCAGTGATGCGCTTCCCCGCGCGATTTGGCGCAGTTTGAGTGCGAGTGTGCTTAAAGCGCGTGATGCTGCAGCGGGGATAACTGGTGGATATACTGTTGGTAGCGGGGCTGCTGGTAACGGTGATGCTGGTAGCACTGCTGATGGTTGTGAGCGCAATGCCGCGCTGCCGCTGGAGACGGCCACGCCTCCGCCTGCCTCCACTCGTGCAGGCGAAGAATGCGCGGCAGGCGCGGCAGCACCAGCGGAGGAAGCGGCACGGAATGCGGAGGGCGGCTTGTTCGATCGCCTAAAGTGGCACGGAGAGGGGGACGGAGCGCGCAAGCTTGGACCGGGGGAAGGGGCCCGCGCACAACTAGAGGGGGGCGGTGGGGCGGGAGATTGCGGGAAAGAGGGTGCAAGGAAGGCGGACGGGGGTGAGGCGCAGCAGGGACGGCCGGAGCGGCTGGTGTACGTGGCGCAAGCGGAGGTGGCAACTGCTGACGTGGACCTGGTTGACGTGATAGGCACGGACGAGATGACCACGTGTGTGGCGGTGGCGCTGCGCCATCCGCGCACGGGGCGCACGGCTCTGGCGCACGTGGACGCGTCGCTCTGCACCCTGCGCGCTCTCGCCGCCATGCTCGCCTCGCTGCGCCTCGCCCCTCACGACCCTACTCCCCTCCAGGTATGACATGGCAGTGCAGGCACATGCACGCTTATGTGGTGTGACATGCATGCATGCGTAATCTCTGCATGCCTACAGGCACCATGCCTCTTTGCTGCCCTCCCGTGTGCTGCCTCCCCTCCTTGCCGCTCCCTGCTGCTGTCCCATCCTCATTCCTCCCCGCCTCTCCTTTCCTCTCCCCGTCCTTCCCGTCTCCAACCCTCCGTCCTGCCCCCGTCCGCCCTTGGCCCCCTGTCCCCATTGCCCATGTCCCCCCATGTCCCCCCATGTCCCTCCGGCAGCTGCACCTGGTGGGCGCGTTTGACGACGACCCAGGGCACACAGAGAGCATCCTCGCCGCGTGGGAGGAGCAGCAGGAGAGGCAGCAGCGGCAAGAGCAAGAGAAAGCGCAAGGGCAACAGCAGTCACAGCAGCAGGGCTACCTGGAGAGGAGCAGCAGCGGGCGGCAGTCAGGGTGCAAGCGCAGGCGAGCCCTCAGCCCTGCAGCCAGTGGCGGGGGCGACAGGGCCATGCGCGCAGGAGCAGAAGAGACAGCAAGATCAGGAGCAGGAGAAGGAAGTGCCGTTGGCAGTGCCTGGCCGCACAGCGACCCGTCGAGCCCCGTGGCAACAGCGTCGCCATGCCAAGGCACAGAACCCATGCATACTTTGCACCTGGATGGCAACCCAGACCACCACCACACGCCTCTGCACCACTCTCCACCGCACCCTCCGCCGTCTTCTCTGCTTCCTCCGCTTCCCACCGCCACCCCCAACGGTCTCTACTACAGCCTTTCCCGCGCGGACAGCGCCCCCTTCGCCCCCCCTCTCCCCGCGGGCACGTCCCTCCCCGTGGCCTGCGCGCTGGTCTCCGCGCTGCACGCGCTCCCGCGCCCCTTCCGCCTCTGCACGCTCGCGCTCCTCCCCCTCAACACCACGTGGGACCCCTCCCGCCGCGCCCCTGTGCCCCGCACGCGCGGACTGGCGGTCCACGTGGCGTCTGGGGAAGCCTCCCCGCGCGTATTCACCCCAGAAGAGCGCGGGCCTGATGCTGTGCTGCGCTCCGTGCTGCTCTTCTTTGGGGAAGGGGGAGAGGCGGAGGAGGAGGGGAAGGGGGAAGCGGAAGGGGAGGCGGGTGGGTGGTGGGGAGGGGGGTCGGGGGAGGAGGAGCGGTTGGTGGCGGAGGGGCGCGAGGGGAGAGAGGGGGAGGGGCGGGAGGGGCGCTGTGAGGGCAGTGTGTGTACCCCTGAGAAAGGGCGGCCTGTTGATGCTGCTGCACGCACTGGTGGTGGCGCTCCGGCTAGCGGCGGTACTGGCAGCACACGCGCACACAGCACTCCCTCCTCCCCTCTCATTCCCTCCTCGCTCTCCTCCTCCTCCCCTTCCCCACTCCTGTCCTCCTCCTCATTCTCCCCTCTCCTTTCCTCTTCGCCCTCTCCCTCCCTGCCCCCGCTCGCATCCTCCCCTACTCTGCTCTCCACCCTCCCACCCGCCGCGCTGGCACCGCTCTGCACCGCTCTGTGCGGTCCACTCTGTCCCCAGGGCCGCCTTACCCGCTTCTACGACACTCAAATTGACAGATTCGTGCTGCCGCCCACCAGGTACAGTCAACCTGACACTCCGTTTCATCCTACTGCCTTGCCTCCTGCTGCAGCATGTTGCATGTCAGCTCAGCAGCTCTCCCTTGATTCTTTGCATGCCAGGCAAGCATCTCATCTCTCCATCCTTCTCGCCTTCCCCTCTTCCCCCCCCGTCTCCCCTTCTCCCCTTTCCCCATCAGGCTCATGGACGCGGCAGCGCTTGCCCGGCAGCGACTGAGCATGACGGATCACGAGCTGCTGCACGCCAACTCACCCCACCACCCCTTTGCACTCCTTCCTTTTCCCCCGTCCCCGTCTTTTCAGGTTGATGGACGCGGCAGCACTGGCCCGGCAGCGCCTGAGCATGACGGACCACGAGCTGCTGCACGCCAACTCCACGTCGCCACTGGCCGAGGGACCCGACTTCCTGCCCTTCATCCGCAGGTGAGGGTTGCTTGTCGGTGACTCCTCCCTCTATTTCCACGTGAAGGCTTGCTGTTGCACGCATGCCATGCCATGGTGATGCGCATGCCATGCACACACTAGGGCATGGCATTGCAGCGAGTAAACATGTCTGCTCAATGCCATTCCTTCACCTCCTTCACATTACCCATTCCTACCCCCCTCCCGCTGCTCCTGACCCTCCCCACCAACCTCCCGCTACGTCTTCCCTCCTCCCCCTCCACGTCTGCCTTTTCCCCCTGCCCATCCCTGCAGCTGCTACCGCCTGCTAGCCCAGTCACCCGACACAGACACGCTCTTCCCCAGTGGCGCCCCCCGCGTCTTCACACGCGACCCCACCTTGCAGTGCTGGCAGCGCGCGCCGCCCCCCCTGCCCCCGCGCACGCCGCTCATGCTGTACCGCGCATACCGCTCGCGCCACCTGCACTCGCTCTCCTCCCTGCTCTGCTCCCTGCCCTGCTGGCCCTGGCTCTGACCGTGAATTGGGGGAGGGTAAGGGAGGGGAGGAGGGGGTTGAGGGGGGCTGGGGTGTGTTACGGGGAGCAAGTGCAGCCGCCAGGGGCATTCAAGAAAACAGCTCATGTTGCTTCTGATGCGTGTACCTCCTGCACTCGCTCTCCTCGCGGCTCTGCCCCGCGTGGCGAGGAATCTACTGCTGACACGTGTGATGCTGCAGTGATGCGCTTCCCCGCGCGATTTGGCGCAGTTTGAGTGCGAGTGTGCTTAAAGCGCGTGATGCTGCAGCGGGGGATAACTGGTGGATATACTGTTGGTAGCGGGGCTGCTGGTAACGGTGATGCTGGTAGCACTGCTGATGGTTGTGAGCGCAATGCCGCGCTGCCGCTGGAGACGGCCACAGCCTCCGCCTGCCTCCACTCGTGCAGGCGAAGAATGCGCGGCAGGCGCGGCAGCACCAGCGGAGGAAGCGGCACGGAATGCGGAGGGCGGCTTGTTCGATCGCCTAAAGTGGCACGGAGAGGGGGACGGAGCGCGCAAGCTTGGACCGGGGGAAGGGGCCCGCGCACAACTAGAGGGGGGCGGTGGGGCGGGAGATTGCGGGAAAGAGGGTGCAAGGAAGGCGGACGGGGGTGAGGCGCAGCAGGGACGGCCGGAGCGGCTGGTGTACGTGGCGCAAGCGGAGGTGGCAACTGCTGACGTGGACCTGGTTGACGTGATAGGCACGGACGAGATGACCACGTGTGTGGCGGTGGCGCTGCGCCATCCGCGCACGGGGCGCACGGCTCTGGCGCACGTGGACGCGTCGCTCTGCACCCTGCGCGCTCTCGCCGCCATGCTCGCCTCGCTGCGCCTCGCCCCTCACGACCCTACTCCCCTCCAGGTATGACATGGCAGTGCAGGCACATGCACGCTTATGTGGTGTGACATGCATGCATGCGTAATCTCTGCATGCCTACAGGCACCATGCCTCTTTGCTGCCCTCCCGTGTGCTGCCTCCCCTCCTTGCCGCTCCCTGCTGCTGTCCCATCCTCATTCCTCCCCGCCTCTCCTTTCCTCTCCCCGTCCTTCCCGTCTCCAACCCTCCGTCCTGCCCCCGTCCGCCCTTGGCCCCCTGTCCCCATTGCCCATGTCCCCCCATGTCCCCCCATGTCCCTCCGGCAGCTGCACCTGGTGGGCGCGTTTGACGACGACCCAGGGCACACAGAGAGCATCCTCGCCGCGTGGGAGGAGCAGCAGGAGAGGCAGCAGCGGCAAGAGCAAGAGAAAGCGCAAGGGCAACGCAGTCCACAGCAGCAAGGGCTACCTGGAGAGGAGCGCAGCTGGCGGCAGTCAGGGTGCAAGCGCAGGCGAGCCCTCAGCCCTGCAGCCAGTGGCGGGGGCGACAGGGCCATAGCGCGCAGGAGCAGAAGAGACAGCAAGATCAGGAGCATGAGAAGGAAGTGCCGTTGGCAGTGCCTGGCCGCACAGCGACCCGTCGAGCCCCGTGGCAACAGCGTCGCCATGCCAAGGCACAGAACCCATGCATACTTTGCACCTGGATGGCAACCCAGACCACCACCACACGCCTCTGCACCACTCTCCACCGCCCCCTCCGCCGTCTTCTCTGCTTCCTCCGCTCCCACCGCCACCCCCCAACGGTCCTCTACTACAGCCTTTCCCGCGCGGACAGCGCCCCCCTTCGCCCCCCCTCTCCCCGCGGGCACGTCCCTCCCCGTGGCCTGCGCGCTGGTCTCTCCGCGCTGCACGCGCTCCCGCGCCCCTTCCCGCCTCTGCACGCTCGCGCTCCTCCCCTCAACACCACGTGGGACCCCTCCCGCCGCGCCCCTGTGCCCCGCACGGCGCGGACTGGCGGTCCACGTGGCGTCTGGGGAAGCCTCCCCGCGCGTATTCACCCCAGAAGAGCGCGGGCCTGATGCTGTGCTGCGCTCCGTGCTGCTCTTCTTTGGGGAAGGGGGGAGAGGCGGAGGAGGAGGGGAAGGGGGGAAGCGGAAGGGGAGGCGGGTGGGTGGTGGGGAGGGGGGTCGGGGGAGGAGGAGCGGTTGGTGGCGGAGGGGCGCGAGGGGAGAGAGGGGGAGGGGCGGGAGGGGCGCTGTGAGGGCAGTGTGTGTACCCCTGAGAAAGGGCGGCCTGTTGATGCTGCTGCACGCACTGGTGGTGGCGCTGTCCCGGCTAGCGGCGGTACTTGGCAGCACACGCGCACACAGCACTCCCTCCTCCCCTCTCATTCCCTCCTCGCTCTCCTCCTCCTCTCCCCTTCCCCACTCCTGTCCTCCTCCTCATTCTCCCCTCTCCTTTCCTCTTCGCCCTCTCCCTCCCTGCCCCCGCTTCGCATCCTCCCCTACTCTGCTCTCCACCCTCCACCCTGCCGCGCTGGCAACCGCTCTGCACCGCTCTGTGCGGTCCACTCTGTCCCCAGGGCCGACTTACCCGCTTCTACGACACTCAAATTGACAGATTCGTGCTGCCGCCCACCAGGTACAGTCAACCTGACACTCCGTTTCATCCTACTGCCTTGCCTCCTGCTGCAGCATGTTGCATGTCAGCTCAGCAGCTCTCCCTTGATTCTTTGCATGCCAGGCAAGCATCTCATCTCTCCATCCTTCTCGCCTTCCCCTCTTCCCCCCCCGTCTCCCCTTCTCCCCTTTCCCATCAGGCTCATGGACGCGGCAGCGCTTGCCCGCAGCGACTGAGCATGACGGATCACGAGCTGCTGCACGCCAACTCACCCCACCACCCCTTTGCACTCCTTCCTTTTCCCCCGTCCCCGTCTTTTCAGGTTGATGGACGCGGCAGCACTGGCCCGGCAGCGCCTGAGCATGACGGACCACGAGCTGCTGCACGCCAACTCCACGTCGCCACTGGCCGAGGGACCCGACTTCCTGCCCTTCATCCGCAGGTGAGGGTTGCTTGTCGGTGACTCCTCCCTCTATTTCCACGTGAAGGCTTGCTGTTGCACGCATGCCATGCCATGGTGATGCGCATGCCATGCACACACTAGGGCATGGCATTGCAGCGAGTAAACATGTCTGCTCAATGCCATTCCTTCACCTCCTTCACATTACCCATTCCTACCCCCCTCCCGCTGCTCCTGACCCTCCCCACCAACCTCCCGCTACGTCTTCCCTCCTCCCCCTCCACGTCTGCCTTTTCCCCCTGCCCATCCCTGCAGCTGCTACCGCCTGCTAGCCCAGTCACCCGACACAGACACGCTCTTCCCCAGTGGCGCCCCCCGCGTCTTCACACGCGACCCCACCTTGCAGTGCTGGCAGCGCGCGCCGCCCCCCCTGCCCCCGCGCACGCCGCTCATGCTGTACCGCGCATACCGCTCGCGCCACCTGCACTCGCTCTCCTCCCTGCTCTGCTCCCTGCCCTGCTGGCCCTGGCTCTGACCGTGAATTGGGGGAGGGTAAGGGAGGGGAGGAGGGGGTTGAGGGGGGCTGGGGTGTGTTACGGGGAGCAAGTGCAGCCGCCAGGGGCATTCAAGAAAACAGCTCATGTTGCTTCTGATGCGTGTACCTCCTGCACTCGCTCTCCTCGCTGCTCTGCTCCCTGCCCTGCTGGCCCTGGCTCTGACCGTCATGCTGCTTGCACTGGTGGCGCTGAGGTGAGGGGTGTTGCTGATTGCACTGCGGCCCGTGGGGATCGCAGAGGGTTGCGTTGAGGTGGAGCAAGTGGAAGGCTCTCATGTGCCTCCAGGGGCACTCAACAAGGCGGTGTCTGCACTACTGGTGATGGTGGTGGTGGTGGTGGGTGCACTGGTGGCCATGGGGGTCACAGTGGGCTGGTTGTCAGCTGCAAGCTGTGCTGCTGGGAGGCACACCTTGTGCCGCTCGTGGCATGTGCTGTGCTGTGCTGTGCTGTGCTGGGGGCAGGGTGCTGGGGGCTGGGGGCAGGGTGCAGGGTGCGGGGTGCGGGGTGCGGGGTGCAGGGGTCAGGGTGCAGGGTCGGGGTGATACAGCGGTTGACAAGTATGTCAACTGCTACACGAATGTTTGGCCTGGTTGTGCCCGGCCGGATAGGTGGCTGTGAAATGTGGTGCTCATGAATATTAGAACCAACAAATGATGAGAATGGTCTCATCAAGGTAGGGCGTGTCTTGCGCCCTTGTGATGCCACTCTCGCTGCAAACGCAGATGATGATACAATCTTGTTCCAGTCCCACTTTGAAAAATATTCATTTATTGTGAGTGATGATACATTACTGTAGAAGGATAACTGGGGGAAATAATCCCTTGTGGAGATGTTCCAATTCCGCATTACGGCGGAACCTTTTCTGGCGCGCCTGCTGCAGAAGTCTCCCGCCTGGAATTTTCAAAAAGCCGCGCTTCGTCGGGCCCAGCGCAGCTTAGCGGCTACTTTGGACTCCCATCCCGGTGGCGAAAGTCGTCTGACCCCAATACCCTCGAGTTCCGCTTTTGTCATTCGCTCGCGAAAGCTTTGCGACGACCTGTGCGGCGGGCGGAGACCAGCGGAAGCCTCTGTTTTGGCGACTCCCTGTCACCTGTCGTCGCCTCCGTCCAGCAAGTGCATGCAGCCTCCCAGAGACAGTAAACCCGGCGGCGACATTCCCAAGGCCCTTCCAGTCACCTCTGCCGAATTCTCCAGTTCATTCATTCACGTCTCTCATTCTCTCCAGTCAGCGTTAGCTCGTGCTTGTTTCCATGGCTTCCTCATCTCGCCATGGCTGCTGTCGAAATCTCTCAGAGATGTAGGTTACTACGATTTTTTCATAATCTTAGAAATATTTATGATAGCTTATCAGCATATAAGCCTTTTTCAGTGGGAGAACTGGTAGAGCCGTGTCAGCATATAGCTTCTGTTAGGCTGATCATGTTAACTGCTCGCCTCTTAGCTGATAACCGCGGTAGTTATTATTCGTAACCGCTAAGTTTATTCCACCGTTTCAGTTTCCGCGAACACTTTCACATTAAGTTTCTGATAAACTGATTATCAACCAATCGTTTTCACGTCAGAATGGCGCCGTAATGGTCAGAATGGCGAGTGAATCTCAAGTATCAAGGCGACCGGCATCCGGCGTCCGTAATGATCTACGAGCATCATCATCAGCAACAAGAGAAGCACCTTCGGGTCGACGGAAGCAGTCTCAAGGCAACCGGCATCCGCGTAAGGTGAAGATGGCGGCCAACCGCGTAAGGTGTGCGGAAGATGGCGACTTAACGCGTGCGACGTTCCGCATGCGGCGCCGTGCGGATGCTGGGCGACATGGCGCGACGATGCGCGGCATGCGACGTACCGCTTGCGACGTTCCCCGCCGTGCGACCGTGTGCAGATGATGGCGACTTACTGCGTGCAAAGTTCCGCGTGCCGGCGCGCTGTGCGGATGCATGCGACGATGTGCGACGAACGGCATGCGACTTACAGCGCGCTTCCGTGTGCGGAAGATGGCGACAAATTACGTGCGAGGCCGTGCGATTTACCACGCGCGACTGTGTGCGGATGATGGCGACGCGTGCTACCTTCCGTGTGCGACGTTGTGCGGATGCTGGCGACGTCCCGTGGCTGGCGCGGTGAACAGCGGTGAAGGCGTGCGGCTGGCGCGGTAAACAGCGGTGAAGGCGTGTGGCTGGCGCGGTGAAGAGCGGTGAAGGCGTGCGGCTGCGCGGTGAACAGCGGTGAAGACGTGCGGCTGGCGCAGTGAAGACGTGCGGCTGGCGCGGTGAAGACGTGCGGCTGGCTCGGTGAAGACGTGCGGCTGGCGCGGTGAAGACGAGCGGCTGGCGCGGTGAACAGCGGTGAAGGCGGTTCGGGAACAAGGCAGAATGTGGAGGAGAGGAGAGGAGAGGAGCCAATAAAGGAGCAGCAGAGGTGCCAGCTGAGGAGAACTGGAGCGAGCACAGGAGCGATTCGGGCGCTGCTGGAGTGCTGCTGGCTGATCCTGGCGCTCGTGGAGCATGGGAGCATGGGAGCCGTGGAGCAGCAAGGCAGCACTGGCATCTCGTGGGCAGCAAAGCAACTGGGAAGTGTCTTTCCCCTCGCCTTCCCTTCTCGTCACCCTCCATTCGTTTCGTTTTGTCATTCCGTGTTTTCCGCACCTCGTTCTTCACTCCATCGTCCTGCATTTCGCGTTTATGCACGTCCCTCTGATACGTTCGGCTGCAGCCTAGTAGATGTCCTCCGCGGGTTTTGGGTAGCATAGATTTTGGGTTGGGTAGCATAGAGTTTGGGTTTTGGGTAGCATAGCTCCTCCCTCTGCTAGCTGCAGCCGGCGTGTCATGGACGTGCATCCATCCCCTCGTTTCCATGTGTTGTTCCCCGCTTTCAGTTTTGCACTTCGTTTTTCGCTTTCAATTCCGCATTTCGTTTCCTTGTGTTTGTATTGCTTTCTTTTCCATTTTGCAGTTCTGTTTACTGACTTCGTGCATCTGTCTGTGCGTTCTCTCCCCCTGTTTTTCAGCAACCATGGGTTCTTCACTCGGGAGGAGCAGAGGCGCCTGCAGAGGACGGCAGCAGCGACTCCCGAGGGTCCTCTCTTGGCTCTTTGGAAGGGCAGCGCGCATGCAAGGGGAGGGCGAGCGTGGTGGGATGACGCACGGCCGGCCCTTCCCGCCCTGCTGACCACCCGCTTGCGAGGGCGAGGGTGACGCTGCAATGCAAGCGGATGGAGCGAGGCGAGGAGGCGCTTGGAGCGCGGCGAGGAGGCGCCTGGAGCGCGGCGCGGAGGCGCCTGGAGCGCGGCGCCTGGAGTGAGGAGGATGACGAGGGCGCATGGCTGACTCAGTGACGAGGATGACGAGGGCGGGCGGTGGAGGCGGTGCAGCGGTGGCCTCCAGTGGACGCGCGACAACAATCAGCTGCCGGCGATAACAAAACTAAATGAGATTCCTTACCCTTGCCTCCTCACTCTCTCTCTCGATCTATCTCGCTGCCCTTGTCGTTAGTCTTTGAGCTTCCTTACTCTTGCCTCTTCACTCTCTCTCGATCTATCACCGACGCTCTTGACAGAGGCGGCACCGACACCTTCTCTGAATGTGAGTGCATCAGCAGCAGGTTTGCCGACTTGTCTCTGATGTTTCTGTCGACGATTGTTGCGAACGCAACTGCTACGACCGCCTTCTTTGGATGTGAGTGCAACTCCTACGTCCTTCTCCTCTGAATGTGAGTGCAACTCCTACGTCCTTCTCCTCTGAATGTGAGTGCAACTCCTACGTCCGCCTCCTCTGGATCTGCGTGCAACTCCTACGACCTCTGAATGTGAGTGCAAGGCGAGGCAAGGCCAAGTGAGGCGAGGCTAGGAGCGGCGAGGCGAGGCGAGGCGAGGCGAGACGTGGGTGGATTGAAACTTGTGGGCGCAATCCGTGGGTGGATTGAAACTTGTGGGCGCAATTCGTGGGTGGACGCTCTCTCAGGCGGGCCCAAAGCGCGGCGGATGGAAGAAGAGGAGCGAGAGAGGTGGGATGATGCACGGCCGGCAGGCACTGGCATGTGGGTGCCTCCTACCCGCCCTGCTGACCACCCGCTTGCTGGCGGCACGCGAGGCGAGGCGGATGGAGCAAGGATGGAGCGAGCGAAGCTCGTTGTTCCCTTGCGTGTTCTCCCACCTGCACCCTTGGGGTGAGGTGGAGGTGCGAGAAGGAGAGGCGGATAAGCTGAAGGAGGGGGTACTTGGAGGGAGAGGCTGTCGTATGTGGAAGGGAGTAAAAAGCTGGGAGAAAGGTGTGTCTGAGTGGTGATACTTTGATTGGGGGTGGGACCTCCCTCTCATTGCTCTCCTCTCACTCTCCCTCTTGCCCAGCAGAGCCACGGTAAGTGTGTGTTGGATGCGTGCTGAGAGTGGTGGCTGCCACCCCACTCTTTGGTTCTCCTCCTCCCGCTTGTCCCACCGCTTGCTCAACTCACCCTAAGCATACTTCAGCTCATACTTCCCAGTCAACTCCTCTTATGGCCTTTGACGCACTCCTGATCAGCACTCGTTGCTGATACCCCTTTAAAAGGGAGTATCAGCAACGCCTGCCATGAGAAGGGGGTATGGGTTCGAGGGAGTGCAGTGCGGTGCCATCAGCAACGCCTGCCATGAGAAGGGAGTATGGGTCCGAGGGAGTGTAGTGTGGTGCAATAAGCAACGCCTGCCATGAGAAGGGAGTATGGGTATGAGGGAGTGCAGTGCGGTGCCATCAGCAACGCCTGCCATGAGAAGGGAGTATGGGTCCGAGGGAGTGCAGTGCGGTGCCATCAGCATCGCCTGCCATGAGAAGGGAGTATGGGTCCGAGGGAGTGCAGTGCGGTGCCATCAGCAACTCCTGCCATGAGAAGGGGGTATGGGTTCGAGGGAATGCAGTGCGGTGCCATCAGCAACGCCTGCCATGAGAAGGGAGTATGGGATCGAGGGAGTGTAGTGTGGTGCAATAAGCAACACCTGCCATGAGAAGGGAGTATGGGTATGAGGGAGTGCAGTGCGGTGCCATCAGCAACGCCTGCCATGAGAAGGGAGTATGGGTCCGAGGGAGTGCAGTGCGGTGCCATCAGCATCGCCTGCCATGAGAAGGGAGTATGGGTCCGAGGGAGTGCAGTGCGGTGCCATCAGCAACTCCTGCCATGAGAAGGGAGTATGGGTCCGAGGGAGTGCAGTGCGGTGCCATCACCAACGCCTGCCATGAGAAGGGAGTATGGGTCCGAGGGAGTGCAGTGTGGTGCAATAAGCAACGCCTGCCATGAGAAGGGAGTATGGGTATGAGGGAGTGCAGTGCGGTGCCATCAGCAACGCCTGCCATGAGAAGGGAGTATGGGTCCGAGGGAGTGCAGTGTGGTGCCATCAGCAGCGCCTGCCTTGAGAAGGGAGTATGGGTACGAGGGAGTGCAGTGCCATCAGCAGCGCCTGCCATGAGAAGGGAGTATGGGTCCGAGGGAGTGCAGTGTGGTGCCATCAGCAACGCCTGCCATGAGAAGGGAGTATGGGTCCGAGGGAGTGCAGTGCGGTGCCATCAGCAACGCCTGCCATGAGAAGGGAGTATGGGTCCGAGGGAGTGCAGTGCGGTGCCATCAGCAACGCCTGCCATGAGAAGGGAGTATGGGTCCGAGGGAGTGCAGTGCGGTGTGGGGCCGAGGAGAACATTTTTTTTTTGTTTCTTGTATTCTTGTTTTTTCCTTGTCACGTGTTTCGTTTTCGTTTTGCATTCTTTTTTATCTTGCACCCTCACCACCAAGTTCGTTTCTTTCCTTGTCGCATGTTTCGATTTCTCTTATGTTTTTTGCATTTTCTTTTTGCTCGCATCTTCACCAGCAACTTATCTTTCTTTCTTTAGATCCCCCCTCTTGCATTCCCGTATGGCAGGGAGCAGCATGGCGGAGTGGAGAGCTGGTGGGGGCGGCTGCAGAGCGGGAGGCGTGGCAGCAGCAGCTACACGGAAGGGAGGAGGGAGGCGGGTTGGAGTGCGAAGGAGGAGGGAGCAGCAGCTGTCACCAGCAGCGCCTGCTTTCACAAGGGAGTATGGGGCTCAGGGAGGGGACCAATTTCCGCTCTGTTTCCGCATGCTTTGCATTTCCTTGTCGCATGTTTCAGTTTCTGTTTCGTTTTTTGCATTCTCTTCACCAGCCACTTATCTTTCTTCCCTTAGCTCCCCCCTCTTGCAATTCTGTTGCGCAGAGCGGGAGGCGCGGCAGCAGCAGCTACACGGGAGGGAGGTGGGTTGGAGTACGGAGGAGGAGGGAGCAGCAGCACCAGCAGCCTTCTTTCAAAAGGGAGTATGGGGCTAAGGGAGGGGACCATTTTCTGCTCTGTTTTCGCATGCTTTTCATTTCCTTGTCGCATGTTTCGATTTCTATTTTGTGTTTTGCATTTTTTTTTTGCTCGCATCTTCACCAGCAACTTATCTTTCTTTCCTTAGATCCCCCTTTTGCATTCCCGTATGGCAGGGCGCAGCATGGCGGAGTGGAGAGCTGGTGGGGGCGGCTGCAGAGCGGGAGGCGCGGCAGCAGCAGCTACACGGAAGGGAGGAGGGAGGCGGGTTGGAGTGCGGAGGAGGAGGGAGCAGCAGCACCAGCAGCTCCTTCTTTCAGAAGAGAGTATGGGGCTCAGGGATGGGAACATTGCCGCTCTGTTTTCACATGCGTTTTGTTTCCTTGTCGCTTGTTTCAATGTCTGTTTTGTGTTTTGCATTTTATTTTCGCTCGCATCTTCACCAGCAACTAATATTTCTTTCCGTAGACCCCCCTTCTTGCATTCCTGTATGGCAGGGCGGATGGAGGCGGGTTGGAGTGCGGAGGAGGGAGCAGCAGCTGTCACCAGCAGCGCCTGCTTTCACCGTGGTGTATGGGGCTGAGGGAGGGGTGAGGGGTGAGGGGTGGGGGGTGGGGTCCTTGTGTGCTGTTCTTGAGGCGCCTCAAGACAGCTGTGAACTGCCGGTGGCGGTTCTGTTCTGTTCACTGCAGTGCACTGCAGCTTGTCGTTCTGTTTCCGTTCCGTCAGTTCGTTGGTCCCTGAGTTTTGAGAGACGTCTCAAAACTTGTGTGCTCCTCACTGCAGAGTCGCTGCAGTGAGCAACCTCTGGGTTTTGGGCAAAGCCTCAAAACCCATTTCTCTTGTTCCTCACAGCAGCCTAGCTGCAGTGAGAAAAATTACACAGCTGGTCAGGCAGCACGACTGGGCAGCAAGGACGGGCAGCACCTGCTTTGAGGATAATTTTCATCTGCCCCCGGGCAGTCTGCATTGTGTTTTTTCTCTCTCTCCCCCCCATCCAACAGGGTCCTAAGCGATGGTTCCCACCTCACTTGGGTGTAACGTCAGGAGCTCTGCTCCTGGCGGCCAAGAGGAACCCCCCATGCACACCTACAGTGCATGGGTAGTACATTGGTGTACTATCTAGTATGGCAGCCTATTAATATATAGTTCTCAGTTAGATCCATAAATATTTGATACCGAGAACAGTAAATAGAAGTTTTAGTGAATATTTGTTTCTGAGATCTCTCAACTGGATCAATTTTGAATGTTGATATCAGAATGGATCAGTAATATGTAACTCTGAGATTGATAGTTATCAAATTGTAAAGCAATTATGCACTTTATAGCGATTTTCTGCACAACGTTCCGCACTTCTATTTCTCCTCAACTATTTCGAACGCGCCGCAGTCTCTGCGATCCTGATCATGTCGGGCAGATCTTGTACTCAGTCGATATTTCGTACTCCGATATCCTCGGCGACTCGTCAAGCCTCTATTTGTCTCGCCTTCTCGGTGCTCATGTCGACTCCACGCGGCGCACGCGAGTGTACAGATTACGCGCATTTGTTACTGGCAATCCTCGTTACAAGGATGCAAGACTAGGAAGAGTTTCGACCGCAGCAAGCCTACGGGTCTCAAAAATCGCTGCTGGCGGCCAACGTGGAACGATCCGTTAGATTTGGCCTCGTCAACGGTCGACACTAGGTCCCTGCGTAGAAACGACGCGGCGCGATGCTCCCTGCTTCTCCGTAAAGCTCCCACTACGAATTTGCGGGCCTAGGGAGCATCAACGGCGCGTTCACCTCACGGCGCCAGCGTCATGCTCGCCTTCCACACTCAGCAGGATCGCTGGTGCGTGTCTCTGTCTGGTTTTGGCACGCGCTGAATGCTCATAGGGACCTAGCGGTGACTGGTGATGTGGCCTGATGCACCGCGTGCTCGCCTTCCACTCTCTCGGCCGGAAGCTCTCTGCCGCTCAGCTGGCAGACTTGCCGGAGGGTTCACTGGTGAGTTCACGCTGTGCTTCTTCTGGCGGTTACTGTCCCTCGGTTGGCGTTTCGCATGCCCTGCGTTCAGCTTCATGCTCCGCGTGCACGTATGCCGTGCTGTCTGGGTGCTGGGCGTGCACCCTAGAGAGGTGAATTCGCTCATGTACGCACCGCACCGGTGATATTCCTGGTTTTTTTTCTGGGATTTCACTCTTCTACTAGGATTCCTCCCCGTCGCTCCCTTTCTTTCCACTACCCTCCCCCGTCTCACCTCACGTCCCCATTCTCCCTTTCCACCCTCGTCTCCTCTCGTCAACCCATCTCCTCCCATCCCACACCCCTCTTTCTAAAAGACGCTGAGAGGGCCCCATGGTGGAGCAAGCTGGTGGGTGTGGAGCGGTGGAGAGCGGTGCTGCACGATGCGTCCTTCATTCTCTGTCCGCAGCGTGCCATGGGGCGATGCTGTGGCTGCCTGTACCTGCTGGAGAAGCAGGTGAACCTTTGTCTGAAAGGTATACCTTGGGTTGTTGCCTGTATCCTTCAGTCGATTGAAAAAACTGCCGCCTTTACCTGCTGGAGAAACAGAAATTGCTGCTTGGCAATAGAAATATCAGGCTTATTTCCCAGAGCAGGTCAAAATTTTGCGTGAATTTCGAGTCGTTAGAAGAATATAATATTGGGCCGAGTCAGAAATAGCTGCCTATACCCGCAGGAGAGACAGTTTGGTTTTCTCGTGCGGTATGCTGTTTTTTCATTCATTGTCTGCTTCGCTTTCACTCACCACTCTTCCATTCTGAGATGTCTCAAATCTCGATTCTACCAACCCTTCCCCCATTCCCTATACCGTACCATCCACCATCCCGTCCCCCATTCCCCACACCATACCATGCCCCATCCCATCCCCACCCGCCAGGTCTTAGAGTACTGTCTGCTCCGCCTTGACTCGCCAATCTTCAACGCGCCGCCTGCCGAACCTCTTGCCGACCCTGTCACCGAGCCTGCCGCCCTGCCGTTCACAGCCACGGGCAAGCTCACCTACTCGCACGGCATGCACCTCAAATACGCCGTCAGTACCTCCCCTTCCCTTCCCTCTCTCCTCTCCCTCCCCTCCCCTCCCCTCCCCTCGCCTCCCCTCACCTCCCCTTGCATTGACCAATTCTGATCTGCCTTGATCGAACGTGACTGACGATGACTGACTCTCAGCCCGTGCTCATTGCCTTAGAAGATTGTTCTCAAACGTTGCAGGGCACGTGGAACAACCGCGCATGGAAGTCACAGCACCTTCAATACATGCGAGCAATGCAACAGTCTTTGCTCCCCTAAATGGCTCTGTATTCTTGCCCTGCCAACCATGCCGCGCCCCTAAATGGCACACATCCAACCCCACCTCTCCGCCCCCCCCCCCCCGTCCTTTCCCCCTCCCCCCTTTCCCTCACCTCTTCACAGACGTCAGCATGGGCGCCCATGTTTCACGCCGCTCACATGCATGCCCACATCGACTGTCTCCTCGCATCCTCCCACCCACCCAACCCCTCCACACCGCTCCCCACCCCTCCGCCCTTCCCCTCATCCCTCCTCGCCACCACCACTGCCTTCTGGGCTGGAGCCCTCGACCCCTCGGACCCCTCCCCTTCCTCCTCCCCCTCCTTCTTCTCCCCCTCTTCCTCCTCTTCCACCTCTTCCTCTGCTGCTCATCCCGCCTCTCCTCGCTTCCCCCCCAGTGCGGCGGCAGCAGCGGGGGCGGCAGTGGCAGTGACGGGGGGACCGGGGGAGTGCTTTCCAAAGCTGAGGGCGATGGCGCAGGTGCTGCTGCTGCCTAAGGACTTGTTGGCTGACCAGGAGGCACGGAATGAGGTGAGGAATGAGGTTGGGGTGGGGGAGAGGGTGGGAAGTGGGGTTGGGTTGGTTTGAGGTGCCTCAGAAATTGCACCAGACGGGAGGTGGGTGGGTGGGGGGCTGCTGCTGCTGTGGCTGCTGCTGTGGCTGCTGCTGTGGGTGAGGGCCATGGCGCAGGTGGTGCTGCTGCCTAAGGACCTGCTAGCCAACCAGGAGGCGAGGAAAGAGGTGAGAGGAATGTGTGGGATGGAATCACATGCACCACATGAACCACATGCGCCACGTGCATCACACACATCACAAGTATCACAATGCATGCTCATATCCATAGCATACGTCACGTGCATCACACACATCACAAGTATCACAATGCATGCTCATTCCCATAGCATACGTCACGTGCATCACACACATCACAAGTATCACAATGCATGCTCATATCCATAGCATACGTCACGTGCATCACACACATCACAAGTATCACAATGCATGCTCATATCCATAGCATACGTCACGTGCATCACACTTGCAATTATTGATATACCATGTGTGTCTGTGTGTGTGCGTGTGCCTGTGCGTGTGCAAATCTGATGTGCATGTATGCGTGGTGTGCATGTGTGTGTGCACACATGACAACAGGTGTGTGGCGATCTGACTCTGGCCTTGCTGCGGCGCATTCTCCTCATTTTCGCTCCGGACGGACGCCAATGCACCCGACCCCGTCTCCTCCACCCTGCTGCACCCGACCCCGTCTCCTCCACCCTGCTGCAGCAGCTCAACAGCGAGGTCAGTCATGCCTCTCCATCACGCCATGTCCATCCCTCACAGTCACACCTCATTCCCCATCACCTTACTGAATCTCATGCCCTCACTCACAGATAGAGCGTCGACTCTCATACATAGAGCGTCGACTCACATAGATAGAGCGTCGAGGTGGGGTGGGTCACACATGGGGTTTCAAAACAGACCAAAGTTGCGGGTCACAGCACGCATGGCCCAGATGGGTCACAGCACGCATGGCCCAGATGGTGATGGAGACGCTGGTGACTTGAGCATCGACAGGTGGTGGGTTGAGCTCCATTAGCCTCCACTCCACTGCTGCATCATCCCACGCCCCTTTGCTCCTTTCTCCTCATCCACCACCGCTGCTGCTGCTCCACTGCTGCTGCTCCTCATCCTCCACTGCTGCTGCTCTCTTTTCCTGACCTTCTCCCTCCCGTCACCGCCCCCACCTCACCACAGGTGTCACGCCTGGTGGTCGACTCGCCTGCATTCCTGCAGGAGGTACGTCCTCTCCCTCATCCCATCCCCTTCTCCCACATTCCATCCCCATCAGCTTACCCCATCAGATTCCCCATCAGTTTCCCATCAGTTTCCCCTATCAGTTTCCCCATCAGTTTCCCCATCCGTTTCCCCCATCCCCATCCGATTCCCCCTCCGATTCCCCCTCCGATTCCCCCCTCCGATTCCCCCCTCCGGTTCCCCCTCCGGTTCCCCCTCCGGTTCCCCCTCCGGTTCCCCCTCCGGTTCCCCCTCCGGTTCCCCAACAGGCTCCCCATCAGGCTCCCCATCAGGTTCCCCATCAGGTTCCCCATCAGGTTCCCCATCAGGTTCCCCACCCATCAGGTCAGGTTTCCCATCAGGTTCCCCATCAGGCTCCCCATCAGGCTCCCCATCAGGTTCCCCATCAGGTTCCCCATCCATCAGGTTCCCCATCAGTGAGGTTCCCCATCAGTCAGGTTCCCCATCAGGTTCCCCACCCATCAGGTTCCCCACCCATCAGGTTCCCCACCCATCAGGTTCCCCATCAGGCTCCCCATCAGGTTCCCCATCAGGTTCCCCATCCATCAGGTTCCCCATCAGTCAGGTTCCCCATCAGTCAGGTTCCCCATCAGGTTCCCCATCAGGTTCCCCACCCATCAGGTTCCCCACCCATCAGGTTCCCCACCCATCAGGTTCCCCATCAGGTTCCCCATCAGGTTCCCCATCAGGTTCCCCATCAGGTTCCCCATCAGGCTCCCCATCAGGCTCCCCATCAGGTTCCCCATCAGGTTCCTCATCAGGTTCCCCATCAGGTTCCCCATCAGGTTCCCCATCCATCAGGTTCCCCATCCGTCAGGTTCCCCATCAGTCAGGTTCCCCATCAGGTTCCCCATCAGGTTCCCCATTCATCAGGTTCCCCATTCATCAGGTTCCCCATCAGGTTCCCCATCAGGCTCCCCATCAGGTTCCCCATCAGGTTCCCCATCAGGTTCCCCATCAGGTTCCCCATCAGGCTCCCCATCAGGTTCCCCATCAGGTTCCGCATCCGGTTCCGCATCAGGTTCCCCATCAGGCTCCCCATCAGGTTCCCCATCAGGTTCCCCATCAGGTTCCCCATCAGTCAGGTTCCCCATCAGGTTCCCCATCAGGTTCCCCACCCATCAGGTTCCCCACCCATCAGGTTCCCCACCCATCAGGTTCCCCATCAGGTTCCCCATCAGGTTCCCCATCAGGTTCCCCATCCATCAGGTTCCCCATCAGGTTCCCCATCAGGTTCCCCATCAGGTTCCCCATCAGGCTCCCCATCAGGTTCCCCATCAGGTTCCCCATCAGGTTCCCCATCAGTCAGGTTCCCCATCAGGTTCCCCATCAGGTTCCCCACCCATCAGGTTCCCCACCCATCAGGTTCCCCACCCATCAGGTTCCCCATCAGGTTCCCCATCAGGTTCCCCATAGGCTCCCCATCAGGTTCCCCATCAGGCTCCCCATCAGGCTCCCCATCAGGTTCCCCATCAGGTTCCCCATCCATCAGGTTCCCCATCAGTCAGGTTCCCCATCAGTCAGGTTCCCCATCAGGTTCCCCATCAGGTTCCCCACCCATCAGGTTCCCCACCCATCAGGTTCCCCATCAGGTTCCCCATCAGGTTCCCCATCAGGTTCCCCATCAGGTTCCCCATCAGGCTCCCCATCAGGCTCCCCATCAGGTTCCCCATCAGGTTCCTCATCAGGTTCCCCATCAGGTTCCCCATCAGGTTCCCCATCCATCAGGTTCCCCATCCGTCAGGTTCCCCATCAGTCAGGTTCCCCATCAGGTTCCCCATCAGGTTCCCCATTCATCAGGTTCCCCATTCATCAGGTTCCCCATCAGGCTCCCCATCAGGTTCCCCATCAGGTTCTCCATCAGGTTCCCCATCAGGTTCCCCATCAGGCTCCCCATCAGGTTCCCCATCAGGTTCCGCATCCGGTTCCGCATCAGGTTCCCCATCAGGCTCCCCATCAGGTTCCCCATCAGGTTCCCCATCAGGTTCCCCATCAGGTTCCCCATCAGGTTCCCCATCAGGTTCCCCACCCATCAGGTTCCCCACCCATCAGGTTCCCCACCCATCAGGTTCCCCATCAGGTTCCCCATCAGGTTCCCCATCAGGTTCCCCATAGGCTCCCCATCAGGTTCCCCATCAGGCTCCCCATCAGGCTCCCCATCAGGTTCCCCATCAAGTTCCCCATCCATCAGGTTCCCCATCAGTCAGGTTCCCCATCAGTCAGGTTCCCCATCAGGTTCCCCATCAGGTTCCCCACCCATCAGGTTCCCCACCCATCAGGTTCCCCACCCATCAGGTTCCCCATCAGGTTCCCCATCAGGTTCCCCATCAGGTTCCCCATCAGGTTCCCCATCAGGCTCCCCATCAGGCTCCCCATCAGGTTCCCCATCAGGTTCCTCATCAGGTTCCCCATCAGGTTCCCCATCAGGTTCCCCATCCATCAGGTTCCCCATCCGTCAGGTTCCCCATCAGTCAGGTTCCCCATCAGGTTCCCCATTCATCAGGTTCCCCATTCATCAGGTTCCCCATTCATCAGGTTCCCCATCAGGTTCCCCATCAGGCTCCCCATCAGGTTCCCCATCAGGTTCTCCATCAGGTTCCCCATCAGGTTCCCCATCAGGCTCCCCATCAGGTTCCCCATCAGGTTCCGCATCCGGTTCCGCATCAGGTTCCCCATCAGGCTCCCCATCAGGTTCCCCATCAGGTTCCCCATCAGGTTCCCCATCAGGTTCCCCATCAGGTTCCCCATCAGGTTCCCCATCAGGTTCCCCATCAGGTTCCCCATCAGGTTCCCCATCAGGTTCCCCTGGGCAGTATGCATTGTGTTTTTCTTTCTCTCCCCCCCATCCAACAGGGTCCCAAGCGATGGTTCCCACCTCACCGCGGTGCTTGGGTGTAACGTCAGGAGCTCTGCTCCTGGCGGCCAAGAGGAACCCCCCATGCACACCTACAGTGCATGGGTAGTACAATAGTATACTATCTAGTGTAGCAGATTATCAACATCTAGTTCTCAATTAGATCAGTTACTATTTAAAGCCCGGGTACAGCATGGTATTTTTCAAGTTCAAGATTCTTAAACTTGAAGTCGCAAAAAACAGGGTAACCCTCTCTGGTTTGAAAAACAACTCGCGACTCAGGGAAAACCTATTGCGACCCTCACTCCTGATTGGTTTCCGTGCCCAGTCGCACATCACCTCCGACCATCGCCCACAATATTGCCGTGAGCACCTCTCACATATCTTGAAGACCAAGTAGTGCTAGAATAGGGACAGTACTAGGAAACGCGCGGCAGGGCGATAGAAGCTAGCTCAAGTAAAGGCGACTACTTCCCACCGTCCCGCGCTTCTCCTCGTCGCCCGCGCCTCTTTATTTCGCCCAAGCTTCCTCCCTCCATCCCTCCCTCTCCCCTCTCTTCCTCTCTCCCTCCGTCCCTCCCTACCTTGCTCTCTACCTTCATTCCTCTGTCCCTCTATCCCTCTCCCTCTTCCCTTTCTTGCCCTCTTACCTTTCTCTCTCTCTCTTCCCTCTCTCCCTCCCTTTTTCGCTAAGGACAAAGGGGGAGAGACACGGGGGTAAGGACACAGGTGGAGAGACAGGGTGTAGGGCAGACGGGGAGAGACAGAAGGGGAAGGACGGAGGGGGAGAAACAGAGGGGGGGTGTCCCAGAGAGTGAGATACAGAGGGTGAGAGCGCACCCCACTGACGCAGAGACAGAGAGCGCTGGCAAACGCGCAGACACTCCGTTTACCCCCCAATATATTCCCTTCCCCCCATCCCCTTCCCTGCTTCCCCCCATCCCCCTCCCTGCTTCCCCCCATCCCCTTCCCTGCTTCCCCCCATCCTCTTCCCTGCTTCCCCCCATCCCCTTCCCTGCTTCCCCCCATCCCCCTCCCTGCTTCCCCCCATCCCCTTCCCTGCTTCCCCCCATCCCCTTCCCTGCTTCCCCCCATCCCCTTCCCTGCTTCCCCCCATCCCCTTCCCTGCTTCCCCCCATCCCCCTCCCTGCTTCCCCCCATCCCCTTCCCTGCTTCCCCCCATCCTCTTCCCTGCTTCCCCCCATCCCCTTCCCTGCTTCCCCCCATCCCTTCCCTGCTTCCCCCCATCCCCCTCCCTGCTTCCCCCCATCCCTTCCCTGCTTCCCCCCATCCCCCTCCCTGCTTCCCCCCATCCCCTTCCCTGCTTCCCCCCATCCCCCTCCCTGCTTCCCCCCATCCCCCTCCCTGCTTCCCCCCATCCCCTTCCCTGCTTCCCCCCATCCCCTTCCCTGCTTCCCCCCATCCCCTTCCCTGCTTCCCCCCATCCCCTTCCCTGCTTCCCCCCATCCCCTTCCCTGCTTCCCCCCATCCCCTTCCCTGCTTCCCCCCATCCCTTCCCTGCTTCCCCCCATCCCCCTCCCTGCTTCCCCCCATCCCTTCCCTGCTTCCCCCCATCCCCCTCCCTGCTTCCCCCCATCCCTTCCCTGCTTCCCCCCATCCCCCTCCCTGCTTCCCCCCATCCCCTTCCCTGCTTCCCCCCATCCCCCTCCCTGCTTCCCCCCATCCCCCTCCCTGCTTCCCCCCATCCCCTTCCCTGCTTCCCCCCATCCCCTTCCCTGCTTCCCCCCATCCTGCTCCCTGCTT